GTCCTAACTTTGCAACGCCGTGTTGCCCTAAACTGGAATCGTCGTTGCGAATCGTTCCGTGTAACATCACCTTTACGGAAATCGCGCCGCTACAGCTGTTCTTGTGTGCGCAGGCGCAATGAAGTTATCCGGTATAGTGTGAACATTGCCTTAGTATAGCCTCTTCTAGAGGCAAGTATATCCTGAGCCACGCATGCCCAGACTGGTTTCCTCGACTGGGATTCTGTCTGTTTGAAAAGTATCCCTGGAATTCACCGTTAGGGATAAAAGAGTACAGGCCAAACTATTTTTTTCTCAACATTTTCTTTGGTTTTAATCACATAAACTGTCAGAATAAGGGAACGTATTATAATAACAACGAAAAATTCGATAGTGTTGCTACATAAAACTACGCGCTAAAACGTTTTTGGTATTATTCCTGGCTATAGTAAGGCGGGTATAAAGCAAAATAATTACTGCAAGTAATTTTTCTATTGTAGTTATAATATTGATTATGAATAATAGTATCGAATAATTCAAAAAAAAATTTTATACTGTTCTAAAATGACTTATGTCTAACACTAAGTCCTTCACAGCTAACAGTAGAATAAAATATCAAGTAAAATCAGCTAAACAGCTTGATCAGACAATATGTGTTATTACACAATCATATAACAGCACTTGCTATTGACTCAAAATTAATGCTCTTTTTTTTGTAGCATTGGGTAATGATTAATGTGCTTTCAAGGTAAAATGAGATTTGACTTCTCGATGACTTTTGTTCTTTCCGTGGTTTATGATGTACAGCAGGGCTAAATTCGACTTTTTTGAACAAGCTGATTAATCAGCGTCATAAGATTCTTCGCTGCCGACCATTTCTAAGTAGTTTGAAGGAGCCCAGCCAATTTCTCCAGTCGTGTTATTACGCACACACCACCATCCACTCTCATTTCTGAAAATTATTTCCATGACATCTCCCTCGTAGATGTCTATCTCTTCGCTATCGTCGTCAGCTTCATAGTCACAAATCACACGACAAAACATTTGTTGATGGTGTTCATCGTCATCCTCTTTTCCTCTGTCTTCCTCTTCTGGTGAATTGCTTTCCTCATTTGCGTTAACCTGATGAGCAGGGACAAAGTGTCCTGAAAAAGACCAGCCACGCAAACCGTCCTTATTCTGTATCAGCCAATAACCTGTAGACGCCTTTTCAATGACCGTGACAAAATCACCCTTGTTGAGGTAAATCTCTGCATCAACTTCGTGTGAATCAGCTGCGTAGTAGAGATTAGTTGAACCGTCCTCGTCACGTGGGGACACGGTGTTACTTTGTAGGTTGACTTCAATTTCAAAACTCTCTGTTGACCGCGCGTCATCATCCCTTAAAGTAGAAAGTCTCCCTTTGTCAGTGAGCTGGTCGTGCAACTCGTCGATCACAATCGCTGGTGAATTAGGAGAGTCGGGGTGAATAATTCGATTTGAATATAACTGCTCTTCATCGGATTCCGATTCGTCACTTGAACACCAAACTTGAATTTGCTCATTAAGTTCCTGCGCTGTTTCTGTTTCCAGAGAATTCTGGAAGATTATCTTTCGGTCGAAGTTGGACTTTGGAATTGTATGATTCTTACTCTGCTCATCTTCCGCAGATGTCTGTCTCTGGCCTCTAGGGTACGTATTTGGGGAAGGAGGGTTTCTTGAGGGAGGTCCCATTCTTGGGGAGTCGATGTTAGAGGCATTAGAAAGATTGGATGGGGAAGGGGGGCTTCTTCTTGGTGGCTGAAAATTAGCTATATCTTCGTCTATGGATGTTTTCTTGTAGTAGACATAATCACCAACAGGCTGCTTGCAGAATCCATCCAGGCATTCCATAAGATCAGTAAGTGTAGTGGTTTCTGACGAAATATCACACGAACCAGTGTCACTATCTTCTGCGTCTCCCAGAGTTGCAGTGGCCTCGATGTCGTCAGCAATCTCGTCCCGCGAGGTAGAAAGTCCGTTAGAGAGGTTTGGTGGTGCAAGCTGTGTATTGTATTCTTCTTCAATCTTAATGTGGTCTGACTCAGGAACTTCATGTAAGCAAGAAAGTGACGAGGACAAAGTGTTGCTTTTTTCAGGTTTCCAGTTTGATTCTGCACTCTGAGCTGCGTTCCTAGAGAGTAGGGACTCTAAACTTCGACTTTTGGATTTCTTTGCCTCTATATCCTCCTTAGAGTCGGCTTCATGGTTTCCAGCAGTTGCTTCCATATGGTGGGTAGATAGAGCCAAAGTGCTTATTGCTCGACGCTCCACAGTAGGCCTTGTGGAGTTCTTTGGCGATGGTTGAGAAGTTTTTCTTTTTCTCTCTTCTGAACTTGCGTCGGACGACCTTTGTTCGGATTGATTCAGCTGTAAGAAAGCGTTACTCATTTCAATCATATTGCCAATGGTTTTCTTTCTGGATGCATCCTCTGTAGCTTCTTTATCGTTGGCAAAAGATACTGCCTTTGGATCCTTTTTTCCCATTGTAGAGAAAACATTTTTCGATATCTTCCTTGGAAGAGACATTCTCTTGTCCTACAAGAAACAAGTATGGTTCATGAGATTAGATGGTGTTCTTCGGTGCATATTGAACTCAATCTCTATTACGCCGGGGTCGATATACTGATTCCTTATAAATTTTTCGTAACATTTAACATCAAAATTTTGGTCGGGATATTACTAAAAGCTGCGAGAGGCGGCAAATAACATCAGGTAATTTTATGAGATAGTTATGAAATATTACCAACCTCTTTATTTGTGTTGTATGGCTCAGTCTTTTCTTCTGGTATTTCTACATCAACAAAACGACAACAATTTATTATTACAATTCATCATTACATAAATATGCAGTGAAACCTGGAAAAAGCGGACACTCACAGGTTGGGCCTTGGCCAGCGTCCGCCTTAGAATACATTCTTGTTATGAAATTGCACAAAAAGGCGAAAAAGTAGGGTACTTTCAAAACGTTCTAATACTTTGCTGTTTGCTTGATACAGTTTTCACATTGACTCACTATTCCCAGTGGCGGATTAAGATCTTTAAGTAAGTGCGGGCGCTGCTCATCCAGTGCCTAAGATAAGAGGGGGGCCTGCCTTAAAAAATAATTTTCTTGACCCTGCGGGGCTCACTTTGGCCTAAGAGTAAGGTTTGGTTACCCTATATCCGCCACTGATTCAAAACCAACGATAATACCATAAAGCAAATCAGGGCTGTGAGACATGGCTTATAGTAGTAGCCTTTGAAGTGGGCAAGTCGTCTCGATATTTTGTGATTTGATGCAAGAAGACATTTTTAATGAGAACTCAATACTGACTACAACACTAGTACTAACAGTGGCGGGTATCTCGCTAGACGGACCCAACCGCATGTAACGGACAATTAACAATTATTGGACGAGGTTGAGCAAAATATGGTGACTTGTCTGTGGCGAGCAGATCAATTATTTGCCTCAGCCTTCGGCTTCGGCAAATAATTGATCTGCGAGACAAAAACTGACAAATCACGATATTTTGCGATAACCTAGTTGAATAATTGTTATATCATTCGATCACCGAGTTTGTTTTTTTAATGAATATCCTTGGGAAGCGAAGCGATCTGCCATTTTCACGCAAGAACGATCGCAAGAAGGAGAAAGGCACGGTTTCCTTTACGCATGAGCAGAATATTATTTGCAGCCAAACACTGTTGGACGGCATTGCACATAAGCAGACCATTATTTGTAGGCAGTTATTTGCAGGTCACGTGGTGGGCTCTCGGCCAATGAAAAGAAAGAACAATTTGCTTCGAATGATAATTATGTTTGTCCCGACGAAAAGCTTTTATTTTTTCGCTAAAATTAATCAGCTTGATACAAACATCCGGAAAATACAGACACCATGGCATCTTCCCTTGGTGTCCATTTTAGCCGTTTTCACTGAACAATAACTTTTGAATTGAAGTCATGCACATTCCGATAATGGGATCTCAGGTTTCTTACCTTGAATCACGTCTTCTTCTTCCTCTATGGGGCTCCTCAGTTCAGTTCTAGAAATAATCCTTGATTTTCGTCTTGCTGTTCTTGAACCTCTTCGCTCGTTGCCCAACTTTCTGAGGTACAATTGTGGCACCCAGCCTTCTCTTCCAAGGTATCTGACGAAAACAGTGGGTATTTTGTACTAAGTACCAAACCAACACCCATTTTTAGTCACATTACTTAGGACTGAGATGGAAATACAGGCGCTAGAATGTCTTGCTGATATCAACGATTAATTATTATTATCGTTATCATTATAATTATAATTTTTATTTGTTATTAGTATTTTTTTTCAGAAATGAGAAAGTATACGTAAGGTTGAAAATAGAAGTTTACAAAAAGTTATGAATTACAAAAAAAATAATTATTATAATATTTCGCTCATAACCCTAATAAGACGACTTCACTTACGAAGCTTTCCACCATCCATCCATGTTCTTTTCCAGAATTTGCAAATTGACACCAATATCAAACGACAACTCATCATCTTCAACAGCGACATAACGTTTGGTGGTGACGAATACTTCTCCTATGTAAATGAAGATTAAGTTCAAATCCCTTAATAACAAGACTCTTGGCAAAATCTAAGAGTTGAGATCCAGAAAAGGTCTATACGTAAGTTAAGGGAGGGAGGGGGTAACACTAATTTAAAAGAGGTTTGATTCAAATACACTTTTACTTGGATAGGTTTCTACCAGGGGCTGATTGTATCGTATCTTGATAATCCGCTGTTGTTTCCTTGCTAAAAGTTGGTCATGTAGAGTTTTCCATCGTTTGGTAAAAGCAATAAGTCCCTTGAAAGCAACGGTAACAAGTGTTCTTTCTCTGTGATATGATACGTACCCTTGCTAATAGGGAATCTTTGCACGTTTGATAGCTCAGTGTCCGACATTTCGTCTGCTGGTTCGAGATACAGAGCTGGAGCCCAACCCACTTCACCATCAGCATCTACCAGCCACCAACCTGTAAAGTCAATTTATGATACTCAACTTGATTATTCAGTGTTATACTGAGATACCTCAATAGGTTTAGACTGAAGGAGATGTGACTTGCGGTAAATGTATGTTTAAAAATCCAGTTCTATCAACTTTCTTTGAATACAAATAGCAAAACAAGTCATCAGCCTAAATGAAAAAGCTCCATTTTCAGCATAAAGTAGAGAGTTTGATTATAACGTACTTTCGCAAAATCTTGTCATTTTCGAATAATGCGAAAATTCGGCTTACTCCTTTTAAATGGTAATAGTACGTAATAATAATCAAGTAATGATAATAATAATAATAATAATAATAATAATGATAATAATAATAATGAATACATAAGCTTGAACTATTAACTTTAAGAAATGTGTGTTAATGTTTTTATATACATATTGTCATGATCATTATTATTATTATATACATATTGAGAAATACTCACCAAAAAGCTATGTCGAAAATTTTCGTACGCAAATTAGTTCTAGCCAATCAGAGGAGCGAACGATGGTTTTCACACGTGAAAAAAATGATACGTCCAATCAGAAGCCACAGAGATGTGCGAGTTTCGTGCCAAAATTCCCGCCTTTTATTGCAGCTTGTAGCGCCGCTTCGCACACATTCAACGAGAAAAATTTTACTCAGAGTTTTTCTCGCTAAAAAAGTGAAAAATATTTCGGAAATGGAGTGGAATAGTTTCGTTTGTTTCACTGTTGATAAAGAAGACGGTAGAGAGCCAGCGAAACAACAGCAGAAAGGGAAAAACAGAACGAGACGTAAGCTTTCGTGCTTTTTGTCGGAGCTACTTTGCCTTTAATTTACGCTTATATTGAAACCGGCCATTTTACTTAAATTCACTCATTTTCAATTGTGCATTGAGGACAAACAGTTAAGATTACTTATAGTTCTTGGATTACCTCATATCCTTACCGTCACTTATGTTTTTAACAAACGTTTTTACCAAAAAGCTGATAATTCGTTTTCGTTGTCATTTTGCGGTAAGTGCGTAGCGGCGAATTTTAGCATTTTTGAAAGATTTAAAATAAAAAGGCCACCAAAATGATGAATGTCTCAGTATGTATATAATAAACACAATACCACATGGAAAGTGCTTTGTACGGTATTTACGCACTCGTTGTTTTTGTATCAGAAATCTTACTCGTTCGCTGCGCTCACTCGCTCGATATCTGATACGTCAACAACTCGTGCGTAAATACCGTACGCCAGCACTTTCCATGAAGTATCCTTTATATATTTAATTGTAAAGTTGTGGTTCTAAGTTCGAGAGTTATTCCACGTTCAAGGAGTTTTAACGTTGCTTAGTTATTGTTTAGGGGAATAGAGAGCCTGTCCATGACCAGATTCCTTATAGCTCGTGTGGTTTTAAGGCAACAAGTTTGTTGTTTGAATATTTATTTATTCATATATAGTAAGTGATATTTGTAACATACTAAATTTTTAGAATAACTCACCGCATTCTCTCTTCTCGATGACGTCCACAATTTTTCCTTTCTTCAAATTAATATCAGTCTTGGCTTGTTTTTTATAGTCTTCCATAACAACGAAATGTTCCAAGACAATAGGTGAACTTATGTTGTTACCGACTGGAAAATAAATTATAATGGTTACTTCCGATAATACGTAGAGTCAGAAACTGATGTAAAGCCTTACCTTGATAAGACCTTAATTTTATCTTCCCTATTCCCAGAGAAGCAATTGAACTAAAAATCTTTCGCGCTCCTCCAGCCATTTTAATCTGGCAGAGCTGGACGAGATAGATCTCCTTTTTAGCCTGTTTGTGTCAGATGTAGAGATAAATCTCAAACCAAGAGAGAATGAATAGTAACTTTGTATTCCAAGAAAAGGTAAAACGGTAAAAAATATCACTTACATATTTTGGTCGTCTTTCCAAACTTTTGCAGTCGCCCTTTCATTGTCTGCGAAAAGTTACTACTTCTTCTTCTGCCTCTATTTTTCTTTCCGCTAAATTTCCGTAAAATATAAACAAAACAGGAGAACTGCCTTACAGTTAAACAAGTATTTGGCATGCAAACTTAAGGTAACATGCACTGATGTTGAAGTCAGTTTCAATTTCCCATGACTATTGTTGCGTAATTATACGTCTTGCCAACTTTATTGTAACTGTAACATTTAGCTACAAAAAAAATTGCGAGAAACTTTTCTGAAAAACATTAAGGAAATTTTAAAAAAGTTAAAACCTTACGACATTTCGACGTTTTCGGACGTCATTATCACGTACAAAAAAATACAGTGTGAATGTTCTATAAATACAAAAAAAGCAATAGTTCATTAGCTAATAGTGGCCGTGAGAACGCGAAATTGACCCTAATTCAGAAGATTTTTGTCACCGTGCAATTCTAAATTAAAAATGTTCACCGATAGCTGAATACTTTATGTTCAGCAATGCGTTGATGAAGGTGTCGGGCTGTGTAGCCAACATAATCCGCATCACACAGAACACATGCAAATTTATAAACAACGCAATGCTGACTTACAATACTCAGCTTAATTTTTTTCGGCTCGAGATCTTGCTCCAATTTTTGCTCACAAAAATAGGCTGTGAAGCTAATCTTACATGTTGAAGGTAATCTTACATGTTACACTGATCGCGCCTATGCTCTGTTCACCTGCGACAGAGGCTTTTAATGAGGAATGTGCCAAGTAACGTTCTATCTTCTGCCGACTTGATTATCCATTTGGCCTCATAAATTTCACCATTTTAAATATGTTAACTAAAAATATTACAACTAAGCCAGAAATGAAAACCGATGATGGCAACACGATAGTTCTTCCCTTCAAAGATCAGATAGCCGCTAATGCAGCCCGTAGGCAATTGCGTGATCTCAGCAGTAAGATTAATTGCCGTCACTTAACAGCCTACTATTGTGTGCAAAAAATTGGAGCAAAATCTTAAGCCGAAAGAAATTAAGCTGAGTATTGTAAGTCAGCATTTTGTTGTGTGAATTTGTATGTGACCTGTGTGATGCGGATTATGTTGGCTACACAGCCCGACACCTTCATCAACGCATTGCTGAACACAAGTATTGAGCTATCGATAAACATTTTTTAAAAGGGCACGGTGACAAAAATCTTCTGAATGAGCATCAATTTCGCGTTCTCATGAAGTGCCAAGGGAAAATTCGATTGCTTCGTTTACGAAATGTTATTCATCAAAGAACTAAGGCCTTAACACTCAGAGTGACTCCATCATTGCTAAACTACTTTGTTAAACTTGAAACGTATGCTTTTCTTTTTAATGAACTTAAGATTGTTTTTCTTTTATTTATAGAACATTCACCATGTATTTTTTTAAATTTGTAAAAAATTTCCTAAATGTTTGTAAGAAAAGTTTTTTCGCAATTGTTTATGGCTAGAATGTTCAGAAAAAGTAGCTTCTTTTTAACTGTAACGTTACCAAGGATTTTGACGAGCTTTCATGGCTTCTTTCTTTGATCAATGGACGAAATACTATGACCAACTTTTTTTTTTTCATAAACTGTTCTGGATTCGTTGAATATAATGGTTTCATGCCTTATCTTTTTACTTACCGAGGGGGCTGGCGTTTCGGTTCTGGCTCTAAGTCCTCCGGTCTTGGGGTCAAAAAACTCTTGATATGCTTTGACTGTGCCACTTTAGTGTCAAGCCCCACAATCTCCTACAACAAGAAAAGGAAACAACCAAACTTATTCAACTTGAACCAAAAAACAGAGTCTGCAAAATATACATCGCCCTCTCAAGAAACAATGCCACTAACTAGGGGAGTTTCATACTGCCTTATCAAATTAAGCGTCGCATTGCTTCGAATATTCCAGATTTCTAGTGCGGGGCACATTGCCATAGGCGTCAGGCCGATAAAGGTTGGGCGATACGCTCGTGCCAGTCCTACTCCCCATCACAAATGGCTTGAAGGGCGGAGTGCTGGCTTCATCGCCCAGCCGTCCTGGCCGACAACCAAGAAGAAGCCGAGTGCTTTTGTCAGAGGGCTACAGTTCTGATAATTTTTGATGGTGATCTATTTCGGCTCTTTAGCGGTACGTGAAGCCGCCACCTACTTCTTACCTTCAAGAAAGAGTTGACTTGCTCCATTCTCCTAAATATAGCTTCACCAACATTCATGCGGGTAGAAAGCGTATCTAAAAGGTACAATAGTGGCACAACAAAACTTAGGAAACAGTCGCTATAAATTCCAAAGAATTAATAAGAAGCTTATATATTTGCTTTGAAAAGTTCTGTAGAGCACTTTCTAATATAACTTTGATTGATTTTTAATATAGGTTCCAACAAAGAAATACTTATCACTTACAAAGGAATTGATGAGATGAATTTGCGATAAAATGGCTGAAGAATAGGCCAGCGGGAAAACGAATTTTTATTGCGACTCACCTGGAAGTGGAGTGAAGTGATTATGTTTTGAACATGTTGCGCCAGGCCTGCCAAGGGACTCAGGAAACGCTTGGTACAAAATAGTCTAGGAAAATGCAAGTAAAGTATCTCCTGTTTAAGTAAGGAATGAACACCAACAAGGAATGAAATGGTAACTTTTAGCTTTATTGACTGCTAACAATTATTGGACGAGTTGAGCAAAATATCGTGATTTGTCAGTGGCGAGTAGGTCAGTTATTTGCCGAGACCGAAGGATGAGGTAAATAATTGAAACGGGACACTGGCAAATCATGATATTTTACGATAACCGAGTTCAATAACTGTTTAATCATTCGATCACCGAGTTTACTTTTTAATGAATATCTTCGGGAAGCTTTCATTTTCACGCAAGAGCGATCGCAGAAAGGAGAAAAGCGTGGTTTAATTTCATTTACTCATAAGCAGGACATTATTTCGAGCCAAACACAGTTCAATGACATTGCGCATGAGCAGATAATTTTTTGTTAGCAGTTATTTGCAGGTCACGTGATGGGCTCTTGGCAAATGAAAAGGAAGAACAATTTGCATCGAATGATAGTGCAGTGCCATTTGTTTTCATTCAATAACTCGCCAGATTTCAAAGAAAAAAAGTAAATACCGGTACTTCAACCATAGCCCTTCCAGTGACTCAATCTCTCGAGTTTTTCTCACTTCAACATTTGCACATCTCCCATAGCACATTTTGTTTACCCCCCAATCATTTGCAGAAGCATTGTCTTCCATTTTTTTTTGGTAGGACTGCTATACCCAGGAGAAATAAAAAACAAAGGTTATGCAAAATTGGGGGGGGGGGGGGGGGGGGGGCAAAAAAACTTGGGTTAGGGGGGGTGGGAAAATTTGAAGGAAAAAGGAAAAGGGGTTTAGGTGGGGTGGGGGGGGGGGTCCCAGCTTTTTCTTGCACTCCTTTGAATTTTTCTCTTACACCTGAGGGAAAAGGTCAATGCATTGTGGCATTTTCTTTCTTTAAAAATGGCGTGAAGTTTTTTCTTGTGGCAAAATATTCATGAAGCTTGTTGTCCCTACGCACTATATTATGTAGTTTTTATTTTTACAATTACGTTTCAGGAGTAATTAAAGGAAAGAAGGAAAAAAAAGTAAGGGTGAGGGTATGAGGGGGGGGGGGGGGGGGGTGGGAACAAAACAACTTGCGTTATGGGTGATGTGTAAATTTGAAGGACAAAGGATAAGGAGATTCAGTCGGGTTGGGGGGAGGGTACCAGCCTTTTCTTGCAGCTCATTGATATTTTCGCTTAATCCTGAGAGCAAAAGTCAATGCATTGCTGCAGTTTCTTTCGTTAAAAATGTCGTTAAGTTTTTTCCTGTTGCGCTATTTCAAACCAATGGACTTGATATTTACAAGGCAGTCGAATCAGCGGGCACAGTCTCAGCAAACCGTGAACAAGGGTTTCAATCCCTCATCCCTTGGATTTTTCTTGGTTGGAGTATTTCCATTTTTTAAAAAAATTGCGTTCAGTTAATAGCCTACTCTATCGTCGTAAGACCCGGCCAAGTAAAGACGCCTGCCCAAACTTAAGTTCGTATTTCGAGCTATTCCAAATAGCGGTAGTGAGAGTTTATTTCTTTAAACGTAAGCTTTTGAATTCTTTGAAATGGTCACCCGAATCCTGTTGCCCTACTTGCTATTCTCAAACGTATGACTCTAGCGCTCATTGTTATTGATTTTTTTTCCTGTGAAACCTCCCGATTGCGACAGGTGAGCAAAGAGAGGCGACTGTGTTGATCAGAATACCTTTCCTAACCCGCATAAATAAGCCGTATGGCAATAAAAGACGAACGGTTAAAATAATAAATATTCTTCACAACAATTTCAATGACAGTTCATAAAAGCAGATAAAATTAGCCGTATGTTTGACCGTAATTTCTGATAGTAACCTTAAACAATCTTTGACGCAGTTAATTACCAAGACTACGTTAGTAACTGACGATATAGGCCCTCCCAGTTTACACATTTTAATAAGTTTCCGCTTATGATTTCAAGTTATTTTTTAATTTGAACTGCTTGTATCTTCAATCGTGCTTCAAGTCAGGTAATCTGAAACTTTGTCAGACCAGACTTTGTAAATCTAGATTCTGCAAGGGGCAAAACCCGACTTGACGCGTGAAAGATGCGTCTCTAAATCGGCACAGCTTTCAAGCTCCCTAGAATTATTTTATTAATCAATTAAAAAAAGATGAATGGAAAAATAACATTCTTTTGATGTTCTATTAACAGCTATTCAAGTGATCTTATTCTTATCAGCAATTGTTTTTGAAAATCACTTGTAGTTGTTCCAAGACATTATGTTTGTGAGCCAATACTTACAAGTGCTCTTTTGAACGTTAAAGATCAATTCAAAACGGAAGGATGTGTTCAACCAACAGATACAGACATAAACAAAAGAGCAATAAACTTATCAGGCACATAAAGGAACAAAAAAGTTTATATGAATTATGGCGCCTTACTACAGGACTCTTTAGAGGATCCTACGTTAATGATCCAGAAGAAAAGTTTTGGCATTGCCTTCTGTATTTAAAGAAATGATATTCACTATTCGCGTCAGTTTTTGTGGAAGTGGGCTGGCATCAACGAGCACGAATGCAAGCACACGGGGCTATGATACTGGCTTATGTGTTGTTTTAAAACGTAAGCACTGTTTTCTGGTTAGCCTTTTTAAATTCGAGAGGGCTTTTTTGGGGTACCGATAGAAAACGTGATGAATTGACTGAAATCCGGGATGAAACACTTTTCTTTAGATCACCGCAATAAATTGAACAACATTAAGTAACTCATGCCAATCCAGAGGAAATGGGTTGCCGGAATTACCGTCGTTTTAATAGTGCCATGGGGCTATAGACCAACCACTAGCTCTTGCTTTATTGTGAGAAGGCGGGAAACTTTATAACAGTTTTATATTTCCTCTGTCTCACTTCACTATGAATAAAATCTTCAAGGTGTTAAGAAATAGCTATAATAGTGATAGAATCTTGCTCTGCTGATTTATTTTTGTCTGTGAATGAGGCAAAGGTGAAAACGGTGAATGGTGTGATGTGTACAGATACAAATACAGTCTCTTTGTCAGACAGTCAACTGCGGATGGTTTTTAGCCAGGGCTTTTAGATCTTTTTTGTCTTGTAGCTCCAATCTTCCAAAGTAGGTCACCACCAAATATAGTTTTCGGTGCATTAAACAACATTTAAAAGATTCTGTGGAGGGATTTCAGAACAGACAGGAAGAACCAGGGGCACCCAACGTCAATTTTCGGAAAATATCTGTTCTCAAGACGACTTGAGATCTAGAATTTTCGGAACATTTGTTGTAAAATCTCTTGCTTGTCTGCCTCTCCTAGGATTTTCGAACATCTAAAAGATGGTATAATTGTCCATTTTTAACGGATTTTTATCCTAGAAAGATCACCTAGAATCTTCTGGAGCCTTTTTTCTGGCTGAAATTTCGAAAGGGTAAGTTTTGATCCCTATAATTTTCGGAACACCAAACTTTCTGTTAGGAAATCCGAACAGATAAAAAATTTTTAGGGGATAAAAATATGCCTATATCTACCGTTTAAATACTAAAATACTTTAAACAACAATTCTCGTTGGGTGCCCCTTAAGAACTCGTAACTCAGTGACAGTAGAACTGACAAAACTCACTGTCTCCTACCAGTGTACGTTTTGATTTACTCACATCCGGCAGTGCATATCATTGGCTGGGCTTATTCTTAAGATTCAACAAAGCGTATTAATTTGTAGCAGATTTAAGCAGCATCCTCCACAATGATTTGTCGGTCAAAAAGATTGTTGAATCGTTTCTCAATTTCTTCAGATTGTCAAGTACAACCTGACGCAATATTATCTACTTCAGTGGACCCTCGATACAACGAAGGGTCAAGGTACTGGCAAGTTCGCCATTGATAACGAAGTTTCGTTATATCGAGGTTCTTTTCCAATGTTTTACTATTACTGGGGTGAAGAAAATCATTCGATATACCGAGCACTTCATTATACAGAGGATCGTTATATCAAGGTTCCACTGTACTTGAAAGTACGGGTTGCTTATCATGTGCGTTTTACAGACAAGATGCAGGTTTTATCCTTACAGGGCGGTGGTGTATTTCTACACTGAAAAGCTGTGGTTCGAGCGCAAAACATTTTAGATACGTTTGAAAAACTGCGCATGCCCCGCTCTGCTACTTACAGCCCCTATAATTTTGAATAGCTTACCTGCAAGTGTAAAAATTCGCTGTACCTTCGATAAACCAAGTTGACAGTTCCATCAGACCATGTAGCCTTCACGCAAAACATCTAGACAAATGAAAAGACACGTGTTTTGTTCAATAATCAACTTCTGGAATACGAGTAGGGAGAGATCAAAGCACTCTAACAGCTTAATTTGGCCGATTTGAAGCTGAGTCTGGCCGCTGAAAACTCGGTCAGTATGAACCTAGCACAGATACATGCCATTGCTTAAAATTATTACTAGTTAAAAAGTTCAACGGTTCAATTACGTATCAAAAATACACAAATAGCTAAAATTATCATTATATAAGGATCGCCCTTTGCACTGTTTGAAAAACCCTTAAGCAATTTTTTTTTTTTTTTAAAAAAACACCTTTTTACGAAATAATAAGGTATCTGGAATGTAAAAACTGTGGTACTCATTTTTGTCAATATTTTGTTCAAAAGATTATGTTTCTCGGGATTGTTTCTAAAAAGTCTGTGACATGAGTCTCTTAGCATTGAACATCATGACACCGGTTTTTTTTTGAAGCTACCGGAATACGTGATTTTACATTGCATCCTTTAACTCATTTTCGTTATTTGCAAAATAGTAAAATTAGCATTATTGAAGTAGATTGTGATTGAATAAACAAAATTGTAAATTCTGGTTTCGGTAATTAGAAATTCAAATGCATATGAATCAAGCCTTGTAAATACTTGAACCTCGACGTCATTTTCGAGCGAAGAAACACAATTTAATAAGGTGGTAACAAAAGTCATATCAAATTTGCATTTACTTCGATGTACCGTTTAGAAAACGGGCGTCGACACTCCCTTCAGCCTTTTGATATGATACATCGTCGAGTTCTTCATTTCAGTAGCCTAACAGCGATGACGCGCATTTTTGGAAAAGCGCATCACTTTGAAGGAATCTTAGTGAAGCTATTCTTAGTGATTAATGACTGAGCTCACGCATTCCCTCTCACGGTTCTACTGAAATATTACTGATGCGGATCACTGATGGTGATCATCTCCGTTATTCTCCTAACCTCTGTTATTGATATACAGTATTGATACATTAGGTGAAAATTTACACTGATCACGTCTGAGTTTACGGGGCGGCTGAGGACAGGTAAAACCGTCTTGAAACTATCTTCAAAATGTTAAGCAAAAATTAGTTTTTCTAAATTTAAAGCTGTATTTCAAGCAAGCAAAATCTGCTTTTTCGTTCCTCTTCCCTAGTGAGAATTTGAGACAGTTGTCGTAACAATTTCATCGCGTTTTCCTGTGGAAAGAATGATGTCCCTTGCAAACTACCGAGACGTGTTTTCCGTCTTTGAAATAACATCTTAAACAGCCTTTCCGTCTCTAATTTAAACTCGACTATTTTCTTTAAACTACGGTCAGACGGCGATGTAAATACTACCAACGGTAAAGTAGTCGTGTTAAAACTTGAAAGGAATTTACGGAATGATCTCTGGACACCAGTTTTGTCGAACGCAAGTCAATACTCAACCAGTGAATTCTCTTTACTTTTGGTACACGATTAATTCTTCGTTTACAACGGATTTTAAAGCACCAAGAATTATTTCCTGTCAATCTCAAATGTTCAAAGTTTGATCAGTTACAACACACAAATAACGTAAAACTTACGAAGTGTTTCTTTGGTTTTGTCCTTCGCTGAACTCCTTCAACGGAAGCCTCTTTCACACTCCTGAACTCCATACCCAACGACTGCTGATTGTCCATGAAGTCTTTGCGCGACGGCTTTCAATTTTATGTTCACTTCGATTAAGTAAAGTAACCGCGGTCTTTCAGTAGCAATATTAAAACAAGGCATGCGGAAAGATCTTGTGGCGAAGACATGCAAAGCTCCTCATTAACAAAACAAAACCATTCGTCCTATCTATGCTTGGCTGAACAATTCGATACTCAACGAAGCAATGGCGTAAATTCACAGCATAAACAGGGCTTAATTTAAGGCATGCATTTCTAATTCTTCGATTGAAATGAAATTCGTCTTCGCCTCTCTGAAAAAAAAAAAACAGTAAGGGAAACGCCTGATATGGCAATGCCATTCATTCTTTTGATTGGAGCACGGATAGTGTCCTGAGACTCTCATGGGATTAATCAGTTTAAAAGAAGCGTACCGAAACAACATAACAGTTATTTGATTTCTTTGTGACTGGTTAGGGGAGTTTTTCTGTCAGTATGAAAAATTTTTGTGGAACCTCGCGTGCGTCAGCATAAATATTTACTTACAATTGTTTGCGTGAATCAATATCCTCACGCACGTCAAAAAGAAAAGATATACAAAGAGACTAATCATGGGTAGGGATGTACTATCATGCTAATCAGATATTGATGTTATTAGTTTGCTATTGTGAAAACACGACAGAAGTATCCATAATGGTAACAGCACGAAGGTTTAATCGCTCTAGCGTTACTAAAGGTGCTCTGTTATCGTCAATTTTAAGCCATATAATCGTTCTTAAGGCGAGCATCAAGAGAAGTCGCAGCTTAGCCCTTGTGACCTTGAGCGGTTTAGCTGGGGTCTTCTGACACAAACCACAATGTTGGTGACATTGATATATTATTGTAGCTTATTTCGTACATGTCTTTTACTTTGCATAACAGTTAACTAGTAAATATAATACTTAAAAACACAATGCGTTTAGTTGTGCACAATACCAAAGAGCACGCAATGTATTGCTCTATTGCTTAATTTAACGGACAGTGTCCTTAGTAAAGTCTTGCGTCAGTGTTGCTAACTGACTGAAGTGAATCAAACCGTCTGAACTTAGCACTTTCAGTCAGTCGTTTGTTACAAGGCTTATTTTAATTTTTTCTTATCTCCGCCCACAAAAATTTCGCAGTCGGTCTTCTTTGTGAGTGGAACTGGTAATTTGTTTTATTGACAGTAAGCACGTGATTTTTACAGAATGGCATTCACGTGCAAAAGTATGCGCTAACGCATATGGTGTTTGTCCTGTTCGGTCACATGACTTGTCATGTGATAACATCTTGAGTAAAAAAGATGGTGGTTTTCAGTGTCGCCTTTTCTCGCGTGAGGTGATTTTCACGCGCGCTCGCGTTCCGCTCGCTCTACCATCCCTAAGGAAAAATGGGAGACTACTCGTAGTCTATTTTCAGTAGGGCCAGTAGAAAACAGTGCAGAAAAATTGTAAAGCTTGAGCCTCATCCAAATGAGTCTCCTTGAGGCTTAAAACCATTTTTTTTTGCGCTCCTTTCTCTCCTAGCCTCCTATGCAGAGACGTCCTTAAGGCTTCGTCACGAACCAAAAGAACCTCTGCGTGGGAGGCTACTTCTCGCCCTTTTGAGCGGTAATCACCCCTTCCCCCCAACCCCAGGGTTGTTGCATGTATGTCGACACTGATATTGTTGCTATCAGACAGACGTATGCATGAATAACGGGTTTAAACACGTGATAGTAGATGGCACGTATTGGAATATTAATGTTCTTGCCTGGAAATAATTGACCTGAAAGACTTCCATGAACTGCTACTGTCTGAAAGAAACACTAGTCTTGTAAAGACAAAACCACAACAACAAACCAGTAGGGATTAGCCGGATCTTAAGTAGACCTGGATCAGTAAAATCTTCCATAACAAATTTTAAAATTAGATCAGTAAACTGATCCTTACGGCAGGCAGAGTGATAGAAAAAATAAAGAAAACAAAAATTAAATGGTGAATTATATTTCCCCGATATTTCGGTTTGAAACACAAACCTTCAACGGGAGCTATAAAAGTAAAATGAAAACTTTTCAACTGACTATTCACAAATAAGATTAAAGAGTATGAGTAAATTGTTTAATAAGTGACCCTTCGCAGTTGAGTAAATCCGTCACTGTGCATGAAAAAATTTGAAAACTTACTTTTGTACCAGTAAACTGAATTATAAAGAAGCGATTCAAAAAATGGTATAAAAATAGCGATAGAATATTGCTTAAAATATTTTTAAAAATTTTATCAAACGTTAATATGACGACGTTTCGACGTTCTCGGACGTCATTATTAAGTTAAACGAAAATAGCAACTTATTCTATAATGTCATTGCCATGTGATGGCAAGCGTTTGGATAATAGGTACAAGTTTTCTTGTCATTCCTGTATGGCCATTCCACACCGATGCCGGGTGGCCCCTGGAACAGCGCTGGGTGGCCCCTGGAACAGCCTCAAGATTATTTGCCACACCACGGAATCGGTTTCAGGAAGTTTGACGGTGCCCAGCCTTCTTCATGATCAATATTCACGTACCACCAACCACTCCTGCTTTTACGGATAACTTTTACTTTATCTCCTTCATAAAGATCAATCTCGTTTTCCGACATAGCTTGATACATGGCCATGGCTTGATAAGCACTTCTATGTCTGCGTCCTCGAGTGAGGTGTCCTGCGTCGTTTGGGGTGGCTTTGGGTTTATATCGATTTTGGCGACAATTTACTCTTGTCCTCGTTTCCCTCCTCTCTCGAAGATTATACGGGGGAACTTCAAAATCACCGCACCAAGAATCACTTCGGCTGATTTCGTCAAACACTTCGTCATCTGAAGATTCACAGGCATTCAAATCCGGTGTAAACCAATTTCTGACAGCATAACCATCTGTAGTGAGAGTTCGACATTTTCTGCATAATGCCTGATGCCGCATCTTATTGCTGACCATAGCGCTACTTTGCGAGACAGACTGTTTAATCGTCTTGAGTCCCTTTCTTCTCTCGTCTTCTGCGGGATATCCAGAATCATATGAGGCCAGTCTTTGCTGTTTTATTAACGGAGATCTTTTCTTGCCACCCTTCCCTTTAGAGGCTGAATAACCCTTGGCTTCAGGAAGCATAAAACCTTCCTCCCTGTTCGGTCTCAAAGAGTCGAAACGGCGTCTCCCCTGACTCACTTCTCTCTTCTTATAACGTAGATTGTTATCGAAGAAAGCTCTGTATTGTCTACTATCTCTTCTTCTCGGCCTCGTACTATTGTTAGAGGAACTCTCTGTCTCGGATGAGCTTCTGATGACAGTGCGGCCCCTGTAACTTGTTGGCTCAGGCCAAAAGTGGTTACTAGGGGCCCATTTCGAGGCACGTGTTTTCTTGTAAGAATCGGCCAAACTTCCTCGCTTTTGAACCTTTGAAAGTTGGAAAAATATATATATATATATCAATAACCACTACAACGGACTAACAAGATGACGTATTTTCATTCGTATTTTTCGTGGCCCTAATAAACGTTATGATGTATTTGAAAAGGATGCATAGGACTGGGAACTCAGAATGAATAATCACTAGGTACACACCAAGATCCGTGGAAATGACTCTTTAAAATAGGGTGGCGATTTAAATATAACTTCAATACTTTTATATGGCACCAATACCTCCTTTTTTGAATTGGGGAGGTGGGAAATTGCAGTTTTTCTCAATTTTGTTCACTTTTAGGGGTTAAAGGTTTAAAACTGATGCAAGAAATTCTATTAGCACTGGCCCGAAAGAGCAGGATGAGGCGACTCCTGTGCTGATTGGCTAGCCGATTTGCCTTAATCTTGTCTACTAGGGATTTCTCGCGAGGAAAAAGTTGCCTCGGTGACCATATAAAAAATCCTTTATTGACCTAACTTGCCACCGTTCAGTCAAGGTAGAGACTAGATATTGGCTTATTATATGTTTCAGGGAAACTGCCCACCTACCCCTTCCCTTAAGCCAACATTTTGCCCTAAGTGAGAAGTAAGTGTTAATGTTGGCTTAGGGGAGGAGTAGCTGGGTACTGTTCATAAAAATGTAAAAGGACTTTTTAGCCAGCCATCTTTACCTCACGCTAGGTCAGTAACGCATATCTCACATTAGTTTGTGCACTGTTTTTCTCGAATTTATAACTGTCTATGGCTGGTAAAATTTCAAATTTTAATTGCGTCGTACAGGAAGGAAGGTTGGAGAAGTGATTTTATTGCATGTTCAGTCTGGTAAATCAGCTACGGCACAAAATAGATATCAGTTCTTGGCCCTGAAAAAAGAGTTGTGCAGGGACAGGCTTAATCATGTGGCATTAAAAACAAGGACGCTATTAGGATTTGCTCCCTATTCGGAGGGAAATAACCCTTAGTGTCTAGCGGGTCTGTTTATGATAATTACACAATTTAGAGGTAAAAACGCAATGGATATACTCTATTAGATGTTTTACACTTACAGCCGAAAATTGTCGCTGCTTCCAGGCGGCCAACCTCCGAATGTGTGCTCTTCCTTAAACAAATTCAAAAACACAGGACTTAGCAGATGAGTAATATTCAGTCATGAAATTTCAAGGGTTTTGTTCACGACGCAATACATATTAAGAATATTTAGCGGGTTGAACTGATTTAATAAAACCCACATACAACTCAAATCATGCAAATATAAACTGACATTACAAAAACTGAGACAATTTGACGGGGCTGGGTTTAAAAAAGGGTGGAATACACAATCACAGAACTAAAGCATTTCTCATTATTTTTGGCAATATTTTTACTACCCATCTACCCATACTGATTAGACTAGAGACCACAAACTGCAGAAATGCTTTCAAATGCAATCAAGATGAAAATATCCCTTAATACATGAATTGCCTGCGAACGTTTAAGCAATGCAGTTTACACCTTTTTCACTAACATAAGGTGCAGACAACACCTCTGTTCGTGTTTTTAGGGAAATTTCTTGGGTCATTCAACTATTGTTAGCTACTTAAACAACTCATTTTAAGAACTTCCTTGTTGGCTCCATGTGTTTAATGCCTCATGATACATAAAAAAGTATATATGAAAATGATACTAAAGACAATTTTTATGTTGAAAGGTTATTTTCAGGGGAAAATTACGGAACCGATTAAAAAATAAAATCATTTCTAAAACTTACTGCTGTCAAAGACGTTATCATCATTATCAGCATCATTATCATCATCATCATCATCGTCACATCTATCGCTGTCATTGCTATTCTTATCGTCATGACTATCGTATTCATCATCGTCGTCGTCTTCGTATTGACTGCCATCATCGTACTCACCACCACCACCACCATCATCATCATCATCATCATCATCATCATCATCAGCGCAAACAGCAGCATCATAACCGACGCCAAGATCAACATTGTCATCTTCGTTACCATCACTGCTTTCGTACTCACTGCCGTCACAGTCTGGCTGCTTTCTTCCTTGATTGACGCCTGATTCATCATTCACAGGGCTATCCTCATTCTGATATGTGCTTGTTACGTCAGCCAGGAAATTAGAAGGTGCCCATCCGACAACTTCATTTGCTCGTACTAACCACCATCCATTGCGAGCTTTCTTTTCCACTTTTACCTCATCTCCTTTGTAGAGTGTTATTTCCCAGGGTTCCCGAGCTTCGTACGGGCTGACAGCGTAATAGGTGATGTGATTTGCTTGGAATGAACCTTTCGAACCTGAATTTCTTGCTTCGTTCAATAAAAACTTCTCTGCTTGTACAGGAGTCTCCACCTCTTTCTCATCATTAGCGGTGCTTCTCCGCTGACCTACCACGTCAATGCCTTCCTTCCTTTTACTGAGCTCCATTCCATGTATTCCTTTCTTTAGCTCTCTTATTTCACAAAAATCCTCAAACGGTTCCTCAGCTTTTACTTCTTGAATATCGGAAGGCTTGCTTACTTGCTCTTGTTTCTCTGTTGAATGATGTTTATTTTGTTTCTTCATATTCTCCCAGGCTTTCAATTCAAGCAACCCCTTATTTCGAAACTCTCCATCTGGGGTATCATTTCCCTTCTCGTCTCCTCTATCAACCTGAATGACCGAGTTTTCACTAAAAAAATCAACTAACGTTTGGCATTCTTCATCACCTTGCATGCACGAAGTAACTGGGACATCTTCGGTATCACTATGGGACGGTGTTATACAAATTTTTGGCAGGGGAAACTTCATGCTGGGTTCTTCATAAGATTCATTTTTCAACTTCTGGACTGGGCTTAACGCAAAAGAACGTCTTCTCACAATTGGGCTTGATACCAAAGGTCTCGTTGGTAATTCTAGAAACGGTGCGATATTGTTGGTGGCATCTACGGGGTCACTAATTCCAGCTGCAACATTTTCCACCCGCTTTCCTTTATTAGAAAGGTCCTTGATATTCCTCGAGAAAAAACTAAAGGAGGGACTGCGTGGACGGTGTTTTTCGTCCTTAACCTCTGCTTTGAGAAAACCACGCTCGGACTGGGTAGAACTTTTCCTAAAGTTTAATGAAGTTAAAGATTTACAGAGCTGTTCTTCTGCTTTCTTTTTGCTTGCAAACTCCTTGAGGCCAACTGACACAAAGCTTAATGAGCGACTTTGTTTCTTACAGCTTCCTTTTTCTTGAAGATCTGCAACGCGCAGGTCTTGCTCTGAAATATAGAGCCCGCGATTGGGCAGCGCGTCTCTTATGTCATTATAACTCATTGAACGACGATTTGGCGCTCTGGTTTCTCGGAACTTTTCTGCTGATGAAAGCAGCTCCACCTAGGATATAAAGAAGTTTAACGTTGGAATAATCCGAATAGTCAGCATTCAGCGGTATGTAATTTAACATTGCGTTGGACTCACTTTTTTTAGGTGCAAAATGAAATAAAACAGCATTAAAACAGAATTATAAGGGCGCGAACCCTAATGTTTAAGAACTCGACTAAATTGAAGCCCTGGCCCTGTTTAGGACAAAAAAGTCCTAAAAAACACACCCTGTTATGGACAAAACCCTCAATTTTATGACCCTGTTTAGGACAGACTCGCACTAAATTATATACCCTATTTTGGGAGGTGGCCTAATGTATTCAGCAGCGATAAAAACTGAAGTCCTTTTGTTACTCGCGTTTTCCAATAACGTGTAAACCAACCTCTTCACATTTATAAATGGCGGGAAACTATGACAGTTTAAGTGGTTACCTCTGCCGTAATGCTTAATCTTTCTAATACCTACTTCTTCAAGACCCTGAGTATTACGCCTTCTCTAGAAATCAAACTCAAGACTAAGCTACCTGGCCAGCTAATCAGCTTACCTCACTTGAACTGTGTCGTCGAGATCCATTCCAGACAGGTACTAAAACTGAAACCAAAACAGTTAAATCGTGCTAAACTTTTTACAAAAGATATATAAGCATTAACTGTTATTCGCGTTTTCTTATATCATTCGGCGCCGACGATTTTTAAGACACAAGCAGTAGGAAATGTATAGATTCCTCCCCGCACTGACTAGACATTCCATATCTAAGAATTTAACTTCTTCTGTGGGGTCGAGGCAGATAACTTACTCCTCTTAGAATGATTATTATGGTCACTTGGGACACGAACTAGTTTTTCAATATTAGTCACTGCTATTTTATGAAAGCAAACTATCCAATCACTTATTACTTACGATTTGATGTACCAGCCATGACTCCGTTGGTTGAATGAGTCTTATCAATGTCGCCTGTGTTCTCTCTAAGCCACATGCTCATGCCAGACTTTCGCCGTAAACCCACTTGAGCAGCGCCAGCTGCGGAACCAACCCTCTTCAGGTACAAAGCAGGTGCTAGGCCCTCCTTATCCATATAACTGATAAAGATCGATAATTAGAGATAGTTAAAAGAGACGAGTATGTCATATTGAATGTTTACTTGGCTTCCTTTAAACTCATGTTTGCAAAAGACAAGGTTAAAGTAATGACCCTTAATTTACAGCTCGTGTTGAATATGATCTCGCTGTTTCTGTCGTGTTAACCAAACTGAATGTCTCGTTTATGTATTCCAGTAGGCGATTTGCTTACGCAAAGTTTCAATACCGTTGTCTGTTGCATGAGTTAAGGTCACGATAAGCACGTCAAAGCGAAGCAAGAATACAAAAGTGAAAAAAAAATTGGAAGCAAATGACGGGCCATGAAAAATGAAAGACGAAAGCGAATAAGAGAGACCGGGGGGAACCTCCCTTAGCTATTACAATACTTTATTTCAATGCCTTGGGTACGCTTTAAAGATCGAGTTTCTGTTTAGAGTAAAGATTAACCTGTTAGTGCAATTTTAATCATTCTTACATTGCTCTCCACCACCCATCCAGGGTTTTTTCGATCACTTCAAGGTGTACGCCTATGTCAAAGCTTAGTTCGTCCTCATTCTTTGCCTCGTACGACTGAGTTGTCATGTGCAGTTCGCCTGCGAAATAAAGGAAAAAAAGGAAAGAATAGGAGACATGGAATCATGATGGTACTTTTGATATAAATGGTATCTTTTTATTCCAAGTCATATTTTACAATAACTGACCGATTACTCGCACGATGATTGGTCGAGAGCTACGGTCGATAAGAGTACAGACCGTGGAAATGACGTGATGGTGGCGCAGTTTGTTTTTCTCTTTCTTCGCGCACGATTTCCACGAGAAACTGCCACCTAAATGGACGTCAAAAACTGTAAATGCAGTTGTAAAAAACAAATCGACAACAATATTTCCAAGGTCTGTACTCTTATCGACCATAGAAATGAAGTCAAAATGTTGAAAACTTTGCTGTGAAACCACTCGTCTGTGGCTCGTGGTTCCACTTGAGTTTTAAAAGTTTTGAAGTCATTTCTATGGTCGATAAGAGTACAGTCCGAGGAAAATTGTTATCGATTTGTTAAACTTAACACAAATATATAGCCCTTTTCCTTTTTGGACTTAGTCGACGTCTTAGCTTGCATGGCAACCATTCATAAGTAGTCTGCCTGTAACCTCTTATTATTCAAGCTTGGCTGTATTGTTTTGACACAGCGCTAGCCTCATACTGATTTGTTTGAACGAGACTAGCTCAACCTCTCAGAGATGTGCGCATTGCATAATGGGTAGGTGGTCGTCCATGGCATTGCGGCGGTTGCCGCGCTGGACTCATACGCCTGTCGATGCCGGCTTTGGTCGACTCAGCTCTCAAGTTGTTTTATTCATATATGAAAAGGCAGATTTTGGACAGATACTTCAAATTCTACTGTTATCCCACCCACTTACCCTCTACAGCACGAGATATAGAGTAAGAAGTTTATTGTACACTCCCTTGCGGAGCTTTTCAGTGATACCGTTTTGTCCTACAAGGAAATTATTAGTGAAATCCTACCTCGTCCTGGAGGAAAAGACTCACTAATGATGTCGTCGTCATTATTGTTAGTTCCACCGGCTGTAGGCTGTATAAATGAAGCTGGTACCCATCCTATATCACCATCGCAATCTACAAGCCACCAGCCTGCAATAAAGAACACAACCAAACAAGTACTTAACTGACTATTTACATTTCTAGCCAGAGCAGGTTAGTTGTGATGTCTGCAACGATTTGTTTTAGATATTTTAGCATCTGACATTATCTCAACAAGTACTAAGCATTGTTGTCTTGCTTTAAGGTCCGGTCTCGGATAAGAGGATAATAAGAAGACAGCTCTAAAGTCAATAAAGAGCATTTCTGCGTGCATGATTAACTTGTTTGTTAAAGGAAGTTAATTCTCTCTTATGATTACAATTTTAAAAATATCCTTACCACTTTCATGCTTTTCAATAACATCCACTGTGAAACCATTAGTAAGTTTAATGTCGTTGTGGTACTGCTTCTTGTAATTTTTGAGAGCCATATATTGCTCCAGAAGCGCAGGCTCCCCAATGTTGCCTGAGGTTTAAAATAAAAAACAGAAGGGAACGAAGCGTTACCAAGTTATAAGGGTAAAATGGGAGTGTGACGTCTAATTGGAAATCGCCTTTTTATGTAGTAGGTATTTGGTTCATAAAAAGGCTTTTCTTTCAAATTAAAAGCGTAATTTGTTTTGGAATAATAATAGTGCATGACATAGCCCCTGGCAATCCAGATAAGAAAATTTACTACAACTAAACTGTGCTCAAGCCACTGAGACTACTTAGCATCTCCGTAGTATACATTGGGCTGCGCGTATTTTTTACTAGACAATAAGAAGAAGATAGAAGATGTCTTCAAAACCGACAAATTTGGCTGACCAGTAACCGAAAGATGTTACAATCACAAAAGACGGATCGAAATGCACCCAACATATTAAGAACCTTCACAGTCAATGACATCATCGCTTGCCTTATAGATGGCCAATATACTTATTGAACATTCAGATCAACAACTAGTCTAAGAGTTTTATTATTGAATTATCTGATTGTGACTTCTGCAAAGACTGTCAGTCATCGCCAAAAGACAGTTCTCGCGGTGCGTTTTCTGTACACTCCCAGGGGAAAATTCTAAATCGACGTAACCTTTCTTACCTGCTTTTAAAGATTTCCTTGTAGCTGAAATCTTTCTGACGAAATTCCGCCTTGATTTGGACTTCGCCTTTTTTTGATCCCTGCGGGTAATTATTAAGTACAGGAATGTTTCATATAATTTCTTCAGGAGGAGTGGGATTTCAAGGCTCGTAAAGGTCGACAAAAGAGTGCATGGGCGGCACCGGTGAAAACAGCAGAAATTCTTCGCGCTTAATCTAAATGAAGTTGCTTTATGCACCTGGGTTACACATCAGAGGGGGGAGTGTTAAATAATTGACCATTCTCTTAGCCTTCAAAGGCCATCTTATCTGAGTGACTGATCTTCCAAGACTAGCCTGCGAGCAAGCTCTCCGCGGTGTTCTGGCGGCGTGGCTTGAAAGGAAAGAGAGAGCTTGCAACTACGTCACTGGATTTTGAATATCTGCATAAAAAAATTCGATGCGAAATGCTGATTGGACGGAGATGACATTAGTAATGACGTCATTACCCTTGGCACTTTCTTTTCAATGTTTGTTTTCATTCGCGCTCGTTTCCGCTTCGCGCTGATTGGCAGAAATCTGACAGCTCACTCGACGGGGAGCCACAGGGGAATTCAAATTCCAGAGAGAGACGTACTTCCAAACTCTCCCTCCTTTTCCTCCCCGCCGCCAGAGCGTCCCGGAGAGCTTGCTCGCAGGCTATTCCAAGACTGAAAAAATGTAGCATCGCCATTTTACAGCTTAATTGCCTAGGATCCTAGTTTTATGACATTCCGCCTAACATGATATTGGCGGAAGCCTCAAATGGTCAGAAAGATTTCTTTTTCGTTCTAAAATGTTAAAAATATCCCCCACTTTCTGCGCGGCTTTGGTGGAAGGGATAGCTTAAGAGGCTACAAAGCCTTCCTTTTAATTGTGCCTTATCAGAAGAATAATGCTCTCTCATGGACGTCGGTTCATGTTGTGTCTTACCTTTTTAACACACCTCTCGTTGTTTTGATACTTTAGTGAGACACTCTTTCTCGTATTTGAATAAATACACGAAGAGCACGAAGGTCCTTTATGAACACCTTCACACACATAAACAAAAAATTTAACTTACTTAGTGCGATCAGATTCTTGCCACTCTAAATCTTCAATTCTTGGTGTAAACAATCTTATCACCGGCTGTGACTGGGAGATTTCGTCAGGAAAAGCCATCAGCTTCTTTAAAGTAATAAATAAAACTGAATTTCAAGAGAAGTGCCCACTCTGCCAGCAACTGTTTAAATGTAGTTAAAAGTCCAAGAATTAGACTACGTTCACTCTGTACCGTATAAAACTCCTATCCGATATGTGACCCTCCACCTTAGAGATCGGCGCGTTGCAGCTTCGCTTTGTCACAAAAATTGAGGCGCCACAACCGTTCTTTTGTGTGATCAGAATCCCTATCCTGTATGATTTTCGTGGCAGCACACTAGTTATCCGATGTAGTGTAAACACAGCCTTAAGCGCCAACAAATGTGAACATTTTCATTTCTCACAACCTCGTCTTTTGAATTTGTAGATCTCAAAAGAAGTAATGAGCTTGGACTTGCTAACTTACTGATATAAAATTCTTGATTTTTTCCTCCTTTTTTCGAACACTTGTTGGGTTAATCTTTCTCCTCTCTAAAACAGAAGGTTAGAAATGCTTTTAAAAATTAGCGGAACAAAATGTAACTATGGTCTGGCACATAAGGGGGCACTGAAGAAAACACAGTCTTAGGAAGAGACAATGATGCTGCTTGCTGCTGAATTTTAACAAAGTGCTGACATTCGAATGAAAATCCCTCTTCTATTTTCTCCAATGATCCCTTCTCATCTTGAGAGCTAGGCACTGGTCACTGATTGGTCACTTAATATAACAAAGATATGGACCAATGTATACCGTGAGAGAATGTCACAAGAATCTTCGTACGAAGGAAAGAGATGGGGGAACATGAAAATAAGGAGAACGAGAAGAAGAAACTATACAAAACCTTTTTCGGCATATCATTTAACTTCGGTAATGAAGATCATGGAAAGTGTTGGCAGTGGTGTGCAAACGGCTGAGCAACAACTCCCAACAATGTTAAGAATTGCAGTGCATTATGCCATCAATATTGATAAATTAAAATAATTCGATCGACAATACTTTACACACGTGAATGATTCGGAAAATTTTCGCGCTTGCTTTGCCCCAAAAATAAGGAAGGAGCTGTGTAAACGAATCTAACAATGTTACGCTACGCTTCGGGGATGTTTTTTAGTACTGGTATAGGTAATAGCATGATTTGTAGTGATATTTGGCATAAATACCACGAGTGATATTTCGAATTTGTTATACGTAATTTCACGAGCCGTTAGGCGAGTGAAATTTGAGATAATTTTGAAATATCATGAGTGGTATTTATGCCTAATATCACATACAAATCAAGCTATTATTTGTTTATACTACTACCCGCAAACAATTTTCACATGTAGGTATTTCAAATTAAGCTGAAATATCACTGCTTTAAGCCAATCAGATTGCAGAAATTTCCCATGTGGTAGTATAACAGACGTTATACTACTACATGAGAAAGGCAGGCAGCAACGCGCAAAAACACGCAGGAACATGTAACAAGGAGTGCAAACGTCGCCGGACTCAATGTAACATGTAACATCCAACAATGTTGGGAGTTGTTGGCCAACATTGTTGCTTCCGATTACATGGAGGTTTTGTTTTTGTCCACTCGTAGTGCTTTTCAACAAATCGTTTCCGATTTAAGCTACCCTTTTTAATGTAGCAGTGCAAAACGCCATTGCATTTTTATAAGCGCATAACTGCTAAATGAAATGCAGCCTTTCAGTGTCCAATCATTGGAGTTACAAAACGAAAAAGGGCTTTAAAAGGTAGAACATTTCTGTATTATATCCACCCTAATTACATGGGTTAAATACGTACAATGTGATTGAAGATCTTATTGATGCAGATTGTCATCATTACTCGTCTCTACTAACCTTGGAGTGAAGACGAAATTATTTCTTTCTTATAGCTTGGAAACTCTTCCAGGAGAGAAAGCTGTATTATTGAGAAGAAACAACATAACACAAGTAAGTTAAATTATGTTACATAACCGTACATAGTGGACTTCGGCTTTACACCCACCTCTTTCAAACTGAAAAACGCCTCGTTATTGCGACCTGCACTATTTTGAGCCAATTTTCAAGACAGCCAGTCATTTTATTTTCTGAAAAACTCTTTAATACAACCACACTTTCTGTAATCAGGGTTTAATTGCCCATAGTGGCGATCATATTAACGGGTTTCCCTCAGGCTGTACCAAGAAAAAATTTAATGCTCTGCCGGAAAACTGCTGGGCACGATCTCACCAAACCAAAGACATTGTAAAGAAAACTTTTCGAACAATTCAATAGCCTCAGTGTTCCAGGCGTTCATATCGTGGGGACAGCGCACTCCACTATCCGAACGCCTGGAACAGGCTAACAATTCAATCAATAAACAACTCTATTTATTCAACAACTCCTGACGTATCAACTGTTTATTCCGCTCAGTACACTCTTGGAGCCAGTACCATTTTATAGGTTCAACTTCACCTCAAGTTCTTTAACTTCGCTGTATCTTCGATAGATAACATTTGCAGATTTATCCGACCATGTGACGCTGACTGAATAAACCTACAACGTAAGGAAAAAATGCCTGAGTCACGTTTGAACATTTTTTTTTCACAAACAAAGCAATAATTATTCGTCCTTACCACTCGATTGCTTGGTTTCTTTCGCAGAAAACCTTCAACAGAAATGTCCTTGATAGTCCTTCTTTGCATAGTCGATCCTGGAAGATGTCCTTTCGAAAATATCAGAAATAAGGCAAACCAGATTTTCAGCAGTACTTTCAGTACTTGCTAAACAAGCAAGTAATGCAACGAACAGGAACTTTAAACATTGAGAAGTCAGGGTAATTATCTATTGACTTAAAAATGCGTTTGATTCCAGGAACGTAATTAGAATACTAGTTAACACCTGTTTAGCACTTATGCAGTGTAACGAAAAATCAGTTTTCTTAATAGGTAGCGAAGGAAAACTGTGCAAACCTTATCAGCAATATCATTTTAACAAGGCTTACTATGGTTGGAAGCTTTCACTTATACCTGACTTTCGAGATCAATTTTTGTTAAGACCACATAAGTCATTTGGACAAAATAAGCTCTTTTGTGAAGTTAGAAAAAGAAGAATACAATGCCAATTGTGAACAGACTTTAATGGTCCAATTAACAGCTCAATTAACGATAACACTATATCAAGTAAATCGAATAAAATTTCATCATACAATGACAGACTTTTAAGCTTTTCGTTGGGCATTGTTTACTACTGTTACAGGCACAAAAGAGAACTGAAAAAATAATTATGATCAAGATTTTAATACAGGTTTGACGAATACTATGCGCACCAAAATAAAACTGACATACTATCCAAGCCTACGTAAGAGAAGCGGATGATTGAAGAGATGGATCACGTCCTGAAGGCGAACGGCAAACGTCAATTCGTAGCACGTGACCGAGGTTTATTGACAAATATATCTAATTTAGTTTTCGCACTGAGCTCATGCGCAGTAAGTTAGGAATTTCAAGAATCTTAGGGCCAGTTATTAAACGGAGTTTAGCCAGTGCAGTGTCAAAAGGTGTTCTAAGCCATTTTCAGTTTTTTTTGTCCGACACTTTTATCTAAACACCATTTTATCGTGAACAATTTTAAAAAAAAGCATATGGCGTAGACTGGAAAAGCACTTATTTTTTAAATTTTAAAATCCATTAAGGAAGAGATCTAGAGGTCCAATGATTTCTTAAACCGCGGCCTAAGTTAAAACCTTTGATAACTAACCGTCAGAGTTTGACTTGTTGGAGCGGGAGGGTAATCAGCAGGCTCTGAGAATGCTCATGACGGCCTACAGTCCAAGAAAAGGATATGCGAATCATCATTTAATAATCTAATAACCTAGCACACGCACGATGTAGTAGAAAAAAGAATAGAAAGAAGGATACAGATTAAAAGGTGTGAAGAAGACCGGAGCGAAACCCGGCATTGGGCTGATAGATTAAGACTTCCCTATAAGAACTAATTATAAATTAATATTAAATTAAACTGTGCTGCTGTGGCAGTTCTTCAGCCAACTGAACTGATTTAATTAGTTATCATGAATAGATTTTGCAATTATACTGTATTTGTTAGATTCATGCAAATAAAGCTTTTGTCGTTGTTGTCACGGTTGTTTTCGAAAGCAAGTATCTCTTTAATTGAAGGACAGGGTCTAGGGAAGAGATGAAACAATAATTAAAAAATGAACGAAAACCTTCGAGTAATTAGGCAACACCATTTAGAGTTAAAGAATGATTATCATAGAGAAAGAAATCCGCAAAAGGACCTAGTTTATACGGCCTTAGTCTCCGCGTGTGTAGGTCTAATATGTACTAACAGTACTAACCCCCTCCCCCCCCCCCGGCTGGACGAGGTAGGGGTGCTGCTGAGTTTACTTGATCAAGTGAGGGATTTTAAAACTGATCCTTAACCGTGAGTCTTCCAGATCTAGGTTTCTGGTCCGAAAGAACAGAGGAGAACAAAATCTACAGATGGGAGAACTTTTGGGATGGGATTTTTAATTGTTAGCTACAAGGATATAAAATTCATTATGGTATAGGCGTGGGAAAAATGAAAATGAGCTGAGTCCCCGTCGGGCATTAAACACATGACGTCTCGGACACATTGTGGCTAGCAATGCAGGACCACTTAGCCCCAAATTGGGCTGATTTCGCAACGAATTGTTCAAAAAATAGCTAAGCATTTGTTTGAAGTTCCATTCAGAAAAATGCCTTGTTCATTTGCTTTCTTTTGCGTATGCCTGTAATTATCTGTTGCTCGTCATCGTCGAGATCAATAAAAGAATTGAACGTAATATCAAGCTTCTGGCACAGCAAAAAGACTGCATCTCAGTATTAAAGGATTACTTAAGGCAAGTAAACAAAAGCAATTAAGCGTTAGGCTTTATTTGCATGTAAATGGTGCAATATTTGAGTATCATTATCGTTTGCTATCCTCTTGGGAACATATCAGTTCATTTCGCAAACCAACCAATTATTCTTACGAGAGTTCTGTGTTAGCATAGGAGGCCACAGGATCACGTACTATGTGTTTATACCAATAAGTATTCGACTGCTATTTAATGAAAACTGGCGGGGGACCTTAATAGGTAAGGGGCACGGCATGAATACATAATTTGTGAACACAAGAGGATGTAATGCATTGCTCAAACAACTTGGATAATCAGAAGCTGCTTGGCTGCAAATAGAAAGAAATCAGTAACTCTGGCATTGTTAAAACAGAAGCGTTAACGATACAAGCGACTTAATCCACGAGGAACCCAGCGAAGAAGTGCCATTTATTTGCTTTTCGGGTTGTTGGGCTGAAGCAGTTGGGACAGTGACACCTATACCCAAAGCTGGACGAACTTTGTTTAGCTCCCTTTTGTGCTACAGAGGACAAGTTCGCATAAGTGGTTACTACAGTGTTGAGAGCGGTTGGTTAGCGCGCCCTGCAAGCATAACTGCAGGAAAGGAAACATTTTACAGAGACCCACGTTAAGAAGTCTACTAAAGAGGTCAAAGTTTGTTTTTATTGATTCTTTATTGCGTCATTTTGAGAAGAGAACTCAAACAAAAAAGGCAGATTACTCAGAAGTCCACAAATATATCTAAGCGAGAGAGAGTACTTCTTTGTGTGGGTCTCTGAAATCAAGCAGATTTAGACATTAGTGATTTTATCGCTTGAAGTCGCTTTTGGCTTGTCAGCGTCTCGGAGTTCTTAGAGTTATTCAAACTTTTATTCAAACTTTTATTGGATTAACAGTTTGTTTGCGCGGCAACCAAAACAAGCGGCTATATATGACGATAACCAGAAAACAAACTCCAGTGTGCCGGATTTAAGCAATACCACGACAGAAAGCTCAGATATTCCAAGAAATCAAGTGCATTGGTATACTACATAAACACTGGCTCTCTTTTAGTGGGTTACAGAAGGTTTGAACACAGAGTAAATAGCCTGTCTGTTTATTTGCATTGATCAGTGCCAGTATTAATTTAAAACTGATCATTTGTTATACTCGACCAGAAACTTTCTAGCTCTTGAACACGCCGCTGTTAGCAATGATGCATGCACGAAACACCCATCAAGATTGCGAAGCAACTGTGATCAAGGCAAACAGAAAACATCAGATTATTTTAAACTTGGAGGTCAAACGGATCGAGATGGAAAAGAAGATGCGAGAAAGGTATTTCTGCTTTGAAATGAGCCTCATAAGAGCTCGTAGGCTCAAGATAGTTGACCGACAAAAATCTCTAGGAATTTATCGTCCACAAACACTGGATGGAAAAGAAAAGAGGAAAGGAACACTGCAGGCGACGTCATTTTTCTTTACGGCGCGACCTGTTGCCATGGAAACCAACATCAAACTCCCGTCTTTGTTTCAAGACAGCCAGACTTGTCCTAAATTGCCAACTAAACTCTCAGAAAACTCCAAAATGCTTCAATTTTTAACGCATAAGAAGAAAAACAAATTAATTATGGATAAGGAGAAAACGAAGAGCTTTCCAAAGCAAACGATGAGAGCTAGGGATAAAGAAACGGGTAACAATCAATTTAAAGCTCAGTTCCTTATGAAACAAGGGTCACAAAAACTCGATGGAAGTAAAGTAGACTATCAGGAAAGAGGTAATGAGGTGAACCAAGGTGATACTTACAGTTCTAATCATCAAGATGAATTTGTAAAACAGTTGGATGCACTAAGCTTAATCAGCAAAGACGATGAGCATGACAGAACCAAAGGAGGAGTGTCTTCTGAAGATAAAGCTAAAGAGAGCAAACAGAACAATGCCAGTTTCGAAGACAGCAATTTAGTTCAACGTACCGCACGAGGAAGTCAAGTTACTGAGATTTCGATGGCAATGGCAAAGTCGGAAAATACTGTCAAAATTTTGCCGCTAATTGACCCGATTCGTTCAGAAAACACTTCAACGAGAGCTCAAATCAGTAGCTTAACAACTGTTCAGGAGTTACAAACTTGGCGTAAAAGTTTTAAGACCTTCTCAGGCTTCGATCCTTGTGATAACTTAAAGGGCCTAACTAGGACAAAGTCGGCAACGGTGTATCGAAAAGACAATGAAGTTTATAGTTTTAAGGTCAGACCACAGACGGCCTTTTCAAAACTGACAACATTTCCCACCGAGGAAAATCTAACCTGAAACTTGGATTGTTTGGCGTTCTCTGAAAAACACCTACTGCATGTTCAAAAAATGGTGATATATTTCTGATATTCTACCATCGATAGCACTTTGGCGCCAGCACCATGTTTTATTGTTTGCAAATAATACGGATCAGTTTAGGGTTCTGGGAAACTGCCCACTTATCCCTTCCCTAAGCCAACAGTTTCCCTAAGCAGGAAGTAAGTGATAATGTTGACTTAAGGGAAGGGTTTGCTAGACACCTAAATTGATCTAATAATACTTCCTATCCTGTTATTGAGTAGCAAACTGAGGCAAATTATTTTCTAAGTAAAGCTAAAATGATAGTTCCTCTTAAACGATTGAAAAAAAAAACAATTTGAATTGTCAATCTAAATTCAAAAGGTGGACTCATATCGAAAAGTTGAGTAAGTACTCCCAATATGGCATTGTTAATTGACCATTTTACAGTTAATACGATTAATTACTATGATTTTTTTATGTTCATAGTCCTTCATGACCATTTTACAGTTGTGCAGGGCTTTGTTTCCTGGCTCGGAAGTAAGAAAGGTTGGTTTTCGTCGGAGTGTCGCAACATTTTTGCAATTGGTTGTGCAAAAGGCTATCGCTTCGTAAACCACGCTGTGTTACTTAGTTCAGTGGTACGAGTCTTCACCTGAGCAAGTCATGATCAAATTAAATTCGTCGTCTAAATTGGACAGCACGTCACGTCGACGTATCGACGAATTTAGTGTAAATTAAATTAGACTGAATTACATTTGACGTATAAAACAGCCCTTGGTTATCTCCAGATTACCTACTGTTCAAATAATGATTATATGTTTTGCATTCTCCCATCGACTACACTTTGGCGGCACCACTATGTTTTAATTGTAAGCAAATAATAATTCCTCCTGACTGCATGTGTTTCGGTGTAAGGTTGTTAAGTTACACTTTTAAAGCTATTAACTTTGTATCCTGTCATTGATTAGCAAACTGAGGCAAATTATTATGTAAGGAAAGCTGTAATATATAGTTCCTTCAAAACCGCCGACTGATCATGATCAATTTTTAGAATTGTCAATTAAAATCCAATGAATGGACCCATACAAAAACATTGAATGAACTTCTCCCAATAAGCGTTGTAACTAACCTGCTCATTTGCTGAAATTTCATTAGATGATTCTGTCTCTGTAAAGCGCCGAAATATTGGACAACTATTTCTAACTGTAGTGAGACAATAAAATGGTTTCAGAGGGCCAACCTGACCCTCCAGTATTGGTTTTAAAGTGGCTACGTCACGTTATGTGCTCTGAAATGATCTGAAACAGCAATATCCTCATTACATATGGTACAGTAAGATATAAAAAGGGTTATCAATTCAAGAGGACACTGACAGGGATGTAAAATAAAACGATAATTGCTGCTAGGACGTACTTAGCAAAAGAGCTTTTCTTTCCGAAGTCCTCCTCCCTCTGAAGCACGCACCACATTCCTTCTGGATATTCAACAACTTTGAATGCAAACAATTATGGCCACTGTTATCAGAACCAGGCATTGAATTGACACGAACGTGGAAGCGTCTGCAAGGAGAGCGTGTGGCTTACACGAGGTCTGACCAAGCATACCACCATTACTGAAGCCACGTGCTGCGTTGCAACTTGGCCAGTTTAAGGGCCTGTTTACATGAAGGTGGGGGGCCCCAGGTAGCTGAGGTAACACGCTTGGGCCCGCCTGTACATGTAATCTCTTATATGGTCACCCTACCTATCATGTAAACGTGATCAAATTAAAATGAGAGATTATAAGGACAGGTGAGTTACCCCACCTATTAAAGCGAGTTACCTCACCCACCTAGGGTCCCCCACCTCCATGTAATCAGGCCCTAACGGGGACGCTGAATATTGGATAGAGCAGATCTGAGATGGCCATGTTTGCGATCAACATATTTCAACATATTGACTGGTTTTTTCAAAGTTGGTGTTTTGTAAACAATTAATACGATGAGAAAATTTCCAGCCAGCGAGACAACAGCGATCAAACTGTAAGCAACTGTTTCCACGGTCTCCGTAAGGAACGCCTGGCACAATGACTTCCCTTTTGTGTCCTAAATACGAACAAAAATTCCGGGGGAGGAGGTACATCCCGAAAAATTGGGTAGGGGTGTGCGGCACGCTAACCTGAAACCCTTACCCTATTTCAGACCAAAATCTGTGATTTTCCCTACCCTATTTCAGACTGAAGCCCTGGAGCCCGGCGGGTGTCCGGAGCGCGTGACAAGCTATTACGGCACGTACACAGTAGTTGGCGGAAATGGTCTTATCGCCAAATGATGAAGAAGTAGCTAATTCTTCTAAAAAACATACCCAATTCAAGACTAGAGTGCACAAACCATTCCCTATTTCGGACCAAAACGGCTCAAAAAACCATACAGGGGGCACCCAACGAGAATCAGGAGCAGGTTAATCGGCTCCTGCGTGAATATAGTTCAAAGCCACTTAAACATAGCATTGTTAAAACGGTATTTTAGTATTTAAACGGTAGATATAGGCATATGTTTTATCCCCTAAAAATTTTTCATCTGCTCGGATTTCCTAGCTGAAAGTCTAGTGATCCGAAAATTATGGGGATCAAAACTTACCTTTTGGAAAATTTCAGCTAGAAAAAAGGCTCCCGAAAATTCTTGGTGACCTTTTAGGTTAAAAATCGGTTAAAAATGGGCAATTATATATAAAGGATTAAATTAGCTGCAAAAACCGTGAGCGAAGATCCTGCTAGTTGTAAACGTTGGATCTCTAAAAAAGAGATCATGCAAATCAGCCAAAATATAAGGAACCAAGAAAAAGAAGTTCAAAGACTACTGCAAAGCTGATTTAAAACAACGTATATTGTTTTTTATAACAATATTTCGGCTGGCCATACCAGCCTTCTTCAGGTTTACAGATGTTACTGAACTTATGTAGCAATCACAATATTATATAAAGGGGAGGGGGGCAAAAAAAAATTTTTCAAAAAAATTTTCCAAAATTTCTAGATCCAAAGTCCTCTTCCGGAAATTTTTTTTTCAAAATTCGACGCGGGGTCCCCCTGCCAATCCCCTTAGGCCCCCCAATACCCTATATAGCCAATTTAAGGGTCTCCCCCCCCCCGGGGGGGGGGGGGCGAAAAACGCGTTGCAGATTATGAGTCTCGCTGCTTACGCAAGCGAGACTGGTAGATATGCGAGAGAAATTTCAGAAAAACCGTTGAAGCAGAAGTCCGTAACTAAAAGTCGCTCAAAATTAAGCTGTCAAATTGTTTTGGAATTTCAAAAATAAATTACTATCAGGTAGAAAGAGCCACCAGTTCGAATTTTCGGGACAAGCAAATTCAGTGTTTCCTAATTCTGAAAACAAAAGCCGATTGCCTGCCGCGCTATTCTTTAAAACGTACTTTTCAGTTTTAAAAGCACTATAAATTGCTCCAAACCTAGCTCTGACGTCGAATGACTTGTTCTCGACATTTTTAAAATATCCCTCGGCAGTTTTGGTTCAAACTCCTGCTACATACATTTTGATGTATTGCAATGCATCCCCAACGGCTTTTTCTGCTCTACGTTGCTTCCAATTCAGGAAAAAGGTATCGGGATTGTAAGCTACCTTGTATCGAAGCTCAGAAAGAACTGTCCAGCACCTTTGCTTATGACCAGTAAATGAGCACGAGCGTCAGCTCTGCGAGGAATTCGCATCTCAGCCAGGGAGGACGAATGACAATGATGCCCATGTCTGCTTATGCAAAATTTTGGGGGGCAAATAAGGTGGATTATGGGAGATATGCAAGTGACGAATTCACAAGTTATTTCACACATTCCATAGCCCATAAGGACGCGTAATTGGCGTTATCATAAAAAAGTTAAACAGCTATGACACAGCCCCTTTAACTTGTCGTTCTTATCTCTTTTCTTTACTTCATTCCCACTATCTGACGACTGAAACAGGCTACTTTGTCATTACCTTATGAAGTCAGAATCATCAGAAAATGACACAGTTTATAATTAGTAGTTATACCATGAACAAAGTCTTCATAATAAGGATATATTTTTTAAACAAATGCTAATTCCTTGTGTTTATAGTTTTTGCCTTTTACTCACAAAAATAACAATATGTGGTTCCTGCACATGATCATAGTATCAAGTCCAAAATTATAGATCTTCCTTGGAGGAACAGTCCAGATTTTATAGCAAAAGGGGTCACCTTTACTACTGCACTATTTACTTACTCCCATTATTTTACACAGTTGTAGGCATGCTTGTTTCAATCCTACGTCTATATAAATATTAGGATTACAGAAACAGGATGTATGTTTTTTTGGCTACCCCAATAAAGCTGTAGATTTTTATTCTCAAGGTCTATTTAACAATTATTCCTCGAGCCTGAATGGGCTTTGAGTCAATAGCCCATGAGGCCGAAGGGCGAATGGGTTATTAACTCAGAGGCAATGAGGGCAAGAGAAATAATTGTTTTGGTAAAATCCAACAAGTTGGTCAAAAATATCAAGAATAAAAACCTTTTAGCCAGTTAAAGCTAGACTTTAATCCTTTTTTGTCGCCAAAAAGCCCACGCTTTTTGCTACTAGTGGGCTATAACATATAGCCTAGTAGTAGCTCAGCCAATCAGAACGCAGCATTGATAATAGACCACTAGTTGGATTTTACTAAAATGTATTATGAAAACTTCCATAACAGATAATTCTAACTAGCCACCTCCACTTCGGTGAATAACGGTTATCTATGCACCTGTTGTTGAGCAACAGTTGATTCTAATTAACTAAATATCCCATATTTTCAGCATCTTAGTCATTGTATTTACAATGACAATAGCGCAGTATGACACATGGGACATTTGTTCTGTACATTCAACCATTTACGAAGGCATAAGCTGTGAAAATAATGTTTGCATGGAGTAACTTTAGCAGCCTTCAACTCTTCTAAGCAGATTGAACAGACATCCTCTAGTTCATCAATTTCCTTTTCGGTTGCTGAGGGCAAGGAATTTAATCTTTGATTCACCTGATGTCGCTGTTTAAGGCTCATCCAGCCTTCTTTGGCAGGTGTCCAAATATTAAAGTAAAGATGAAGCACTGCCATGACCATCTGGAACAGAGTCCACTCCAGACTAAAGTCACAGACTCGATAGAACAAAACAGCTGAAATGACCACAAATTCAAACACTTTGCATGAGCCATTGATAAAGTAGACGTAGTCATCAAGTGCTTCCCATATTTGACTTTGGTGCGATTCATAAACATACAAGAAGTACAAAATTAAAGCAGCAATAATCTGAGCAATGGTGATAACATTAGGAGTAATAAAAGGTATTTTCTCTTTCAATGAGTACAAGTTGATTGCCAGATAAATAGATGAACCAAGCAGAAAAATACAGAATGATAATATCCTGCAATGCTTGCGGTAGGAGATACTTGGCTGCGACGCAAGACCCAAAAGAATGGGCTCAGCTATTTCAAACATAGACCTCACCAATGCCGACACGATGAGGTAAAATATTAGCTCCAGAAGCACCAGTTTTCTACTTATGGTTGAACTTGAAAGACCAGTGTATAGTCCAAGAAAAAAGAAGCCGAATCCTTCTCTAAGGCCTTCTGGAGAGCTGTATGGATCAGTAGGGGGGGCTATGTTATCCTCTTGATGGTAACGCTTTACTAGATTCAAAATATACCCAGACAGCTTATAAATCACAAAACAACAAGATGTCATAGATAATACAGAGTTGCAAGTCAATGCCATTGTTAAGTTAAATGCCTGCAAAGTTGTTACAGATTCACTAGAGAAAAGTAAAAAATTTGTACTGTGGTACAGGAATAACCACGTCCATAAATGAATCATGCAGGTTGGTATCTGTACCCTGCGCCAGTGGAACACAGCAGTGACTGTCAGGCCATACATGCGGTACATCCACTTAATAATTTGCACTGAAGTAAAAATATGGCAAGTAATGTCATAAACACACTGGTAAATACACATAAGACTAGCGTAAAATGAATAGCCAAAACAACAGCAGAGCCATAATGGAGGATCTTCCAACTGGTTTGATGGTGACATGTAACGCAACATTAGAGGAAAAGTTGTTAACGAAAAAAGCACTGGCTTGATGGAGTGATATACCCTGGAATAAAGCACCAGCGATATGACATAAACAACCCAAGCTGCCATGATTACAAGTAGTAATGACATTGCACCATGATCAGCAAGACTTGATATTCCTTGCTCTTCCAGGACAGCATATAGATTGTAGCTATTGTAAGCATTCAGGTACAAAGTAAATGTCACAACAGTAATGAACAAAGCATGACTGTAGAAACTGATCAGCTCATCTCGGCCCACGAGGAATAGTGCCAGACAAATAACAATTCCTGAAATGCAAAATAATATTCTTAAAATACTTAAAATTAAAAAATATATATTTTGCAACATAAATTAAATTTGAGTACAATTCCCTTGGCCAAGAAAATACAAGGCCTAAAGGTTATTTGAACAATGAATAAATCCACAGATCTCTTAGAGCAGATCAGATCACCAAAAGAACAAAACAGAACATAGCCTATTTTATACGTTGTTTGGAATATAAGGGGAGGTGATGTCACCTGTATAAGCCAGTATAGATCAATACGTTCTTCTTAGCAAATCTTGCAAATTATGATACTTAATATAGTGATCTCACAGTAGAGGGAAAACAAACAACTAAATGCCAATACATTCTCCTAAATAAAATCTGGCAGATGCTCTGACAACTTTCAAAGCAGTCATTGACGAGGTCGTCAGCAGATACACAGGCGGATCATGAGCTTGCCAAAATAGGAAAATATGTCAACACGTGGTGGTTGTTATGAAATCAAGACCTGTAAACAATGGTAATGAAAATGTGGAGACGGAAATTTCAAAATGTGCTGTAATTATTTTTATTATATAGACACCAGTGTTTTACTGGAAGATATACCACTCGTAAAATTCATAAAAACTACATCCGGGACCCGAGTGCTTTATTTTCCATAATCTCACACATGAGATTATCGATGACGTAATTTCGGTCTTTTCCCTCTATTATTTTATCGATGTCTTTTTGTCTATATAATAAAAAGAACATTACCTGTCGGCTTGAAGATATGAATTTTGCACATGAAAATAAAATTCATATCTTCGCGCCACCGTGTAATATCCTCTATATATTACATTCAATTACAGCTCAGTGCCATAAAGTAATGAATTTTTTCCTCCTTTCTTTTCAATAGCATGAACTATTACAGCAAATTTTTCGCATTTGAGTCATGTGTCTACATGTTCTCTTATCCCTTGGTAAGAATTTCCCATTTGGATAATGCTTTCTCAAAAATTCTTGAACTGAAAGAGAGCCCAATGGAAAGTTAACAACAGCAGCTGAAGACAAGAACAGCGAAAAAAATGGGAAAAGTCTTAAGAGGTTGGGTTCAACTTTTCTGTACGCCCGTGCGTAAAAAGTCATAAAACAGGATGCTGGTGCAAATAAAGGCATGCTCTCATGTTTCATTTTGAGTAATTTTGACTCATAACTGACCAGAAATTGTCCAAAAAGTGCGCAGCTTTTCAATAATCACCACGTGGCAATGGGTTAAATAACTCTGTTACTTAAGGCCACTTAAGGGTTTCCTTTTCCCTTACATCTCCGTCAAAAACAAACTCAACTGTTGTTTTTTGAACAAATCATCTCTCCAAGCTGTGACCACTTTAGGCGCCATGGCGACTAAAATTTTAGTATTACCAACTTGATCCGGAAAATAGTCGCCAAGTTGGTGACCACAGAAAACTGATACTTGAGGAAACGAAAAAGATAATCAATTGTCTTAATTGTACTGAAATGATAAGGTCCTCTGTGATATCCCAGAGAGAGAAGATTAGAAGATGCTGTCGATATTCACTCAAACAAATGCTTGCTTCGCTAAGGTTTCTACTAAAATATTGTTCTGCTCCACTGAGCTCAAGTAGGTTATCTAGCACGTAACATTTTCTTAACTGCGTAATGCATGGCAATTGGCACGCAGTCGATTTGATTTTCATAACTTTCCCTCGGAAACTGCATGTGTGGCTAAACTGGAAAGACTATTACAATGCAAATAAATATATATTTTGGGGGTTAAAATAAATGGAAAAGCAGAAAGTTAAAGTCGGCAAGAAAAATTTTAAAATAAATTTGTGTAACATGAAATGTTGAATCATTTTTTAAATACTAAAAAGCGACCATTGCACACCAGCACAACATTATCACCAGATGAATCTAAACTTCATAAAAAACAATATTGTCTTAAATGTTTTAACCAAAAATAAAGCAAAAGGTATTTATTGCGATCCCCCAAGCGGTATTTTTGTTTGTCGTTTTTTGTGGCCAAATGTAATTAGGCAAAGTTAACCTCGAAGCAATGCTGGTCTGCAGTCTCCCCAGCTATACTAGGGGTGGCCCGCTGCCTATAGCAGGGGCACCTCATGACTTATATATGCAGTTGCTTGCTTGCAATTCTTCGCACCCAAGCTCATCCATTTTTAAGCCCAAACTAATTGTTAACCAATTATTAAAACTCTAATTATTAATACGTACTTGGTGCCTAAAAGAATCCTTTGGCAACTAAACCAAAAGAGTTGGTCACCAAATGGCCACCAAAGGAAAAATTGAACTTGGAGGGTTCCAAATTGTTCAATATTTCCGTTTTTTTTTTCTACTTTCATTTTCTTTAGTGCTATTGGCAACAGAATGAAAACTATAAAGACCGACAAACAACTCGACCCATATGTTGAATGATTATCAGCTCGACCAATAGATTGATTGACCATCTTATGACTATTAACCGATGTTGAGTGATAACTCGGACAAGTATAAACCGACTATCGACCTATATATCAACTGATAGTCGACTGATACTCGGTGAATTATCGGTGAAGTTATGGCAAAGTGTCGGCAGGGTATTGGTGAGCTAAAAGATAATTATATTGGCCGACATATATCTAGACCAGTATGTTGACCGACTGTCAAACGACTGTCAAACGACTTTTGACCAACTGTCAACCGACTTTCGACCAACTGTCGACCGACTATCAACCCAGGTTGACGATCAACCGATTATTGACCAATATATCAACCAACATTTCAGTTGAGGCTACCTACAGTAAACATGATCCAACAAAGTTACACTACACATGCGTGAGTATACCAAATTTGAGAGAGTTGCTCAAACTACTAAAGCATTTCAAGAAATGCTGTGATGGTTTTGTGACAATTTCTCCTCAACAAGTAACAAAATCCATGCGCATGCATGACAGAGTTTAAAACATTCACAACATCTACTCTCATCAAAGGTGAGGATATTTGGACAATGCCTTGATAATTATTTTGTTTCACTGGCAATAGAGACATCAAACAATACACAAATCACAATTCCCCAAGGGTGCATATCCCCCCGACGTGGTGGTGGTGGTGGTGGGGGTATTCAAAATAGGGAGACCTGCATTAAAAGATCAGCTTAAATTAAGCTAAAACAGTAAGTTATCAAGGCAATCGAGGAAGCTTTAAATCAGTGACATTGTTTACCTTTTGCTTCGTTCACAGTGAGAATAGCCCTTAATTTAAGACAAACATTTCTTGAAAAAGGTTACGTATTTAAGACACATTACTAAACAATAAGCTTAATTAAAATTCCATGTCGAAATCAACGAATCGATCTTTTTCTCACTCAGTATGTACAACAGCGAAGTGTGATCAGCAGAATCACCACCGCGACAAACATAAATTACATCTAACTCACCAGTTAGCTGAAAAATTCTTCCATAAGGAACTAAATCACTGTACTGTTTTATATCCAAGCACAAAAGCCACTCCAAAAGGACAAGAAATGGCACCCGTAACAACACTTCCAAGCGCCCGCTCAGCGCCATTTTCTCTTCCGGAAATTGTGAGGGAAAGTGAAGTGAAATGCTACAAGAATTCTGATTGGTTAAGTTGTGACCAATAATCAGAGCTTTTACAAATGTATTGCTATCTTATAACAAAGGATTGGATTGGATCAAACAAAGGAGCTGACTGATCCCATCCCAGAGTGCTTCACTTCCAGTCATCACGAGTAGTATAATGGCGGCGGCTGTTGCTGTTCTAACGCAAGAAAAAAAATTGAATGGCGAGGTAGGTTTACTCTACGTTTTCTTAATACTTTGAACTATCAATCCAAAGAATATTACTTTTTCTTATGTTTTTTTTTCGGATTTCAGCTTTCGTTCAGCAAGAGTTCTATAAACTGTTCAATGAAATTGTTTGCGACACTTGTGTGCACATTGTCAGACGTTGTGCATTGACTTAAGCTTAATTTAATATGCGAGGGTTACAGATGTCTTGTTCAGCTTCAGCTTTATTTCTGTCCAGCTTTTTCTTTAGACTCGAAATAAAACTTGTATATGGAGCTCCAGATGATCAAAATACATTTCAGTTGTAGTTCCACATACAACGTTAACGTCTGAGAGAAAATGGAAATTCAAGAAATAGACGTGGTTACGACGGCGACTTCGGCTGCACGGCGATGTTTACCGTCGAGACAATGTAGCTGACTTTTGTTTTACACTAACTAAACTTAACAGTAGAAAAGTGAAACATTTAAGAAGTAGTGTAATAGCAAGTAAAAGGTGGACACTAGCAGCTCAGTGAGTTCAAAGAGCATTGATTATTTGGTTGCAGTTCACGTTTTACGGTCATTTCGTTCCATGGTCAGATCGTTCCAATCAGTAGTCAGATTGTTCCATAAAATAGTCAGTTCGGTCCACAAAATAGTCGGCTCGCTCCACATATGTTTTACCTATTTTCTAAATGTGTAAATGTTATCCGAATACAGAGTAGCAATTGGAACATGGATGAAAGTGTTTTTAGAACTATTTACATAATGGTGAGAGCATCCTATGTTAATTTCACCATGCATTGCCGAACGATGTGAGAACTATTCACACAATGGTGGAACGATCTGACTATTGATTGGAACGATCTGACTTGGAACGATCTGACCATGGAACGAAATGACCGGATACCCAGTTCACTTTTCAAAATTTTTCCCTGGCATGGGATAAAAGAAAATAAAATTGGTAGGCCTGAATGTCCCCTTAAAATTGGAAAGCCTTGTAAATTACAGAAGTGGGGAATTAGTTACTTGTTTTATTTGTTTGTTTCGTTTTTTGTTTTTTGTTTTTTTTGTGAATGCAAACTTTTCCATTGCACTAGGTTTGCACTAAGTTAGTTTTTGTAGGTAAGCTGACTGCATGATTCTTTTCTCAGCTCATAAATTCATCATCGTTGTTTTCTTAGACCATAGGTAGGAATTAAGATTAACTACTTGATGGCTTGATTGTCTCTCCTCTTCCTGATTGATAGTTGTGTGCTGATCATCAATTATAATCGATCATTGATCGAAAATTGTTAAGCAAGGCGACAATCGGTTATGGATGATGACAATCGATTATTGCGGACAAATGAAAAAAATTATTGATCACAAACAAAAACACGAAAACAATTTTGTGTCGTATGCACATTTTAATCGACTTGTAACAGCAGCTTCCACTGAATACCTCTTTCACCTACATTTCATATATTTTTAATGTTTTCCAAAACTTGGCGAAACACGCTCGCACCAGGCTAGGCTTTCCATTTTGTATTTTGTTCACATTTGATAGTGCGTATTTCACATGGAAAAAACTTACCTCAATGGTTCCCTTAGAAATTATTCTTAATTAGTAGCTGGCTGTAAAATACATTTATAGATCCACTTACTGCAATCAGAAAGGTTACAAGAGTAGATGAAAGAAAAACAGATAAAAACGAAGGTTGAGTGAAACTCAAGTTGGTTCCCAGGGTCCCCTCCTCGTCATCTTGTTTTCATGTTGCCCACAACGAACATTGTGGCTGAGTTTTTTATCAATACACTGTAGATTTTCCGAGTATAATCGATGTTCGATCGGTTGAGTCAGTCCGATTATTTCCGATGATTGATGATAAAATCTTGGCCGATTTCCATCACTACTGATTGATGTATTATATTATATATTGTTGCTATAGATTGCTACTTTGTTAAGGCAAAGATAGTGCATACCACAAAAACTACGCAGATTGTATATTATAGGGTTAAAAATAGCAGGTTTATTAAAGATATTCAGTAAATCACTGTAAACAGAACATCTATCAAGCAGCCAACCTTATTAAAGCAACTTGGTGTTCCCTAGAGTTGGTTGCTTTATATTAGCAATTCAACCGTAGCCATATTTACTCTACTTATCCTTACCTTGACACTTTCTACACAATCATTGCTAGGTTGATGAACAGTCTGAGGACAAAGTTAATGTTGAAAGTGATAGTAATCAGAGAAGACGACGAAAGCGTGGCTTTGATGTTGGTCCCGGAGAAGGTCAGTTGGTTGAAGTTGTGTTGTTAATATTGGCACTTCCATGATGGCGTGGATTAACAGTGTATTCTAATCTTGTATAATAAATTATTATTTATTTTTTTGTTTGCAGTATCCATGTTCTCAACCTGTATGAAACTCTTTAAACACCAATATACAATGACTTGTAGAACTAACACGAACTTTCTTGTACACTGCAATAAATGATTCTGTTGTCAAAAGCAGTTGTAGATGCATCTTGCTGCATTCAAGTTGCGTTACTTTTCAGTTAGTTTTAACCAAGCAAAAAAGAGGTGTAGCATCCATTGTAGTCTTTGTGATCTACCCTCAGTTTTGAAACAGAACAATACCTTTTGCATTAAAAATAAGCTGCAGTGTGGTGTAGCTTATTTATAATGACAGTTGTTCTTTCTACAGTGTTGAAAGTCATGGGTACTTACTATGAAAACTGTGCTACCATAATTGAGGTGTTTTGTCCAGGTTACTTACTTATGTGTTGATAACCATTCTGTTTCCTTTCTTTCTTTTTCTCTTTCTCTGTTTTTTTGTCTTTTGCATCCAAATCAAGTTAGTACACCTCAGCACAGCTCAGTGCAGCTTTGGCTTGATGCCAGGATAACATGACTCGATCTTTGGTGGTAAAACATCTGCATGATGAGTTAAAGTAATATGTACCTTTAGTAACAATCTTAAGATAATTAAAATTTCTTCCAATTTTTTCAATGAATGTTCCATTAAAACTGCATTTTGCAACATACATGTACTGATTTGCCTGGTAAATTTTAGCCTTGTCTTTTTTGCAATCATTCAAAAGTTGAATGTGCTTGCATCCTAAAAAGCTGCCAGTGAATAAAATGCAGTATTTTCTTGTGTTTTGTTTTTTCTGTTTTGCTAATTTGAATGCTATGGTGCAAGAGTGTATTCACGTTTTTGTAAATAATGATTCTGATTAAAAGAAATAATAAACAAAGAAAGAAACAAACATACAAACAACTAGAAAATGTCCTGACTTAACACATTGTCTCAGGATTGTCTTTTCCACATGCTACATCTTGATCAAAAAACAAATGTTTCACCCTGAATTAAGCCACAGGTGATCTACATAACTTTGTATGAGAAGATCTATTTCGAGCCTGTGCAAGTTGCCTGAATGTAAATTGGAATTGCTCCCAAGCGCCTGATGTTTTGCTACAAGTCCACATGCAGACACTATTTTGATCAAAATTAACTTGTGTAGAAGTCAGTTTACATCTTGGATATCGTACCGCTGAACACAAACAATTTACATTTGTAATCATCTTGTGCCAGCTTGTTTTCTTTATACAGTTCAAACTCAGCATTGAAACATTTAATTGCATATCCACACTGTAAAAAAAGTTTGTGATTTTTTTGATTTCCTATTTTTTTTGAAAATCTTTTTTGATTTTCTTGCACTAGGCCTGTAGGTAAGATTTAGAATAATTGTTGAGAGTAACCTGCTCAAGATGGCAAGAAAGTCTACTCCAGGAAAAGACCCTGATTTCTGATCATTAATATTTTACTTTTTTATTCTGCATTGTAAAGTGTCCATGGTGAACTCTAATGTAGCATCTTTTCTGTGTAATTAATACTTTGTTCTACTTCACAGATTCTTCAGCAGCCAGTGAAGTGAATGGAGATGTAGAAGACCAGCCTGTGGATGATGGTTCTAAAGGTGAGCTTGTCATTGGACCAGGAGCAGGAGGAATGCAACCACGCCCTTCAGAAGTGAAAAGGGCATTGCCCCCTCTTACCTATCAACAAGAAGAGATGCTGAAAAAAGCCAAGCGGTTTGCTATGGAGCAGTCTGTTCAACAGGTATCCTGAAATACTACATGCTGTTTTTCTCACTAATCATCAAATTAAGCTTGGTTAAACACTGCTTGATCACAGATGTCTTTGTCTGCCATTGCATCGTGGGTGACAGTCTTTCTCTTAAACACCAATGTCTTCAACTAGTTAATCAGTCTTCCTCTGCTATACTTACCATTTACAACTTGTGTTCCATAAAATGTAAAGATCATGACTCATAAATAAATGCTGACTCTTTAAGTGCATTTTGTTCTGATGTGTTTTGTTGTGTTTTAAGGTGCTGGCAAAACAACAAGCACTTCAGCAGCAACAGATGTCTGCCTTGCAAACAGCTGCTCAGAGGCAGAGAGCATTAGCTCTTATGTGCAGGTAGAATACATTTTTTATAAGTTATTTTGTTTTTTCACCATTTACATAATTATTAAAATCCTCAAGTAGCTAACCTTGTTGAGTTATCTTCTCCCTTTAGGGGAGCAACGTTAAAGAAATTGTAGCGTGCACATTGTAGCATGATGTAATCTTTCTAAAAATCAAATGCCATTTCCCATCTATTATAAATTTAAGCTACATCCCTGCAGTACACCTGTGTGCTTCCAAATGTTATTTTTATAAGCAATCCCATCTGCTTTTGTACTTGTGCAGGTTTCTCGTCATTCTTTCTTGGAGCTTAGCATTTGTTGCTAAATCATTATTTTCCCCCAATCACTACATTTCCCAGTATCTGGAGTGCTATCTTGCAGGGTCAATACATGTTACTCGTTTTGCTTGTTTGCAGGGTCTATGTTGGAAGCATTAACTTTGAGCTACGTGAAGAACATGTTCGACAAGCCTTCATTCCTTTTGGTCCAATAAAGAAAATTGACCTGTCATGGGACCCATTGACAATGAAGCACAAGGTGGGAAATGTCATGATTATTAACCTGTCAGAAGGGTTGTCAGATTTAGTTTCAAAGTAGGTGGCTTGTTTTAGTCATCTTTTACCAAAGAATCAGAGGGGGCCTTATTTTTGGAGGGGCTTATACATGGAGGGGGTAATTTTTGGAGTTTTACGATAGGTCTTAAAATGAGGGAATGATGTTTTAGAACTTAGCTCCTAAATGTCCCAGCGAGGATGGGTCCACCTCCCTCTCTCCACTATCCCCTTCCTCCCCCAGGAAAGTGCGCAGCCTGTGGCACATATTTTTTGCCTTACTGGCCATGAATGGTCCCTTACCTGCTGAGCTAAAATTTAGGGAGAATACTGTACCGGCTGCCCCTAATTCTGTGTCACTTATCGTGAAAGCGATGTCATTCCTTTTGTAGCCATCTTTACTAACTGCTTTCTTGTGTCCTATGATATTACAGGGATTTGCATTTGTAGAATATGATTTACCTGAAGCAGCACAACTTGCTCTTGAACAAATGAATGGTGTACTCCTTGGTGGAAGAAACATCAAGGTGTGTTATCACTAGTTTTAATGTCTGCTGGCTGGAAATACATTGTTTAACTATTTATAGTACAACATTACTGTACCTAAGTTCAGTGAACCTCATCCACAGTCAACTACCCTGCCCTACACTTGTAGTAATGTAGTCTTTGATATTCATTGCTTGCAAAACTCTAACATTTGGTAGTTTGTACTTATCTGTACCTAAAGCTTTAATGCAGCTCATCAGTATGTTATTTTGTTGTGCCACCCACTGCACTCTACAGCTGTTTTTTTGAAAAACACTGTTAATTAAATGTGAGCACTAAAACATGGCAACCCCTAATGCAGAAAATAATTCTTGCCCACTTCCTGAACATTATGTACTGTATGTAGCCTTCTTGTCATTTCAATTCATTATCACTTTAATATGTTCAATTCATTTATGAGTGCACATTTTTTGTTATTTCATTTTGCCCTTAAAAGTCTGTAGGTCAATATTATGGCTTTTGGGAAAATATTAATCACAAGATATTTGAAATCCTTACTGTGTTGATATTTTTTCATTGTGGTAAAAGGTTGGTCGCCCAAGCAATGTACCACAAGCAGCACCACTAATTGAACAGTTTGAGCAGGAAGCTAAGAAGTATGCCAGAATTTACATTGCTTCAGTTCACCCAGACTTGGGTGAAGAGGACATCAAAAGGTGATTAAGCTAATAATAATTTTCTTTTTAGGGCTAGTAGCACTAGCCACATTCTTGCTTCCTGCTTTACAATATTAATGTTATATCATTCTAACTTGTGTGTGTCAGCTTTTGCATGTAGGTTATATGCCCTGCAGTCAATTAATTCTTCTAAAATCAAGCGAGTGAAACATGTGAAATCATGGATTATTGCTCTGTAGGAGAATATATCTTTTAAACCAAGGAAAAGAAAATAATATTATTTCTCAATTCCCCTATCCTTTCTGCCTTCTCAGCTAAATCTCTTACTCACCCATAGTCTGCTTGAACAGTAATAACAATTTTAGGCAGGTCTCATGCATCCTTGTTGTATCTACACCTTAGTGTATTTGAAGCTTTTGGTCGAGTACAAAGCTGTACACTGGCTCCAGACACAATGCCCGGAAAACACAAGGGTTATGGCTTCTTGGAATATGAAAACCAGCAATCTGCAACAGATGCTATTGCATCAATGAACCTTTTTGACCTTGGAGGGCAGTACCTTAGAGTTGGAAGAGCTATCACACCGCCAGCATCAGCTCAGACCAGTAATGGAACATTGCCACCTGCTGCTGCTTTGGCTGCAGCTGCAGTGTCTGCAAAGATACAAGCGCAAGAACAGGGCCTGGCAAGCACTTGTAAGGACTACTCTTCTTTCTCATAATTTTACCGCAGTTAAACTGATTGCTAAGAATGCTGCTTTATACTAATAGAAAGTTCACTTGCTCTTAAAGTTATTAAGAGTCATGCAATCCTATATGGTGTTAGATATATGTATGATTAAGACTCTAAGGTGGACTTTTGTAGTCTTTCCTGGCATTGTAGAGTGATTGCAACAATCATCAACATTTATGTAGTCTGTTGAAAGTTTTGGTTTGGTAGCATTTGAAATATTTAATATTATATTGTTAAAAAGTTTTGAAAATGGAAAGAAGGTTTTGAGGCAAGTTTATACCGAGATTCTTGGTTTGATTTTACTGGTTTTAATTATTCCATTTGAAGACTGTAATTTGTTTGGTGATTATACAATGTGAAAGGGTATATAGTTGTACTTGTTCCCATTCCTGCTTGCAAATGCATCCAGGGCATTTTCAAGTGACTGTGTTCCAAAATTAAGCAATCATAATATTAAGAAAATTGGTTCAATGCATATATAAAATACATGTGTTTAACATGTTAACTGTATTATCTCTGTGTTTGTATTCCAGTTCCAGCCATTACTCTTGCTGGAGGAAGCACAGTCATTACATCTATTGTTGGAACAGCAGGCCTGGTGGCTCTTCCAACAATGGCAGCAGGAACTCTGGCACCTGGTGTCATGTCAACCAGTATCGCAGCACCACCAATCATGACATCTACTGCTTTGTTGGCAGGTAAATGTTTGAGGGACTTTTTGTTGCCGACATGTGAAGTAGTCTAGACTGTGAATAGTGATAATCCTAACCCTAACCAATGTTAGCATCCTGTTAGAGATGACTGAATTGTTTTATTAGGGCTACTGTACATACAATGTGGATTGCTTAGTCGGATTTACTAGCCTGCATAACAGGCGTTATTTTTTGGCGTTTTTCAGGCATGAAAAGGCAAAAAAATAACACTTGTTATGCAGGCTAAAATTGACATGCAACAGTACCCCTTCTTGGCATTTTCTCCTTTGTCTTTCTTTTGTAGGGGCTTAAGCAGCCCTTGTCTCTCCCCATTTTACGCTTAAAGGCGTATTTTCATTAAGTGCTGGTAGTTTTGTTGGGGGTTCTAGTCCTTTTAGCGTTTACTCACTCATTATAATTGAACAGGAACACCAACAGCAGTCGTAGCACCAATTCCCGCCACACATGTGATGACCAACACAGCTGTACCTGTGCAACCTGCAGCAGTTCAACAGTTACAGCTTCAACAGCAACAACTTCAACAGCAGCAGCTTCAGCAACAGCAATTAACACAGCAGTTACAACAACAGCAGCTACAGCAGCAGCAACAGTCTGCGCAGGTCATTGCAGCACAGCAGGCTGAAGTGCGCGCCAAGATTGAGGAAGAAACACAGAAGAAGATCGCTGAGAGTAGCATCAGTCACGAAGAAAACATGTCCATATCAGGCAGTAATGCAAGATACATGGTTATGCAGAAACTATCGCGCAAAACTGAGGTGAGAAGAGGGTGCCTAGAGCTTTCACTCTCCTGTGTATCCATACAGCTCTACAGACGGTCGACTTGACCAAACCCGGTTTAAACTCTCTGTACACACACAAACCATTTCCAAACCCGACCAGCTCCATTTGCGGCGGACACTTTCCGTTTCCCGAGGGTGTCTGCTTAAGAGCGGCCCCTTAACTGTACTCATACGGTAATAAAGAACTTAGAAGCGAAGTCCAACTTTAATTTAGGTCAAATAGGATCTGCGGATAACAAGGAGATCGTAGGATGTAAATGCAGTTTAAAAACGGCCATTTGCACGATGGCGTCATTTCGTATTTCTTTTGAAAAGTGAAATTTTGTAATCCCATAATAACAAAAGCCCTAATTTGCGCAAGAACGCACAACCCTGGAGGATTCTGGTTATACTAGTAAAATGACGTCCCCTCGCTGCCTAGTCCCTGATCTCGTTTATTCCGCGCGGCAAATTCGTTTCGGGTCACGTGGTCCAAGCGAAGAAGTGACCCGTTCGCCTTGGATACGTCACCGAAGTGAATTGACCGATAAGGCCTGGGAAAACGTCGTACAGGGTCTAGGCAAGTCATCCCTCAAATGACCTATTGTTTTGGTCTTTCAAACCCAATTACTACCTACCTTGATAGTTATTCATTTGTGACTGTAAATGATATAGTTGGCTTTGGTTTTCAGTCCAAAGTGCTTGTTCTGCGTAACATGGTCGGAGTTGAAGATTTAGATGAGGACCTTGAGCATGAAGTTACAGATGAGTGCAGCAAGTTTGGCATGGTGAACAGAGTTGTTATTTATAACGAAAAACAAGGCGAAGAAGACGACGCTGAAGTCATTGTCAAAATCTTTGTGGAATTTACTCAACCTGCAGGTAAGACTCGAAACTGTACCATTTTGTATGATAAACTGACCCCTTAATAGAGGTTTCATCATCCTCAAGTAAATCAAGATAAAAGATTGTGACAAAGAGAAGGATCCCGCCCCCAAAAGACTAACTAACAAGGGTTTTCTAATACTTGCGCCAAACTAAAAGAAATTTCAGACAATTTACAAAATTTCAGGCCAAACCCATATTTAATGCTTTTGTACCAATTAACTGTCACCGCGAGTCCGAGTCTTTAGTAAGTGACCACTAGTGGTGGTGGTGGTGCTGCTGCTGCCTTCTATCCTTGCTTGCCTACTTACTGTATGATCGGTGGGTACTGTGGTATTGATTGCCTATTTTCTCTGTTTATAGAAACTGAAAAGGCAGCAAGTGCCCTCAATGGAAGGTGGTTTGGAGGACGAGTTATCAAGGCTGAGGCTTATGACGAACTCAAGTTTGGTGCTGGAGATTTATCTGCGTAAAAAAGCCTTGGTGTTGTCTTATAAAGCAAAGACATCATCATTCGTGCTTAGCTAGTTCTGATGTCACCGTTTCAGTAATACTACTGTATTATTATTTTGACGAAACTTTGACCTCTGTCGTAAAAACACTTTGCTTTCGAAATTATTGGCGTCTTGTAAACTACCTGTCGCACATTACTGATTTGTAAAGTGTGTAGAAGATCTGATTTCTCCCCCCCCCCCCCTCCTCCCACCCCCACCCCGCTATTTCTTTCAATTTATAGCAGTAAATAAGGCTTAAGTGAAACGTTAGAAAATAAACCTGAAAAGCCAGAGATGTCTAGGAAAATTCGATGTATATAACTCAATACAAGACAATTGTTATCTTGGAATGTGAAATCTGGAAGTATCATCAAAATAGGAATTTGCTGCCACTAGTTAAGCAGCAGTTAGACTGTATGTTCATTTCACTCTTGCGGAAACGGCGAAATGAACAGTATAGTGCAAATCATGTGAAACAAAACCGTTTTCCTTGTGAACTGTTAATTTCCTTTGATTAGCTACAGAATTGTCTTCCTCGGAAATAAAGAAACAAAACTGAACCTGTGTCGTGTCTGTAGTACATTTATCTTTGATGTAGACTATCATTTGTACATAAAAGATCATTTTGCGAAACAAACGGGATATTAAACTATAGTCTCGAGACTCCCAGATACCTGGAACCTTCAAGGAAAATTCAGGAAAAAAGTTCGAGTTATCGTTAAAAGGACATAGAGCTAATACTTCAACTAATGGGATTCAAATAAATTCTCGCAACGTAAACCAGGAAAATGGTGGGGAAATATCAGAATCGGATGGTAGGTGGTTGCCGTCATTACCAGGCTTTTAGGCCAAGGCCAAACGTCGAACGTTTCGACGCGTCCGAAGTTCGACGCCTGACCCAACTTGATTCGTCTCATGAAAAGTTCGACGTTTGGCCTAGTCCTTTGAGCGGTTGAACAGAAACGACAGGAATGTCTCGTGAACTCCCCCTCACTTTTTTTTGAGCTTGCTTTTGTCTTTCGCACGTCTTAATTGAGAGCCTGAAACAAGCTTTTCTGTCATCAATCCGCTACTCAAACGACAACTTAAAAGCGATTTTCGGCGATGCATTTTATTGAAAAGTAAGCAGATCGAGAGATGCAGTCAGACACATCAAACCAGCGTGTTTGACACACAAGACCTGATCCGATGCTTAGAGAGATTATAACTTCTTATTCGATTCACGTGTTTATGTGGTCGAGTACAACCCTACCTTATTCGATACGTCAATTGGAACTAAATGATTTTACAATTTAACATGAAACGCACCAGAAACTCGACCCCTCATGAGTTTCTGAACACACGCCTTCAGAGTCTTTGATTAACTAATAAATTTACTAAAAAGTGATCTTCGTCTTGTTTTCAAATCGCGATACTGTTGGGAACTCTCTCCGGTAACAAGTAAGTGTAAGGAAATTCCACTAATGCATTGCGTTCCTTGATTGCGTCAGAAATCCTCTGGAGAGAAGACTGGAAACGAGCGATAGCACCTTCCACTTCTTTTCCTGATAAAGGGCTTTGGGAATAATCTCCAATGAAACGCTGCCGGCAAAGAGAAAGAAACTACAATTATCAAGAATGCATTGGGAAGCACTGAACCGCAGCATAATTTAACGTGTTTTCTTCCAGTTGCATTTATTGTTTTCTTCCAGTTGCATTTATTGTCCACGGTACAGCTTCGTTGATGTCAACTTTTCAAAATACATCAACAAATGAGCACTTTTAAAATTTATTTAGCCAATCATAATCTCTATAATACGCCACTTGCACATCTTCCATAATGCACCTTATTTGCCCCCCGCCCCTCCCTTCAATTTTGCATAAGCATTGTTTTCAATTTCTCTTGGGATGGCTGTAATACCCAGGGGAAATCAAAAACAAAGGTTATGAAAAATTTTGGGGAGCAAATAAGGTCCATAATGGGAAATGTGCGAATGATGTTATATGCCATCCATCTTAGGGCCTGTTTACATGGAGTGGGGGACCCCGGTCTAGTGGGGTAGGTTTCTTTTGTCTTGTGTTCCCCAGAGCGTGAAAACAAAAGAAACTAACCCCACTAGACCGGGGTCCCCCACTCCATGTAAACAGGCCCTTAAAATATCGCAAAACCTATCGAACCAGTTATACCGATTATACTAACCACGATACAAAAATAAAATATGATATCAATCAGCTATGATGATGAGATGTAGATATTCGTCCTTTAGCCTTCTTTTATAAGGTCCCTTTCCCGACAACAGCTTATTTGGTCCCTATATACTACTACACTTTCAATGTTATTTTACCTCGTTTTCCGCTATTCTCGTCAGAGTATATACGGTTGCAATATGCCAACCTGACTGGCACTTATTAGGCAGTGTATCCATAATGGTCTTCATGGTAGCCTGGTTTTTTCTCGTGGGTGGTGGAAGGCGCATCACAGGCGGCACATTTGGAACAAACGCTGTGATTTCCAGTTGAGGAAAGTTCACAGCTGCATGTTGACATGAGCACCCGAATACTATACAGGTCAGCAAGTGAACAAGCTGATCACGTGTCTGCAGGCTCATGGGAAACTCGTGATCAACGTCACCTTCTCTCACAGGGAAACCATTTTCGTGGATGTCAACCAACCAGGCCCGCAGCTCGTTATCCCTAGAAACATCTTCATCTGACTGATAGAAAATGGTGACAAATTCCTCTATGAAATCAGAGATGGCTTTCCACATAAGAAGTCCGTCATCCCTAAGGAATTGATAAGGTACAGCCAGGAGAATCAAATTAGCACAGACGTGAAAAAGGCAAAAACACTAAAAGGCGTTTTATTGGGTATTGCCCACAGCTGTTTGCTTGGGTATTTGTATGCAGCTCGAAATTAATGTATCTATCCCTTATCTTAGCAAATGTTGAAAATTTACTCGAAAATTTCCTTTAATCATTGCAATACGATTGTCTACTAAAACAACGTTGGTAGCTGTGGACATCAACGACAAGAGGTGATTTTCATAAGTATTCATTAGAGATTGAACTTGAAGCATGCATTGAGCGTACTTTGTTTTAATTTGTACAACATATAAACGAAACTTTACAAGGTGAATATCTCTCTGGCAACAAAAGCTTTGCAGACTGTTGTTGTTGTTGTTGTTGCCCGTAAACTCTTCCCAAAATGACACCAAAATAGCCCTGAGGTCTTTAGTGAAACGGCCTTTGATTTTTTAACTTCCTCTTCGTGACAAACGTTACAAATAGTTACACATCCATAAAAATAATCGCATAATCACATTTTAAATCAACCTGAAGCTAACCTGTAGAAATAGTTAGGCAACTTTTCAGCATCGTCCACACCTCTTTTCTTTAACATGTCAGGTAAAGAAAGCATCTCAAACTTAAAATTCCTGTAAGTCTTTTCTAGGAGCTGAATATGACCTCCACCCCCAAGGCTGAGAGTTTTGTCAACAATGCCTCCTTCTGCAACCAGTTCATTTCTTCCGATGGTGTTGATTGCCATAACTGAACGAAGGTGAGGAAACAAAAGCTGGAATATTGGGTGGATCGAGGGCAACTGGCGCCAAGACGCAACAGCAAACGCCTCCATCAGCAAATGGGTTTTCGTTAAATGAGTTCCCATCTGTCAAAAAAAAAAAAAAGGAAAATATACAAAACTTACAACCTATCAGTATGCTCTATTATTTATGGGGACAAAGAAGCGTCTGCATAAGGAATGATTTGGAAGTCTTAATGATCTCTCGATTCAATGTATAACAGTAAATAGCAATGCTAGCAAAATTATACCTGTGGTGGCGGACCGGTGTTTAACTGATGCCTCTTTGCCTTGTTTTTTTTTTTCTTCGTTCGGGAAACTATTTGGTCACAATATATTCAAGCAGGAGCGGATAATCGGCTCGTGATACAAGTGAAATAGCCAAACTCTCTTAATAACACATTTTAATATAATAAACCAAACATTCAATGATAATTTTCGAAAAAGAGTACATAATATACTGGCTATGTCTCCAGATTCAGAGTTAAGTGAAGAAAAAGTGAACTGTCTCGTAACACTGCAGTTGATGGCGAACGCCGAATGAAGTTGGTAGGTGACTCTAACCATATAATAAAAAGCAAATGTTTGCTTAAATATGACTGGCATGTTACTCATATATCCTGTCTTTTCTATTACTGACCTGATGTACTTGATGGTCAGCGTTGCGAAACCACATTTTTGCCAGCATCCAATCACAATGTGTATCGTCAGGGGTCCATATTGGGTTAGTGTCGGAAGGTTCTTGGAAAAGTTGAATAGCAATAGGTACCAGGTCCCCTGAGCTTTTCACGTAAAAAAGACAAAGTGGTTCTGCAGTGTAATATGAATTAGAGTTGCTGTCCTCACCGCTGCGTTTGATTCCCTCGAGTTCCTTGTAGTCAACAATGTAAACATGACCTGCCTGAGTAAAAGCAGAGAGAGAGAGAGAGAGAGAGAGAGAGAGAGAGAGAGAGCGATCGAGTTATCATGGTACAGGGTTAGGTGTCTATAATGACACAATATATTACAGATACAGCCTGGATGCTATTTTTTGTTAGTTGGTCACTGACCAGTCAGGGATCCGTGACAATGGAACCTACAAATCGACCATCCTTGGGGACTCAGAGGCACCTTGTAGGCATCATGGCATTTTCATGGGAGAAAGTCTACAGCATGAACGAAACCTTTCGCCCTGCGTGTCCGAGGATGTCTAGTCTACTTTCACCGTTAATTAAAGGGGAAGGATCAAACACATTCTTTTTCAAGACAGTGAAAGGATAGCCACCTTTTCAAGTCAACTGAAGATAGTTGTGTTGTTGTGAGATTTTTTTTTAACACGGCTGGGTGGTAATTTAGTAAAATTAGAGAGCTGGCCCTCGCAAACTATTCCATACCTTTATTTCTTCACTCAATGTCATTCCTCGGTCGAGGAAGTTTTTTACCATTTCATCTGTGACCGGGAAGTGGTTTGGCAATTCCTTGCACCGTTCAATAACGCATGGGTTGCAGCCACTGAGGAACTGCTGGCCAAAAATTTTGTCCTCCATCCACAGATCATTGTGAGAAATGCGAGGTACATCGCCTGTCCAGCCGGTGAAGATATTCTTAAAGCAATCGAGGCTGTCCCAGCTCTCGAAAAGGGTGAGAAGATAGGAAAGACCAAGATTCACAAGCCCGCGAATACTGCCATGCTTAAATGAACGGGATTCTTCGTCCGAGAACTGTGCATCTCGAGGTAGATCAGCATGTTTAGGGGCGTGAATAAAACCTGGCAAATCATTTATACCAGGAGGAAGTTGTCCCCAAAGATACTGCTCTTTTCGTTGCTGTACCTCAAGAACTCGCTGGCACCTTATGGCTTCTGGTTGGTCTTGAAATGGAAGAAGAGCTGGGAACGACAATAAGAGAAACTAGAAAAGAATTTATAAACTATTCCTACTCTTACAATGAGACATGTGCTTTCAATACGTGACTCTTTCATTAATCAAGGAAATGCTGAATACGTTTACTGCGGTGATTCGTTCTAAATAGTGTTGCGCTTCTAAAAATGGAATTTGCGCCACCGCCATCACCTCTTTGTAGAGAAGTATAGCGGGAATCGCTTGCCGAGACCTGGGCTCGAGCAAAAAAGTTATGACGTCGTCGGTTTTAATCTATTCTTCGCAAGTTAATGAGATTTCTGCCCCAATACAGGAGTAACTAGAACTTAGGGTGTGTTCCTTTCGGTGAATCCAAAAACGGATTTTAGATCTAAGAACGCATTTCGCGTTCCTTTCGGCAAATCCAAATCCGGATTTTTGATCTGGTGAATCCTTTTTGAAAAAGGATTCATTGGATTTGAAATCCGAAGAATCCAAATCCAGATTAACGGATTAGTAATCTACGCTGTTCCATTCACAGTGGATCCGAAATTAGTCAGATGATCCAGCGGTATTTCCAGTTGAAGTATTCCCATAGAGGCCGTAGAGGTTCCTCGTTGCTGTCATTTGCCGCAAAACATCTGAAAACACTAGAAGATTGTTCCTGGTACATTAAAATATCCATATACTAACCATTTGTCTCTAAAGATGGCATGCTTGAAATCTGAAATAAGTAAAAGCAACAAATGGACTGCTATCTAACTACAAACTCGCCTGTAGACGCGACAGGCACTCCATCGTGTTACATAAAAAAATCCGAGCTATGGAACTGGATCAAACTGGCCGACATTCTTTAGATAATTTTCCAATTTAATGCGCTTCTTTCTTCGTATGTTTTATATGTTCCATTGTCGCTATTCGAACTGCCGACCACTAAATTCTGCGCGGTATAATCGCATAATTTGTCAAAGAGTAAAAAAAACGTCATTTTTTAAAGGCTGTCGTGCATATTGCGCGCTTTGGCGAAAGGTTACCAAGGTTACAAATCCACTTTCGGATTTCACGTTCCTTCCGACCGCGAAATCTGGCAAATCTAGGATCAAAAATCCGTTTTTGGATTCGCTGAAAGGAACACACCCTTAATGTACTGCAATCACCGGAGAATGATTCAAGTTAAAGTGGCTTCTATGATGACAGTCAGTGCTTGAGGATAGATAACAACAGGACGCTGAAAGCCAATCAAAGCTGTATGTACCACGTACACAAACGTTTATTTCTACTTATCAGAAGGATATCTTACGGTTTTCCTGTTTAGTCGCGTTTTATTTCGCAGTTAAATTGTAATGAAGCAAAGATCATATTGAGGCTGAAATTCGAGAACGATAAAAGCGCCATCCTCTCGACTCATTAAGTAAGTTCCCCCGGCGCTAATTCTCTTACGGTATTTTTACATGTAGTTTCTAAACTAAGGATATACATGACCCTTTAAAGGGTGTAGGATCATTTTTTGGATAGTACTGACCTTTTCCTTGAATAACAGTCATATCGGATACCACCCAGCGATAACAAGGAAATTCAAAGGCTATCGGTTGCTTTGAGCTCGTCACAGTGATCTTGTTAACGAACCAGTCAGGATTCTTGTACCACGAATGTGAACCATCGTTGTAAAGATGGATCATCAGAACCTCTCCAACATCCATGGCTTCCACGGCGTACTCATCTGTGTGCCCAGCTTCAAAGTCATTGCTCCAAGATTTTAAACAAAGCCTCTCTGTTTTTCCTCTGGTTCCTAAAACGTTGTGCAATTTCAGAAATTTGAAATGTGTTTGTTGGGAAAAGTTAACATTCGCAAAACAAATGTCATATATATGTAGCAACAGCAAGCGTACAACACGGAGTTGCTGGAGTCTGGTGAAAATTCTTTGAAAACAAAAACTGAAAACGCAAGGTAGGCTTACCGTACACCTACGAAAAAGTAACATTCTCCTATACAGCGGTTCTTTATTTTCAATAATAATACTGCATAGTATTCAGACTACATAATGCCATGTACTCTAACATACTACTTTTAAATTTTAGATCATTTTGCATCCTACTTACCAAACAGTGCTTTATAAGGCAAGTACCCTTGTGTAATATAAATCACACCTTCACCCTGCTATAAGGTGAGGACACTGGATGTGAACTTAACACTATTTAACCTCATCGTGTAGTTTAAACTTTTGTGTGATGAGATACAGAATATGATGTGTATATATATATTTATATATTATATGATGGGTGATCGCGTTTCTTTTCCATGATGTCATCCAAAACGATGGCCACTAGATGTCGTAAAAAGGCGATGTACAGGGTAAACATGAATTACTTTTAAGATAAATTGAGATTAAATGAATTACATACCTGTAAGCGATATAGAAATATTTGCATTAGTTCCTGCTCTTAACTGGGAACCAGTCTCCACGCTAATAATGTATGTGGCCACGTGATCTGGCTCAACCTTTGAACTCCTTGCCAATCGAATTCTCTGGGTCCTTGCGTACACCTCATTTCTTATGTGAGCTATGCAGTTAGAATGGTGAATACTGTGAGCTGGTAGCAAGTAAAGTGAGTCGGGTAGGTTACCGACGTTAAACATGAACCTCTCGGAGACATTCGGGGGAAGGAGAGCAGTCAGTGTGACGTCAGCAACGTCTAACCAGGGATGGGTAGCCTCGTTCCAGTATCTCCCGATATTCAGGATGTCTGGTGGGTCGGATGATTGAGCCTCATGGAGCGCCAATTGAAGCTTGTACTTGATTGGTCCGCGAGAAACTCTCTCTTTGAACTCTTTCTTCAGATAATCTTTTGCTCTATTCTCCGATGGGAGTCTCTTGTACTCCCTTCAACAAAGAAAGTCATAAGAACATTTTAAGAAAGTTCGAATCGACCTTCTCCCGATGGGTCTCAAGGACTAACGAAACAATTTTGCATCTTAATTGTGGAAACATTTATCCGAAAAGGTTTGCTTGTATAAATTGTTAAAAATTGTTAAATATGTTTCCTAATTCTACCTGTATCAATCAAATGAATTAATTGAATGGATGGATTTACTGTGAAACTCACAAAACCGTGAGCAGCAGAAATATTTATGGAAAGTTATTTTGCTGGGAGGAGAAAGCCGATACGGCAAACAGCAACGGTAATTAGTTTATGACGGTTTTGTGGTTTGCTGGCGTGTCCTGAACTTTATTAACCTGAGATCAGGCGTTATTATTATTATGTTTTTTGCTTGATCCCAGGCTAGAACTTTATTGGGATTGGCCACTACACAATAAACATTCCCAAAATTTATCAGCTGTTCACGGTTTTCTGAGTTTGACAGTAATCGTCCGCCCGTGGTCTGCCTTTACACTTAAAGGTGAGAATTAACCGCTCACAAGAAAATACAAACCATGAACTATGTTTGTAGACGATCAGGGCCCGTGTGAAAGAAAGCATTTTTAAGAGTGTGACTTCATACGTGTGGTCAAAAGAGAAAGAGGATGTCTGTGGCGGATATATAAACTTACCAAAGATTTCTTTGATCATGTTCTGACAGCAAACCGGTTTCTACAGACCCGTCCGCTGGAATCAGTCGAAATCTGGCATAACGCTCACTACCATCAAACGCTTTGAAGCCCAAGATTAATCCCGTGTAATACCGCTGGTCGTAAAACGAATTTGGTGCACGGCGCAGACCGTCTAAGTTACTAGCTAGTCTGTTATTGAAAAAACAAAAGAAGGAAGCTGTGAAGTACAGTATTTTTCCTTACACGAATATCTTCGGGGATGGACGCCTTTAGCGCCTTACTCCAGATCACGGGTAAAAATCGCCCAGTTTAGAGCTATCCCGATCCTTTTCAAAGATTTTTGTGTGTCAGGGACATTCAACAATGGCACCAGTCAATGTAAATTCCGCATTCCCTGTCTAACGCTCACTGGTAAGGTTGTAAAATGCTCCGCACCCAAAGGCCAACGTTTCCCTATAACTGAAATTATTGATCCCGGCTCCCTGGGTTGTAGCCACAAGCCAATGAAGTCATTTAAATATTTTCATCTGGAAATTTAACTCTAATTTCACCCATTCAAAATGCATTACAGCCCAGCAAGAGGAACGTACACATTGGTACTAGCTTAGATAGGGAAATCTGAGAAGATGAGAGGAGAGAGGGGAGGGTTACCTTATCACTGGTCTTGGTATCCCACAAAGGAGTTGCCAACAGGCTCCCTTACTGTAGTTACGTATTTAGATTCGATGTAAGTTATATAGATTAGCCTAAGTGTCCAGTTAGCCCACTATGTCTGCTGGTTCTATGGCAGTTGTAGTGAACAAGTATACAAGTTAAGCCTGAGACCAAAAATCTTATTAAACGTTTCCTGAAGTCTTAAGTTGTCTCTTTTTTAATAAAAAATAAGCTTATCGCCTTACCGATCAGGACTACCCATGTAGAACTCTTTCAAGTTACCGCTTCGATTAGCTTTAAGTGCGTCATAAATCGACGCTACATTGGTCAAGACGGCTGTCCTCCCTGTGGACATGATAATATCCAAGGGACTGTCTTCCTTATAACTATCAGCAAATCTTAGTGAGGCGCCCATGAAATCCAGCATCGCATCATCTATGGATTTGAGAGTGGCGTGGCGAAGCCAAACGTTGAAAGATCGCCCTGGAGTAAAGAACTCACAAAGAGGAAAGACTGGTTCAGATACGATCCTTGCAACGCCCTGGGCTGCGATGCCAGCTGAATGAGTAGGCCGCTTACTACTGAACAATGCAGCCGCACCAAAGAGAAATTTCACTTTTTCCTTTTCCAGGTATAGATTAACGCCATCGAAGATACTCGTTGGTGGAATCTACAACGAGGAAAAGGCTCAGCTTAAAATTCAGAATTGTGTTGTCGCATTAGTTATAAATGAAAATATCTTAATTAGCGGTTCACGGCCAACAGTTCCCACATGTGTTGTATGGAGCTGGCCCTTAAAGGAGCCTTATAGATAAGCCAAGCCGATGAGCCCCAGTGAAAGGGAAAGAGTTGTTCATGGCTGCCCAAGGTTGGTGGCTGCCACTGCCCAGATGATATGGCTGGGCGCATGCGTTGTTGTACTGTCCATCCCGTGGTGTTTTCTAGTGTGTGCTTCCTTGCTTTTTTAGTTTTTTTTTACTGAAAATCAACTGACTTGACAAGGGGTCTCATTATTCCTCGCAGCCTATGCGCTTCGGGTCACGTGGTCCGTGCGGGAAGCTACGTCACGAAAAATACATTGACAGTAAAGGTCTGGTAAGACGCCGAACAGGGGCTAGGTTGCGGCTAAGCAATATACCAGCTAAGTATTACTGCACTACAGATTGATATTTGCAGTCGGCAAACATATTTTTCATATTCTCTAGAATAGTCCAGTTTCGAATTAAAAATTACCGCTGAATATAAACATTAAGGACACATTTATACACGGTTAGCCTCGACGTAAAGTAAAAAATTCAGAAATTTTGGCAAGTAAGTGTTTGAAATTTGAATATACACAATAGACAGAGTAATAAACAGGTCTTTTTCTCGTTGGAATTTGTGAATGAATATATTAATTCAGAGAGAGGCTACTGTAAAAAATGCGTCTTCACTTCTTTTCAGCGGTTATAGCGAACTCGAAAATGGACTATTACAGACTAATTAACTAAGGTTGCAAAACAAAAGTTTGCTTCTGGAGATCGAATAGCCCATATCGATGATAACTTACATATGTAATTAATGGGCTACGCAGCTGTTCCCTGCCTCTTTCTCCACTTTATGATACACTGGACATTTTTGCAAAATCTTGATAAGTTTAAAAGTTAAAGCTCCTACCGTATTTGCTTCTTTTAGCTTTCTTTCAAACTCCTGTTCTCCTTTAATTTCCTTGTAAATATCATGGGCGTGGTTTTTCCCTAGAAGAGGGTTGACCAGGGTTGTTTGGCGTTAAACAAATCATTTATAGTCACGAACTTCAACTTTAATTTTACTTGCGAGATATTTGGGACACTAGCAGGGATTGTCTATTGGGGTATGTTTCAAGTTTAAAAGCAAGTGTGCATTGATCGAATATTACTACTGACGCAGACTCTGGGAACCGAGAAACTTGTAACCTATATGGTTTTTTTTAATTCATTTGGTAGCATTAACGCTATTTCATTAACGCTACATCTTTTCAAAAAGCTAAAAGCACCAATTGAATTCGATCTAACAAGTTATGGCTCTTTATTCTAAAAATATTGGTCCAGTTCTGTTATTTTAGAAGATTATATTTAGGGATTAAAACTGTTTCCTGTCAGCTGTTTGTTACGGATGACAAGGATGGTCATGCATTGACTGAAACTCGCAAAGACTGGGCCAATTCTTTGTCAAGTTTTAATTTAACACCTGCAAAAATCACCGAAAAATTATATAATTCTGGTTAGTTCTCCCTGATAGAATTTGTTTGCTGTCCTTTTATGACTTAACAAGAGCATTATGTGTATGTTTTAAGGCACTAAGAAATAACAATAGTTAGTATAGAATTAACCTAAAACGTTCAGCAATATTCTCTTGACAAAACCAGCAATTCAACTGTCAACATTCTTGCATTGGTACTAGGTATAGTGTACTGTGGGACCACTTCTAGATGAGGTTATGTCATGCGTTATTCAGTGAAATTCCAGCTTGTGGATAACTTGACCTTTAGAATCGATTTTCAAATAAATCGAATGAAAACTAGCTGTTATATCTCTAATCCCAGTTTTGTCATAATTTTCTGCTTTTCGTTTTCTCCCAAATAACGGAAATTGGTGCAAATGACGATTCTGATAACACAAAAGCACAGTTACGCTTTTCTGCCTCTGTCAAATCATCAGTTCATTGGCCTTCGATAGTTTAAAATGTTTTTATTAATTTCGTTCGACATGAACATTAATTTAAATCATTCCGGACCACAACCAGAACTGGATACATGATAACGTCACCAAACTTTTCAAAACAGCCGTGGCTTTGAATAAAAAGTGAAGCGTGAATGTGAATAAAGTGGCGTCCTCTGAAGTTTTGGGTGTTCTTTAGAGGTAAAACATACTTACATTCCATATTGATTTCTTCTTAATCTCCTGCAAGAATAAATATAATGAGTTGTCAATGTAAAAAGATTCCAAATTGCACCCTTTCTTTGCTCAGTCTTGTAAACCTGTAAAACTCTTAACCTTTAAACTCACTTCACGCAAGATATACAGAATTAAGGATCACTGATGACTGGAACGACAGACTAGGGGGATATTAACAGAACTGGCCAACTTGACCAATCATCTTTTTTAGTAAGTATTCGCAAATCAGTTTTGCCGTGTTTAAGAAATAGGCAGTCCGCCTTTTCTCTTAAAATCCCTCTAGTTCTTATCTCATCCAGCGCGATTGCAAACCACGAGGTTATTATTACAATAAGGGATTGAGACCAGACCAGAAAAGACGGACTGCTGACTCTTTTGTAGTTAACAAACCCTCGGTCAGCCCAGAAACGGAGTAACCGATTGGTCAATTGCACAGCTGTTGACAGATAATTGACTGGTCTGTGGTAAGCTTAAGATTGCACGCGTCACAACCAACTCCAAACAATAGCGATTCAAGCAGTAATCTCAGTAATAAAACTTTTAAGGAGATCTTACAGAAAGAAACTGCTGTAAATTTCCTCAAGGGAAACGAATTTAAGGCAATCTTACCGGATTTAAAGAAACTGTAATTTTTCCAGTTGTTTATGTTCTATTTATAAATCGTTTAAAGCCCCTCCTATCATGTCGAAAGACGTGCGCTTTACTACCTTGTCTGTTGCGCAATCTTAAAACTCTGTCCATACAGCTCAGCGTAGCCTGTGAACAGGCTCTCTGTTTGGGAGGGGGTGAAAAAATCGCGTGGAGAGGGAAGGAAAAGGGTGAGAGCCTGTAGACATTTAGCCTGCGTAGCATGGCGGTTTTGTCGAGCCGGGCGCACGAGCGGCGAAGCCGCGAGAAAAATAAAAACCAGTTGCTCCCGCCCCAATCTCCTCGCGGTTTTTCTGCCCTCGCCCGCCTTTATTACTTAGCAACCAAAACCGCCATGCTACGCAGGCTAGTAAACATTCAAATATTGAGCCCGTTATTCCGCCTTCTTGTCTTGTAATTGCCGATCATCTGTCAACAAGATCGTTATCTGTCACTTGGATACATTGGAATGTAATCAATTTCGCGTGTAAAAAAGGGGTCGGTAGGCAACACACAACTTTTACCTCGTGCCAAAATGATGCTTTTTCGAGTTTTTTCTGCTTTGGAGGGTTTAGTTTTAAATGAGAAAATGTGATTTTTGCCGCTTATTTGAGAGGTCGTGACATGGATATTGATTTTCTGCGGTTATTGTTTCTGGTCGGCGTGATTTGCCCTCTGATGCAAGAACATTCATTGCGGCTAAAAAAGCTCATCAGTCAAGCGCCAGAAGACGCCATGTTCAAGATCAGAAGACTTGTTTACAAGTGATTATTTAAATCAAATCGCGTGCTACGTGCCGACCAAAAAAAGCGATGTAGATCAAACCTGTCAACAGGCAGTGTTCTCGCCAATGGGAGCTTGCATCAGGATCTGATGCACGGCGGTTGCCATGAAAAGACGGTCCCAAATGTTTGTTAACACTCACCCTTTCCCTTCTCTCTCCTCGCGATTTTTTCACCCTTTCCCCAAACAGAGAGCCTGTTCACAGGCTAAGCTCAGCGATGCTCGGAACTAAACGATGTGTACCTGATAAAATTCAAGTGGTGACATTCGTCAGCAAGATTAAAGGGGCTGTATCACCTGGTGAGCTTGCGAGAAAAAAACAAGTGCTTTGTCTCGCAGAAGTGCCAACAACTGCATCTGCTAAATAGGTCGACAAAAATTCTCACTGGTTGCCGCGTTGGCGTTCTTCAGACGATATTAGTCACTTTTATATAAACTTTGGGTGTGAGTGATATTAGTAACATCCTTTAACATACTTTTTTTAAAAATAATTTTACCGCAAGGCTCCTCCAAGTCTCTCGTACTGATGGATGTTATATCCTTGCAGACTGATCTTTGACAGCTGTTAGCAGCTGAAGGGACTCTATCTCAATCTGGAGGGCAAATCTACGTGAAAGAAGAGGGAAACCTTTCAGAGTAGTAAAAGCGAACACTATCAAAATAATCAATGTCAAACCAGTGCGTCTCGACGTAAACCCCGAGACACACCCACCCCCACAGCTCCAGGAATTTGATGTGATGATGGCATTATTCAAGATTAAAAGACCGCCACTGACCCTGATTGGTTGCCGTTTTGGGTTTGGAGGGACAGTTGCACAACCCTAGCTCCTGTGGTGACTGCTCTGTGGAACAAGTCTTAGAAAGTATTTGAGAAAATTCTGACGGTCACCCAATATGCGTATAGGGAGGCGGCTGCAGTTTTACGGACGCCTTGATTCAAGTACAGTATAATTACTTAAAGACACTTGATGATAAGGATTGTTATTATGTTAAGCTTTTTGCTATGGATTCGAAAGCCTTTGATAATGTGAAACACTCATTAGTTGGGGAAAAGCTAAAGGCTCTTCATCTCAATCCAAATGTTGTTAACTGGTATCTAAGCTTTCTAATGGATAGGAAACAAAGACTAATATTTAAGGGTGTTACCTATAAATGGCACTGACTGTGAACAAATGAACAACACAGGGTAGTGTAAATGAGGCCCATCTTTTTAATTTTTAATTTAACAATTTGGCCATTAGAGATAATGACCTTACCAGCATAGTTAAATATGCTGACGACACCACCCTGCTAGTCAAAGTATGTAAAAATGAAATAGATCTTTCTCAAGAGGTTGTCAATCAGTTTTTCAGTTGGACTCAAGATAATGCCTAGCATGTAATTCCAAAAAATGCAATGAACTGATAGTTTGTAAGAAGGTTACTTATGACATAGACCCTGTGAACAATATGACACAAGTTTCTTGTTTAAAAGTGCTCTTGTTTAAAAGTACTCTTACAAAGTAATCGCAGATTTAATGAGCATATTAAGGTTAAGCTGCAGGAGACCAATAAGTGTCTTCATGCGATAAGATGTTTACGTAAAGCGGGATACCAAAAACCAGATGTAGATTACCTTTTTAGATCAATTGTTTTACCGAAACTAACGTAGGTCTTCCTATATACGCCTCCTCAATACCTGAATTAACGACGGTCCAGAATTTTCTACAGCGCTGCTTGAAACGCAAATATATTTCGTACTAAATTGACATATACTACATATTAGAAGAGGTAGATCGGTCACTATTCAAGATCTCCAGTATGCCCGGTTACCCTCCGTACCCTTCCGTCCTCAAAACGAAAGAAAGTTCAGCGCGCCTCCGAGTTCCTAGCAGTCAACTCCCTAAGGTTAATACCCAGCGTTTTAAAAATAGTTTTTTAATAGGATATTTTTCAATACAGGTTGGCTATTTAATGTAATATGGATCTTGAATGTTAAATTCAATGCTTCTACGTGGAATTTTTTAAGCCTTGTAATTCTCTCTGCTGTTTTCAATGTACTGTCTTGGTTTTTACCATGTATTTTTGGTTAAAAAAACATTAAAGACCTTTTATTTATTTAGGCTATGCTCATGCTCATTTTTCAGATTAAGGTGTTTCGATACAGTTTTTCAGAGGCCATACCGATATTTTTCCGTCTACTTAAAAGTGGTTTTTCCTTGTCCGATCCGCTTTAAAATTTTCAAAAGTAATTGGCTATGGATTGAAATTTGTGAAATGTAGTTTTAAGTAAAATCGATATTAATATGACAACAATAAACAAAAAACTTTGAAATTAATAAAAGCCGAATTTTGTGTGATCTAGACCAGCTACCGAAAATCCAATACTAGGGACTTAAAGTTTGGTGTTAAGCAAACAATCTCCATAAGAAGTTAAAAATTCTGTATGTTTGAATTCGACTAAAACGAAAAGATATTTCAAACCTTAAATTTTCAATAGCTCTGATAGATTATTTAATAAAAACGTTATAAATGACTCAAATTATTAGTAAGTAGCGTCAGAATGCTGCTTAATATCATATTTCGATGCTAGGAAATTTTGGTGTATTTTCGTTCTTGCGATCTTGAAAACTAACCCGTTTTCTCACCACCTGTCTAAGTGCAACTTCACTCAAAATTTGGACTTTTGGCGCGTTTTTGTATATCTCTGAAACGATTAGAACGAATTTTTTTAAAATCTCTTCACATAATCTTCATAATGTTTATAATAACGTCTGAAACTTTCATTGAGATTGATTCACTGAAACACCTTGAAATTTCTAGACAAACCTATCCTACTTACCGGTCAAAAATGATCTGCGTTACAACATTCACTGTTTTGACGTCATGCTAATTTTTCCAAAATAATGCGCACTATTCATACCTCCATGACTAGTACATTTTAGTTTGAATTGATCGCATCTTTTGAATGTAAAATATTGACATTACTCACACTGAAATGTGCTAGTCATGGATATATGTATTGTCCGCATTAATTTGGAAAAATTACCATAACGTCAAAACAGTAAATGTTGTAGCGCGGATTTTTGACCGCTTCGAAGGACAGGTTTGTCTTGAAAATTCAAGGTGTTGCAGTGAATCAATCTTAACGAAAGTTTCAGACATTATTACATACATTATGAGGATTATCTGAAGGGATTTCAGAGATATACCAAAAAGCGCTAAAAGTCCAATTTTGAATGAAGTTGCACTTAGACAGGTGGTGAGAAAAAGGGGTTAGTTTTTAAGACCGCAAGAACGAAAATACACCAAAATTTCCTAGCATCAAGCAGCATTCTGACGCTACTTAAGAATACGTTGTAATGAGTCATTTATAACGTTCTTATTAAATAATCTATCACGGCTATTGAAAATTTAGAGGTTGAAACATATTTTCGTTTTAGTGGAATTCAAACATACACAATTTTTTACTTCTTATGGAGGTTATTTGCTAAACACCAAACTTTAAGTTCCAGTGTTGGATTTTCAGAAGCTGGTCTAGATCGCGCAAAATTAGGCGTTCATCAGTTTCAAAGTTTTTTGTTTACTGTTTTCATGGTAATATCGATTTTACAAAAAAACCTACATTTTGACAAATTTTAATCGATAGTCCGATTATTGGTGAAAGTTTTATAGCGATCAGACCATGATGGAATCACTTTTAAAGCGGTTGAAAAATATCTGTATGGCCTCTGAAAACTGACTATATCGAAACACCTTAAAAGAATTATTTCAAGTGAAAAATGGTTTGACTGCGTCGTTTCTTTTTTTATGAATATGCCAAAAATTTGGGTCGGTCGGACGACGCTAAACAGAGAAAAAAAAGAGGATGGCCTTATTTAAAAAAATTAAAATAAACACTTTAATAATTTTATACAATATTGCAAGAAGATACAAGAATACAAGAAAAATACAAGACCACAAAAATACAAGAAGGCTAAGATACGCTCAGAGGATAAGACAAGTGAAAAGCTTAAGATACAAAAATTAAAATGAAAAAAAAAACAAAAAACAAAAAACAAGACAAGTGTACTACGCCACTGGACGTATACAGCTATTTCGAGAGAGGTTGTCGGAAAAAATGTGCACGTGTCAATCCCCAAAGGTAATATGGGATATAATCAATACACTGTTCCTGACGACTGTAGCTGTCGAACCTACTTTTGTTGCTTTCCTTTAGCATTCGCAAACACATTTCCATGGCCTTTCGTGCCAATTCTTTCAAATTTCTTTGAAAAACAGAGAACTCCAAACCACCCACAATGCCTTTCGAGATTGTCGCGTGCACTTTTTCCGACAACCTTTCTCGAAATAGCTGTATACATAATGTATAGAAGGTCCTATGCGGCTCCTTCGAGCACTTCAGTTGCGAGGTGATAGCTGTTAAACAATAAAAATGGAAGCGATGGAAAATGTTCGCAGTGCGCACGTTTTTGACATAACAGTATTAAAGGAATTTTATTCGGTGTTTGGGATTTATTGCAAAATTCATTCGTTTCGGGAAATATTTATAGGTTAAGGAAAAATATCATAAAAAGCAATTTGACTCATTTTACTTGGTGTTAACTCCTACGCATCAGCACTGATCAAACGACATCCTCTCCCGAAATGAGAAAATGATTTCTGTTGATTCATTCTCCTTGGTCTTGTTGAAGGAAAAATGTCGATTGAAGAGTTACGTTAGCCACTTGTGACAATTGTTACAATATATGTTTATAGTGGAGTTGTTGTAAGCGTTCTTGTTGATTGGTTTGAGTAAGCTACTTCACTACTAGTAGTATTGGTTTTTCTAAGTTAATTGATGATGGATAGAAAGTTTCTCCTGACATGAATTCGGTACAAAGGAGATGTACCAATTTGGTACATCTCCGCGGTAACACTTCTGTTCACGAGATATGTTTAATTAGAGCCTTTGGCAGATGACAAAGCTTTGTTTATATTAAGTATGTCGTCTAGGTTAACATTTTTGACCTTAGTCTGGTCTTCCTTCGATATTTACCAGGAAATGACTACCCTCCTTGTTTTTAAGAGTTTTAAGCGTGTTTCCTCGAGTTTTTAACCGAATTCTTGGCAGTGGATAACTTTAATTAAGCTTAGTGGTTTTATAGGTGTTTTTGTAATCAAACAACTATTGTTTTAAATTCTGCCTTGTACTTTGAACTGCATTTTTAATTTACCCTTTTTAGTTTGCGATCACGTTCGTGGTTAAATTATGGAAAAGTTGTAGCCAATCATCTTCGATGAAGAAGCTTAACACCTTCTGAAAATTGACAACAACCTTAGAATTTCAAACTGTAATTTTAGTACTTTCCTGTCGGTTAGTATGAAAAGTCTGTTTAATGGTATATACCTTGTAGTTTTTATATTGTTCTCCTAGTTTTATATTGGCCAGTTGACTTAAGCTTAGCAGTGAAAACTTCGGTTAAGAGTCATTTCGACAAAGCAATTATCTCGAAGGTTTCATGCAAATGAACTGTTTTAACCAATCGGATTAGACTTACGTCAGCATTCGCGTTGCGCTAAGCAGCTGGTTTCCTGGCTGATATAAAAATGCGTGTAACACTGATCTTGTAGAGAATTGTAAAATACAAGTTGCACTAACTTCGTGACACCTTACGGAAGAATTAAAGAGAGTCGATTGAACAACAACTCGTGTGTTTGTTGTTAGAACCTGCTAGTACCCCCAGTAAGGTTCTTCAACACAGCACTATTCGGCCTTCGGCCTCTTGGGCTATTGACTCAGAGCCCATTCGGGCTCGAGGAATAATTGTTAATTATAAGAAATATCCAGGGACTGGGTTTTGTCCCCTCGCGGACCCTGGTGCGCAATCGGCAAGACTCCACTCCACTCGCTCCGCCTCGTCGATTCCGGAATGTCATACGAGGAGAGATTTAGCTGAAAGCATTCCTCTTATCATAAATAGTAATTTATATATATATATATATATATATGTATTTTTTTTTCTTCCCTTGCTCTTTTGTTTTGTTTTTGTTTTTGTTTTTGTCATTTCGCTTTTTTTAGCCTAGAACTATGATTAGTACGACTATCTAATATACTTATTTTAAGATTTACTGTAGCTCTGCCATTGATTTTCCCATGTGTAATTATGATAATATTTTGTTCTAATTATCTAACTGAGGGAGCCCATTCCTTATAAGCCCGTGGCTTCTCTTGGGCTTCCTCGCCATGAGAGTTTAAGTAATTAGATTTTATTTGATTTGTACAATTTTTGGCAAACAAAACAATAAACAATAAACAATAGAACTAGATTAGGACAACAGCGAAGCAAAATTCAACGGCATGACCTTGTAGTAACCCCATTTCCTTCAGTCCAAGTACGAGTCCGAGATTTACGTGTTTTAAAAAAAAAGACACCGCGGAAAGCTTCAATTCATTTTACTTTTTTAAACCAAAAAACTTAGTACGGCTATTTATACTGAAGGAGGTTATTAAAGCACTCTCCCGATAGCAAAATGATACAACTTCTTACACATGATAACTTGTTCCCGCCACCACGACATTCTCGCTAAAACCCGTCAGAGTAGAATGACGACGGCTATTACGTTTTTTCTTGCTCACGCTCGTACACTACTTAGTAACTGAGAAAATTTCATACTCGTAGTGCTCTCTCGTCCTCGAATCTAAAGTTCTCTATTGGCCCGGAATGGTGACGAAAGTTGCTGATTACTGTCAGAAGCGCGAGTGGTGTTCTCTGGCCAAAGCAGGAAGGACGATTTATCCGACCATGGGCTTTTTGAAGGGTAGACCTTTACAGATCAATAGTGTTGCTTGCATCAGTCACCTCTTGCAAGTTAAGAGTGGAGCGCGATGATGTGGTGATTATTTCGCCCTTCACTGTTATGATGACATTTGCTAGCTAGGAAGCAACTTTGTTTTGTTTTTGTGGCGAGAGAGTATAGTAGTACAACCGTTCTGACTGGCTTACTGTAGACGCATTTATCGGGGCTTATCAAAGACCTGAAAAATTCTCGTTGTATAATTGGCTGCTTAAAAGACAATAACAGGAGGCAAGGGGTGGATCTCGCTTTTTCCTTGAAGGAGATGAAGGTATGCATTGTTCCTTTTTTATCTGGCCCTTTGTCTTTTAGGATAGCTTAAAATATCAGCTGTTTTCTTCTGTGAACAAAAAGTACTCGCGGCAAAAGAGAGGCTCTCTTCACTATACATTCAAAAGATTTCTCAACAATTTAATTCCATTGAAAACCTTCTACATTAAACCAGAAATATCTTAGACCAGAAACGTGTAACTTCCTTATAATTATCATAAACTCGGTTCAAATGAGAAAGACCAAACTAATCTCTCACTAAAAAATGAAAGCTTTATAGCTACAGTTGTGCGAATGTTGAATAGCGCTATCCACCTTTTGAACAAGTAGGGCCTGATAATCGCAAAGTTGTGTTTTTCGTCATCCACCTTTTCTCAGATTTGTGAACATCTTTTCCACTAAACACACGCAGAGCGTTTCCATAAGCACAACACCTAAACTACTGCGCTTGTCATCCTGTCATGGCATTAAGCAGGCAAAAGCGAAAATGACTACGCTATGGATGCTACTTAAATGAACCCAGAACCCAGAACCCAGGCGGATCGAGTCAATCGCACGGGACGTCTCAAAAATGTGTTCAAACGATCAGGAAAATCATATAGAGACACCTCTGATACGCATGCGCCACGAATTTCACGACGAGAGGGCGATCACAATCCCCTTAACGGAACTGAAGACAGAACCAGATTTGAAAGCACAGGTTAAAACAACTTCACGACACTTGTCACACGTTTGCACGGATATTTGTTTACTGTTCTGTCTTAAATTAACTTTCTTGAACCCAAAACGTTCAGTTTATAACAACATTACTGCTTGTTTCCTGTTACGATTTTGTTGATCTTGTTAGCTGTCGGTTTGCCAAGACTGATTTTTTATCTCAACCGTTCAGCGCGCTTTCGAGTTCACCCCCTTGATCTAGTTCCTGAATAAATAAAAAAAATGAAACATAGGTCGTTAGACCGAAGCATAGAGGTAAGCCGTTTTCGTGTATACAAATTTCTCAAATTAGAATAAGCTAAAACTGAATGATTAAAAGACAAACAGACAATCTAATGAATTCTAATCATTGAGAATCTGAAGCCAATACAGACGTGTCAAAAAAGGAGAATGCGACTGCAGAGCTGACATTATATTTTCTAGACAATCAATACTCTCCGTAAATTCAAGGTACGCATAAAGTTGCTTGAGAACTGTTCCTTCATACAAACTAAAATCTGAAAGGGTTTTTCAACTAAGATATTCCCTTTAAAAAATAAATAAACAAACAAAACAACAACAAACAAACAAAAAAGCCTTGAGACTGATGAACTGTACACTAGATGTTCTTGTATTTCAAATGAAAGGAAAGCATATTACCGTGATGATATCCAAGCCTCCGATAAGTTCTCCATTCACGTACACTTGTGGATATGTAGGCCAGTTGGAGAAAGTCTTCAGGCCTTGACGAACCTGATGCCGGGTGATAATAGACAAATTTAGGGTCACCCGTTTACGGCAAATGGCAAACGTGAATTTGTACCAGGTGACCACGTTTTCCCTACATATCGACGTTTATTGTTCAATATAACTACTCGTAAATCAGTAGATTCACGCCAGTTTTATCTATAAGAATTATTTCGAGCTGCTCATGTTTTTATCCCCTCATTTTCTATTGTGAGAATTTCTCAACGTGAATCTGACGTTTGCTGTTTACCGTACGCGGGACTCTAAATCTCAAGGGAAGACTAGAGTAGGTTGTAAGAGACACGGGCACAGTGGTAGTTATTAAGGGACATTATCTCGGATACAAAATAGTTTTTTTAAAAGCAGGGTTTATTCCAGAGCGCGGCCTTGCGGGATTTCCGCAATTTGGAAAAAATATACCGCATAAAATTTCCGTTGCCGCGTCAAATGGGGCGCGCAAAAAAAAAAAATAGACCCAAGGATAAGAACCTTTTTTTTTTAAATAAAATATTCGAAAACATCACTGACAACAAGCTTTTACGCCCAAGCTTTTACAGTTGCCCAGAATGTTCCAAAATGGCGGCAAAGCGTCAATAATCTAAATTCATTTTCTCATGGAGCAGTATTTACCAATATAAAGTTCAAATACCTTTTCGGGAACCCCCTTTCTTGACCCCCCTTTCTTGAAAGAGGGCCCCCTGAAATTGCAGAAGGGGGCCCATTTGACCCTCATTGGCCAATTTCTAGAATAAACCCTGAAAAGTAAAGCTGTAAGGCATTAACCTTGGAAATCTAAAATATAAGAAAGGGTATTTTAGTAATGACACCCCTGAACCACAATAATTAAGAATATTGTTCAGTGTCGCTGCCTCTACCCAGCCACCAGTATTTTTCACTCAATTTTTAAACAATAACCAGCTCATATGAATCTGATCTTGAAAAATTAAAATGCCTACCTCTTGGTCTTCCAAAATATCAAAAGACTTGAATTGGACACTAAAAAAAAAACCACGGTTAAGAAAAAGAACCAACACATGCGCTCCTGTAAATCCACAAGCAGCCATGGGTACACACGAGAAGAGCTGAAAGAGTTTTACATGCGATGTGATCACTTGTGTATAATTTACGCCCCGTTAACACCAAAGGGGAAGCTGTTTTCCAAACACTATTTAAAATTGTTTCCTTCATACAGGCTGATTACTGATTTTTGTCACTTTAAATAAAGCACAAATGAAAGCACAACGATAAGTTTACTTGAACCGCATGTGAAAGCCAGTCTTCAAGTTTTGTGAATAGGATTTAAGGTGTATTGTAAGGTAACTTTACGATCCTGCACACTGGGAAATTATCTGTTTCCTGTACAACTGACCTGGGGTATTTTTTCAAGATCTCACACATCTTTTTGCTGAAACCACACCGTGGAGCCTAAACAAAAGATTCACTTCTATAAATATAGGCAGAGAAATTGAATTCTAATCTGGCAAAATGCTCCTGGCATTGCGGAAAAAGGAGACATTAACATAAACACATGTATACAGTGTTCATACAGATTTTTGGATCCAAAATTCAAGACTTTTTTCCATATTTTTTTCCACACTTTTTTTGCAAACAATAATTTCTTTTTCCAAACTGAAGGTTAATGAACTGCAAATGTAAGGGCGATATTGAATAAGATTTGATTAAAACGAGAATTTCACTTATAAAGCACTTGTTGTAGCTTTGAAAAAAAAAAAGAACCCAAGACTATTCACCATTTTTCCAGACTTTCTCCGAGGTCTGGAAGATTGCTAGGAAAATTTCAATGAATTCAAGAATCTGTACGAGCCCTACAGAATGAATCACAAATACAAGTCAGTTAATAGTCTGGAAAAGATACGACACATGTGATATATTTTTGCATCTAGGTATTCATTAACAACAAATAATCAAATAAGATACATCTGATACCTCTGGATTTCCTTTCATGAACACCATCACTGGAGCAGATGAAATCAATGACTGCAACCTGAAATACAATGGTTAGCAATATGGTTTGAAAAACTGTGGCACCATTGTAATAGGCCATTTGCATGATGGTGTGTGGTGTACTAAGTACTAGCATCTGGGAATTGTAAGTTAAGCGGCATGTTGACTTTATGTCTGACTGTTTGATTGACTTAGTATCTACTGGTGTCCTAAAACACTACACTGTGTCATTTTACTACTACAATCAGAATCCTTTTCATTTTTCCTTTCATATTTAAATTTGGTAATCTCAGCAAAGTTCAAAAACGTCAAAAGCCCTACAACCTATAATTTTCACAAGAAAGCAAAACCCTGAAGGATTCTAGTTACAGTAGTAAAATAACATCATTGGGCTAATGGCCTATTCACAAATAAAAAAACTGTTGTCTCACATTATGACTGATGATTAAGTAGAATTTAATGGCATAACTTGTTGAACTTTAAACAAGTTCTCTCATTTTTCACTTCCTAAATGAATTACTATAGTTGTTACCTTTTGTTAAGATCGTTGTCTGATGGGAGTGTTGACGCAAGTTCCCCACTTGCTGCCAGTTCCTGAGACAAGAAAGATATCATACAATATTATTGCACTAAGCAGCTGTAGTACTTGTGTACTTGAATCCTATACATACTGCATCTATACAAGATTGCTTTCTCTTAAGTTAAAGAAACTATTGGAAATGGAAGAGGAAATGGTGCCAGTTTTTCATCTCTTCCAGCCGGTGGGTGAACTGCAAAAGAACCAGAGAGGCGAGATTGGACATCACTGTGTGGCGGCCACATCAGTTAACTGGTATAATATGATGAACAGAAAGCAGTAACTGGGAGTGAACAAGGAAGACAAAATCATCAATCTGGAGTCCATAATCCATCATGTCCTAAACTCTGGGTTGGCAGTCTATCCACTAAGCATTAGAGGTACTCTTGGAGAGCAAGGCCATATTAAACAAAATAATAAAATATTAATGTGATCAAAGAGTTGCTGTCACTAGAAATGAACACAAGACACAATTTTTATGATAAAAACTTTACCTTCACGATATCCAGACCTCCCATTAATTCCCCATTAACATACAGCTGTGGATATGTTGGCCAGTTGGAGTAAACCTTTAAACCTAAAGAACATTTTAAGAATAAATTTTTTTTGAGGTTAGCTGACTCTTTTAACCTTAAATTTTAATGTCAGTTATCAAATATGTGTCACTCTCAAATCAAACCAATGAAAGAGTTCCAGAAAAAGTCTTGCCAGGCTGTCCAAAAAATTGCTTTTTTGGGTCAGTGTTGGTATGTGCCTAGTACTAGATAATAGACCTTCTTATCTTGTATGTTTTTTTCCCATGTAGGTCAAGTATAGTACTCTACAGAACCATTAATTTTCTTTCAAATTTTGTCCTATTCAAGTGCGTAATAATGTATGTATAATTTATGAAAAGACAAAGGGGAAAATTCCCCTGAGATCTTCATAATTGGAAAAACAAAACAAACAAGCTAAAGAAGTCTATTACAATCACTAATTATTCATCAAATACATACCTTGTCTAACTTCATTATCTGTAAGTATGTCAAAATGACTGTATTTTGTTCCATGTGCATTTAATATTTCCACCATCTGTCTGCTGAATCCTGTATTAAATGTAAACAAATGTGATGTTACAGGTCCAAATTAAATTCACAACAGGTTAAAATTTTTCAATCTAAGTTGATTCTAAATTTCCTTCGTCTCCTAGCCCTAATTATTTCATGAATTAGGACTAAGAGACAGAGGAAATTTACCGTTAATTTTGACCAGTAAATATAGACACATCAGCTTGAAGTCCAAAAGTATTCCTGAATTTCATAAGGCTATTCCCATGGTGAGGATGTTGCAAATAGAAGAGAGCAGGAAAAAATGGAAAGGGGGTAGGGTGGGGAAAAAAAAGGAGGATATGGTTCAAAGAGAATACCATGACTCCCTCCTTTCTCCCTCTCCAACTCCTCAACATTTCTTTCTTTCTATCTGCTCTCCATTTTGTACCATTCTACACTATTTGAACACCTGGAACAGGCTAAAAATTCAGAGAAAAAACAAACAAGGTGTTATTTTGTGTTAGCAGTAGCTCAGAGTATTTTTTTACTAAAACAAAATATAACAATCAAGCTGAGGAAGTATATCTGTATTCATGAGTATGTATAACTACTATGAAGGTTTGATACAAAAATTAAAAGAAAGATGGCCAAGAGCAATAATATATAACAGAAAAAGGCAAAAGCACCAAAAATAAATTATAATGACACAAACCACAGCGAGGTTCCTGTGGGGATCCCTTCATAAACAACACACAAGGAGCTCCATTTATGATGTTTTTTAATCTTGTATTTATGTCCTGTGGAAATAAACAAAATTACCACAATAATAATTACAAATGGTATAATTCACTCGATCGAAAAACTTTGTACTAAGGCTGTGCTCCAATCAGAAGGAAGCATAAAGTTCAGAGCCTTAGAAATCTTGAGTGCCCATGCAGCTTCCGTTGCTATCTACTACACTAGAGAAATAAACCAAAAAGCATGTGGCAGGCTCTTAGTCAGTGCAGACTACTTGGTAAAAGTGAAGAACAGCTCCCCTAAAAGTCTGTCAGCGGACTATTGGTATACTGTCGGCAAACTGTCAACCGACAGTATACCAACAGTTAACCAACAGTTGACCAACAGTTAACCAACAGTTGACCAACAGTAAACCGACTCCTAAAAAGTTGAGAAGTGTAATGACATCACTGTCACTTGACCCTTACCGTTCTATTAGAATCAGTTGCGGGGTAAGGCGGGTAAGCAGTGAAAAAGTAAGCGAGTGAAAACAGTGAAGAAGAGGGAGGGGGGGGGGGGGGGGGGGGGGGCCGGAAGGCAAAAGGCACTTTCCTCCTTTCCCCCCTTTTAAAAAAAATTTTCCCACTTCAAAAATGGAAAATGGGTGAGGGAGTTTTCAAAACCCCCCCCTGTTGTTTTGCTTTTTTGCTGGAAAAACACATGTGGGAAAACAACAAGCAAACAACAAAACAACAACAGCAGGTAATAAAAAAAACACAACAAAAAGAGGATGATAAACTATTGGACGCAGCGGTGCGCTCGGGCTGAGGAGGGGAGGGGGGGGGGGGGGGGGGGGGGGGGGGGAAAGGAGGAAGGGAGGGGGGGGGGGAGAGGGGGGGGGGGGGGGGGGGGGGGGGGGGGGGGGCGGCGAGCCTGAATGCCAAAGGCAGCTTACTACCTTGCCCACTTCTAGAAAAGATGTTCCTCATGTCAAAATGTGAAAATGTGTAGGAGAGTTTCACAAGCTCGCCATGTTCGTTTGACTCTATGCGTGGAAAGCCAAGTTTGGCATAAGTGTTGACATAAACTGTCAAGATTGACTAATCATAGGGTATACCAGGGGCTGGTATACTGGAATGAGGTATTGAAAATAATGCTTACAGTCTCCACTTCCTCCTCTGTCCCCAGTCCCTAGACAGTTTTTACCCAACTTTTCTCCATCTGCTATAAGTTCCTTACTATCTTGGGGCATTGCACAGGCCATAAACCAAACACTAAAACAGATGTACCTTCTTAGTTTCCTGTTGATTTGCTGATGTAACAGCTGGTGTGATGACATTTGCATGATGTTGTACTTTCTTAGTCAAGCTAGGGGCATTTGCTCCATCCAACCGATCAACAACTTTCTGGTTCTAAACAAAAAGAAACAATGTTCATCTTTTGAGAAATCAATGTACATGTATTAACAAGCATTTTAAGCATCTTGTTCTATGTTCTCATGATTTGCGCCATTTTAAAAATATTTTTTTTGAGGACTACGGTAAAATTTTTCCAGGGCTGAAAAATCTACATCTTTCAATCAGTTGTTGGAATTTTTCATCCAAGTTACTCAATACTAAAAAAATGTTTCATATCCTTGAAATTTTCAGGTGTTTCTTGGTGAACATTGTGCATACTATTGTTGGTTCACTTTTGTTTTGTGGTGTGGGTATTTTTTAGCATCTTTTCAATACTTTGTATTATGTCATTTGGTGATCAAACCCATCCACAACACCAAGAAACTACTGAAACGCGCAAAAAGCAACTCCGGGACTTTTCAAAATTTTCCAGGGTCTGCGCTTACCCTGTCACTAGAAAAGAGAACAACTTTCACAAATAAAACATATGAAAACTATGAGTAAATTAAAACTTTTCAAAATGGCTACTAGTGCTAATAATTCTTCCCTTGCAGTTTTTAAAATTACAGGTGAAACTGGTACTAATTGAATTGAGCTTTATTTAAAGATTCAATAATTGGTCTGATCCTTCTGCCAATCTTTTTTATGAAGAAATACAAGTACTACAGAGCTATCTGTGAATTTCCCTCTCAAAGGAATTCCCATGCTCTGCCATAAAAAGACATAAGTTACTTACCTTAAAAAAAAGAAATGTGGGAACAGCACTGATTTCATATTTATGTGACACTTCTGGTAGATTTTCTGCCTCAAGCTAGAACATTAAGAAAATTTGACGAAAGCAATCAGATATGTTGTTTGCATTACTTAATGCAATGTATATATTAATATAATATGGCATATTATTTATTTATTAATTTTAATAGAAAACCATTTAAAATAGGTTTCTCTATTTCTAATAGTAATTAGCCCCTTCACTACAAATAGCAGCCAGACTGACTGAGATGCTTAACAAATTCACAAACATAACAAAAAAATCTTCTCGTACAAAAATCCTCAGACATAAATCAATGGTATCATGAAGAAGTTCTGCCAAAGACGTTTCACATTTTGAATGATGATTAATACAGGATTTCATCCAAAGATTAAGAAGTTAAGTAGACAAATTTTCTCGCCATAACTTGTTCTAAGAGTCAAAGGGTTATAAAGTAGGGCTACATTTACCTTATAAAATTTAACATGTGTGTTGTCTTTAGCTAGTTCAGTCATTACATCATTCATCTGTGCACACTGAGCAGCCCATGATGCATGAAAATGAATCACTGTTAGGAAACTGTGAAAAAAAAAAACTCTTTAAGAACCTTGACATAACGCTGTTAGTACTCGGTAGATAACTGCGTGCAGACTGACCCTTACCCTGAACACTGATGTAATTAAACACGTCCACATTAGGGCAAACATAGACCTTTAACCTAATAATCACATACAAATTCTCTAGACTGATTGCCATACATTTTCTCATTCAACTGGCTGAATGAATTTGTTCAAAGATCAAAGCATTTGCCATTATTGCATAATTTATTCTCATAACCTTTTCTGTTGATTGGAGGAAATTGATGTTGGTCACTACTTTAGGGTTTTAATATACACATGGTTCTTGAGGTAAAGAATTTGGGGTAGCGGTTTCATTTAAGACGACATAAACATCCATAGATTTCAGCAAAACATGTAGTGCTTGCTGTTTTCATATTTTGTATACATAAGAGGATTATTAGAAAGTGTCTTTTCTTGCAATTGTCACTTTTTTGGGGGGCATACTATGTGTTACTGCCTATGAGTGTTTCTGTACAAGTGCGTACAGTGGTATTTCCCCATAGAGGGGACTCAATTCAAGCCAAGTGAGTAAAAAAAAACCTAATCCTGGGTGCCTGAAGTTTTTTCTTTATGATTACCTAATACCAATGGTTTGCATTGAGCCACGATAGCAAGGTGTGAAGCACCAAGAAAGAAAAAAAAAACTCTCTCTTGGGAGAGTTTTGTCAAATCATGAGCACAGTTTGCTTCATCCTAGGTATTTAGAGAATGGACCTGTATAGCTAGGGTACTATTAAACTAACTTGGGAAATTGGGAAAATAACCTTCATTAAGTGGCCAGCTCCTATTACACTCTCTATAAAAGCAGCCAATTACCAGATTCCTGGACAAAAATATTGTGAGTAAGTTACTGTACCCAGAACCCCTATAAAAACCCTTTCTTTACACAAATGTACCAGTCAATGACTGTCATATAATATAAGGAGTGGTCAGTTCTGTGATGATTAATTATTGATCGACTTAAAATAACCATTCCCAGCCTTGTACAGTAATTTATGTTTATGAATTTAAAACCAACAAAGTTCCACAATAAAAAACGTAGATCACTGGCACTTCAAAAAATAGACCTATAAAGGCAGTTCTTTGGCATGATATGCAAACCCCATAGCTTCGTATACATGTACAGCTTTGGGTGTACTTCTCGATCATACAGCTGAGTAATTCACAGAAAAATGGCTATATATTCTCCGTGTTGACCCGCTTTACTAATGTATGTATGCCCTGTCTCCCACGTTCTTTAAGAATATATATATTTTTGCAAACCATTGTTTAATTACTCAGATCACTGCAACAATCTTAATTGGTTTTGTCTTAACATATTTGTATTAATTTCATTTATTTTATTAAATAATTTAAGTGATCATAACAATTCTCCACTGATCCAGTCTGCGAGTTGAATAAAAACGCGAACTCTCCTGCTAAATTTCTTTTTGAGACAACGTCATCTTGGGCAGTTCGCTTAAGAGCTGAAAAGAAAAACTCCTTAGTATGAACTATGTTCCTCAATCCTCTTTTCAGCTGGGTACGTTTCAAGACCTTTTTCCTTGTCGCTCAATGAACTCATTGTAAGACTGTACTATCTTGACCGGCTTGGTTTTTAAATTAATACTTTCTACATGGATGTACAAAAAGATTGACGGTAACTTACCTGGAATAATCAGCCAAAATTTTATCGAATTCCGCGTTATTTTTTACCTCCTGTAACTCCATGATGTCTTGGATGAAATGACTAATCTTCTGAGCTTACACAATTTTCAACCAGCACCAACACCCATAAACCCATGCGCATTACTATGGTAAATGACAGAAAAGAACTGGGTACAACTACAACACGTTATCTCCTCGTATCGCATGATAATGAACGAGCCAAAGCACGCGATGTCACCAGATCGAACTGACGATGAACGCAGGACATTCATAAAAAATAAAATTCCCTTGAACTCTTTATAACCCAAAGAAGCCTATAAATTAATCAGGGAAACAATTCTTCCTTCCGCCCCTTCTCCTAGTTCCTAGCCTGAATGACGTCCCTCTCGGGAGCTTGCAACTCGAGGAGACGACTGAAATTCAGGCTACGCCCTTCCCTGAAAATCAGAGACAGGTGGGAAAATGAAAGACGCCATGAAGAACACGTTAACCTTGACTCATCATAAGTTAAATGGCCAAACAGCTATTCAAAATGCCCCCCTCCCCCTCTCCCCAATAGGGTGTAGTGATCGCTCGTCTGTTTTGCCCGACTTTAAGAGTGATTTTAATCTCCAGAGGAATGTAAAAGCTGTCGGCACTTTTAATACTTTCCTCTCTTCTAACTGAACAATACAGCAAGATTGTTCACCCAAAATGTCGTAAGGCTAATCTTTAAGCGGTGGTGCTCCTGTTAAGTTTGGTATGTCTGATTTGCAGATAACTTTTTCGTATACTTCACTCTTGTACTTCTTTTTCGTCCTACGGGGTAACGGTCTGGCTAGACTTGCCACAAGTCGGCCACACAAGTTTCACTTCAAGTAGGACGAAGGAGTTTTTCAAAAGTCCAGGATCTGGTGGGATAGTTGTTCTCTTTCTCATGTTAAAAGGGATGGGGGAGGGAGTGTGGTTTTGGGAGATTTAACATTGTAGGAGAGGCCGTGTCCTATTGTTTTTCCGTGTATATGAACTTGTTATGTATACTTTATCTGCAGACAAATAAATACTAAGTCACACAGCACTATGGATTAGTGTTATGAACTGCCTATTATTTTGTATTCTCTTTTATATTTGATAAATAATTTACTCTTGAAATTCACATCTTGTATCTTTTAGTGACATCCATAACTATTTTACAGCCATGATCATCTGTTCAATGCTAAGTTGGAGTTGACTTAAGCTTTTATACCCAAAATTGTTTGTAGTTTGGAAGCGGCAACATTACATAACAACAAGCACACAATTAAAACGTCCCTTTAAGATTGAAAATTCTCCAAAATTACTGAAAATATGAAGCACTTCGCACCCTATTTTTTCTATTCTGTACGCAAGACAGCGCGAAGACACTGAATACAACCTTACTCAAGATTATAGTCTAAAGAGACCGCGTTCCATATTTCGTCAGCGCCAAGAAAGCGCACGTTCTATTTTTCAAAGGCTCGGTCTTCAACCGTGGATGAATCGATGCACACGAAGCGATATTAAATGTGTAACATTTGAAACCTAATTCCCCTTAGTTTAGGCCCGCAGATTTTTCTCGGCCGAGCTTCAACCCTAATCGCGAAGTAAGGAAAAAAGCCGGCATCCAGACAACTACAGCTGAAGACCGAGGCTGAGCTTTTGTTAACCGTAGACGCGGGATGTAGTAAAGCTCCCGCATTCGTTTTCAGTAAATGTCTGAACACAAAGACAACTAGTCTATACGCACTGTTATTCTTTACATAACAATAGCCTGACATTTAGCAATAAATACATCTTCAAGTATACTTTGGCTATACAAATAAACACCTGAAACAATCACGCTTCACGAAAGCTTCCGCTGATAAATCTTAAGCTCTTATAAAATAACAAGATTCTAATATTTACACACATAAGAAACATTACACCTAAAATTTAAACTCTGTTTATAGAGAAAACCTCCACTAGAACTGAATTTTCTCAGAGACATTCTGTATTTTTTTTAAATTTACATGATCTGTACTTTACTCTTTCAATAAATAATCTATCAATTCACTAAAAATTCCAGCTAAGAACTTTTCGCACTTTTTTCTTTTTTGGTTTCTTGTCTTTCGAAAGTCCTATATTTCTAGTTGATCGGCTGTCTTCTACAACGCTTTCATCCAGATCTCCACCCGGCGTCAAATCTGCAGGAAAATAAACATACACCCTTTCATTTTATAGACCTTTCCCGCATTACGCTCCAGTAAACAAACATAAAGAAATGAGGACAAGGCTCGGGTGGACAATTTAATACAAATCACTGTATTTTGTCCACCCGAGCCTCGAGTTGGTGCCTTAGAGGAATGCAGGAAAGGTCTATTTGCAGATGACATCACACCTAAAAATAGTTTTATGGCAAACAAACAAACAATCAACAACAACAAAACATTTACTTCCATAAAAAGTTAAAGTAGATGTCATAGTGAATAGCAGACTGCGAGTTCAAACCAACTATTGCTTTATTATCAAGACTACAACATGAACGTACTCGAACTTTGCTCTGGAGGCGGTGGACAGTTATGTGAATAAGCCACGTAAATCGATCTACTAACTTCGACAATCTGAGCAAGTCACCGACATCTGTAGCATGTAACCCGTACTGATCACTATTGTTGGAGAACGAGTAAAATTTTCACGAGTCATCAAATTCTAACCCAGTCACAACTATTCACGTCACTTTACCTAAATCTTCAGGAATACTCTGATTCTTGGATGCTTTCCTTCGGCCTTTTTTCTTTGCTTCTACAAATGAATCAACAACAACGACAACAAAAAGTATTAAGCTACAACCAGAGTTAAAAACAGAACACTTATAGCACCAGAACACCATAACAATGTGACGAAAGGTGAGAGGCCTGTGGGACATTCTTGATCACGTTTTTATCTTCATCGTCTTTGTCGTAATTATCCTTATGAGGTAGGAAATCAACTTTTTCCAACGGAGGCCTGAGCCAAACACCTTAATCATAACTGGCTGTTGTTCATTTTACACTGTGCCGGCGTCTCGCTTTCTCGCTCTCTTTCTGTTGCTTCAGGGTGCCCACGTGGGCGGTGTGCACTGCAACCTCTTTTTTTTTTGTACCTTATAAATAACCAATCCGTCCCTATCATTCCTATACCGTAAATGACCTAACAGGCGCCCAAATAAACGCCTTTTTATAAATGCCCCGTCTACGCTGTTAAAACTGTATTAGACGCCCCTCTAAAGTTGACGCCTTCTATGAGAATTACTCCAAAATACTAGGAATTAGCAACAAGGAGCACAATCATTTAATTCATTCAGTTTCTTACTTGACTAATAAGGCTTTGCGTTTTTCATCTTGTTCAATGTCAAGTTAAAGTAAGGAGAGGCTAACGATGGCAACGCAATAACCCTGAGCTAGGATACTGACATCGATGTTGGGATTTGAAAGAGCGATATGGATCTCTAGACGGCCTAGACGTATCAAATGATGGAGAGGAAGACGTCAGCACCTTTTCGGTGGACAATTTACCTTATCAACTCAGTTAATAAAACCAAATTTTTGTGTTTCACTCCCCCATCAGCTAGTGCAGTACCACAGCTTCTTTTCTTAGTGAGAAATTGACCTCTTTACTCAAAAATTTCTACTAGACTGTTCCTATAATTATAACCACTTTACCTATCTGGTCTTGCCTGGAGCCCTGCACCTGTGTCACGTGACTTGACTTATCTAAAATGACAGGAAGCATCTGGCCAGCGGTACTCCCCGCTATTGGGCGTTTTTCTTTTGCTTTATCCACATTGTCACCACTAAAAACCGAAAGCAAAAGGCTAACATTAAGCTCTTAAAATTGCTGTCCAAACAACACCTAACAAATCCAATAATAAATTTTTAGTTTTTTTTTTTTTTTTTTAGTTTTACAAGCTTTTCTGGACACAGGCCTGCCCAGAGGGAATAGGCACAAACGGGACTCAAAGGTCCCATGCAAGGTGCCATCCCTACCCAATCCCACAACCCGTTAAGGTTGGTCACACCACCGGGGTCTACGTCCCCTACTCTTTTCCAACAGTAGTGTGGGTTATTTTACGTCCCACAAGAACAGATCAGTGAAAGTGCTGTGAGACGGGAGCTACGGTTTTTCGTCCTTATCCGAGAAGAATGAATGAGAAGAATGAATATGAATGCTCTGCAGACTTTTTTTTTGGCAAACAAGGTCGACGCCAAAAAAACCCCAGCTATATCCCATAAATGGATTGAAACTGATACCAGGGTTCTACGCAGAGTCTGGCTGTCTTTTTGGAAAAGGAAGACGACTGCAAAGTGATCATCGGGAACATGCAACACTTTCAAAGCAAGAAGGAAAGACAAAGCACAATGTTCCAGACTAATATATGACAATTACTTTACTATTTACCTAATGAGGGAATTCCGGGAAAATTTGGGAACTTAAGCAAAGAGCGACGTACGTCAACAAGAAGTGGACTTTTTGCATTCTTGAGCACTTGTTGTGCCTACATTATCAGGGGAATCGTCTCTATAAGAGTAAAGACACCTAGCAATACACATTTGGTAGCGTAAAGGTATATTAAAAGAGAAAATGTCTCACTTCCGGTTGAGGTGCGTTGCTCAATAAGGTCTTTGCTTTAGCTCCTTATTGTCTACCCATACCCCTCCCCTAAATCAATGCTAGCAAAGGCAAAATGTTGGGTCTCAGGGGAGGAGTAAGTGGGTCATTTCCCAGAATCTTGTAAATACTGTTCTCATGGTTACAAACCTAACGGGGGAGAGACTGAGAGGATCAGACTTGACCTTGACTTTCCTGGCCCACTGTTTACCATTGTCAGTACTTTCTGGAGAGGCGACCTCTCTTGGGCTGCTCGATCCACTATGCTGGGATTTAACGTTCAAAGGAACCGGGCTCTGCTTTACTTTAGCTACTTTGAGTGGAGCTAACGGTGCTTCTGTTGACGGGGAAGGCGGTTTGATATCCATTGGGGTGGGCTTGTATGTGTTACTGAGTCTTAATCTTTCTGGCATTGTCTTGGATTTAATAGGTGCCAAAGCTGAAGAGGTACCCGGCCCTGAAGACCGTACGAAAGGCGACACTTGGTCCTGATGAATAAAGCAAATATTACATTTGTTTATTTTCTCAATCAGTAATTGCGTGGACCTAAAGACTAAAACGTACGTAACAAGATCTAAACTCATTCAGATGACACTTTTAGTGTTCTGCATACTGTACTTGTGAGGCAGATCATTTTCTACGTTAATAATTGCTGAATACTATGAGGTTACAACATTTTGATAGAACTTAAAAAAATAATTATTACAATATTGAAAAGGACGTCTCAGAAGCCTTTCTAGTCTTATCAAGGAGACTCGACCCAGTCACGTGTTTAACGTGCAGTGCAATATACAGACAAACGTCTTCAGCCATAATTTCTATCCTTGACCTCTTAAGGCATGAGTACATCCTAACAACTTTCTGGTAGCTACCGAACATTCATAGTACACATATACATCTAAATGACTGGAGGTTCTTACACACTTAATGGGTACCGAGGGAACCTCAAACTTTGGACTCGTCATTTTAGACCAACATTTACCATGAAGAGTTGCTCTAGAAAACGTCCAAGATACACAGGAATTTTGTTCTAGATATTTCTTACCCTTTGATTATTGAAAAGCTTTATTGCATTTGAAATATTATACAAGGGTTTAGAAAACGTCTCATTTAACGATAGCCCCATTTCAGATCAACCCAGAGTTACTAAATTACGAGCTCATTAGGTGGCCCATAAAGGACACCCCTCCACATGGGAGCCACACAGTTCAATTAACTATTAAACAAAAACTGCCCTAAACATTTAGTGAAAAAAGCACTTAATTTGAGAGTGTCCAGGTATTTAGTACTAGATTACTGCTTTTTAGGCTACTATTTTTAGGTGGTCATCTGAGCCACTCGAAGGCTTAGCCCTTTGCAAAGCAAAGGCAGTACTTTCACTTCTCAGTTATTTTAAGACCCTTAGTATTGGTCTGGTCCCGGGAATCGAGCCCACGAAATCCTGCTCTGCTGTCAAGCGCTCTACCAAGAGAGCTAATCCTGCTATTGAACCAATGGGGATACCAGTGAAAGCTACCAACCTCAAAACTAAACCTTGGCAAGATAGGTGGTCTTTTTGGGTTGTTATGATACTGATCCTCTGATGGAACAGGTGAGCCAGGTATGGGTGTAAGTGCCATCTGAGGGGGATATCGACTGTCCTCCTCACTGCTATATCCACTTGTATCATTCTCTCCATTCATGTTTGGGTGAAGGCAATCTAAACAACACAAGACAACTGTGAGCTTTAATTTGTGCCTGGATTACAGTGTTGATTAATGATCATTCCGCTGGAACTTTACTCAAGAAAATAGACGGTCAGTATTAAACTAGGTGTCCCAAGGATGTGCTCTACGAAGAATTGTTAGGAGCCCAAAAAGTTCTAAATGTGAAAATAAGGGTTGTCGGGAGCCACCAAACACTGTCACAGTGATATTTCCTTTTTTCCTAGCCTTGTGCTGCACTCACACCTTGTCTGCAACTATATATTCACTGTGTGCTTTGCTGAATAACAAGTTGCTATAAGAATTTATGTACGTGGTTTTAAAAGCACCTGTTAAAAAGTTGACATTTTTTTTTTTTTACGTTTTGCTGTTGCCTTTTTTAAAGTTTAAATTCAGAGGGACATCATAAACACACCGAGAAGAAAGAGAGCGACTTTTAAAAACAGTTTTTAAGAAACTAAATTTCATTAATACAACTGTCCTTAGGCAGTTAGCAAGCAAGGTTTAAACTGCAAGCATAATCATTAATATGCTGTTAATCACAAAGCAGTTTTAATAGCATAGCACTGGTACTACTTGTAAATGCAGTGGTTACATGTATGTTCAGTGGACTTCAATTTCATAGTCCTGCTTCGGTAGTGGGTTACCACATGTAACAAGGAAATGTGTTCCACACTCTCTCTCTTGCTACTAATAATGGGTACCCGAGGAACAAAATACTAAGAGAAATCTTTTGGACGCAAAATTCAAGACTCCCCCCAGACTTACAGACAACTGATAGAAACGTTTAAAAAATACATAAACAATGATTTCCCATGATGCATTGCAAACATACGATAACCAAACTGCAACAGGACATGAGAGCGTTTTAAAACTTCTCATTCTGTGATTATAATTGACTACTGAGAAAAATTGCGCTTAGAAATAATCAAGCACTTGTTGGGGAGTTGCAAAAAAAAAATCCAGACTTTTTACCTTTTTTCCAGACTTAATATTAGTATTGTTATCTCTCACACTTATTTCAGGTCCGAAAACTTGTTTGCAAATTTCAAGACTTTTCAAGAATTCAAGACTCTATAGAAAACTGTTAGACTATTTCTCTGCCAGGCTACTATAAAAAAGGCCAAGTTTTATTTTTTTTTTCATTTCATAATGATTATAAATGGTAGATTATAAATCACAAACAAATGTTAGAGCTTGAGTCATAGAAAGTTTACAATATGAGATAAAGTACAGTTAACATCATTACATTTAGATACGCTTGTCATAAAAAGAAGAAGAAAAAAGTGGAAATATATTAATAAATGAATAAAAAAATAGGTGTTTCATTAGTATTGAGTGAGGCCAAGTTAGATGGATTATTAAAGTAACAGCATCTACAAGGAAGTGAAATGGCTTTATAAGTGCAAAAAGCTATAAACAAAGAAGACCAAACCATGTATAGAGTTCATGCTCATAGTTGCATCATGGGTAATCAGGGCAAGATGGCGGGAAATTAGAAGATTTGTATTAGAATTCAAAGCCGGCTGTTTCTTCCTGAATTCATATATTTGATGCTTTCTCTTTGAAAACAGTAACTTACGAGTTCAAAGAAACAATACACTAAAAGAAGTGCATGATCAGTTTTTACAAAACCTCAAGTTTTCCATACATTTTCTGTAATTTTGATACTGTTGAACTACAGAAAATGTATGGGAAAATCAAGGTTTTCTAATAACTAATCAGGGACTTCTTTTTGCACTCCAGATTTAGTGTATTTTTTCTTTGAACTCGTAAGTTACTCTTTTCAAAGAGAAAGCATCAAATAATGAAGTCAGGAAGAAATATTTGGCTTTGAATTCTAATACAAATCTTCTGATTTCCCTCCATCTTGCCCTGATTACCCAAGATGCAACTATGAGCGTGAACTCCTCTATTGTAGTCATAATAATATCAAAATCACTTGAGAACTGCACAAAGTAAAAGCTTATAAGAGTGCTGTTGTCTGCTGCACATTTTCAAACATTCTCACATACTTATTAGGCAATCAGATTTTGTGTGCCAAATGAATGCAATATAATAATTGGTTCAGCCTTCTTCTTTTGTCTCAGGTAAAATGGCAGTATTATAAAGACCATTTAATGTTAGAGGTACATGTATCATGGTGTGTGGTATCTTACAGGGTGATGCCGGGGGTGTTATACTGGGCCATGCACTAACACCTTGCAGCAATGAAACCATGTCCCCTGTACAAAAAATACCTGGAACATTAGTCATGTAAGTTTAAAGGATTTACATGCAAACATAACATACATATAACATAACATAACATAACATAACATAACATAACATAGCATAATACAACATAAAATAAAATAAAATAAAATAAAATAAAATAAAATAAAATAAAATAAAATAAAATAAAATAAAATAAAATAAAATAAAATAAAATAAAATAAAATAAAATAAAATAAAATAAAATAAAATAAAATAAAATAAAATAAAATAAAATAAAATAAAATAAAATAAAATAAAATAAAATAAAATAAAATAAAATAAAATAAAATAAAATAAAATAAAATAAAATAAAATAAAATAAAATAAAATAAAATAAAATAAAATAAAATAAAATAAAATAAAATAAAATAAAATAAAATAAAATAAAATAAAATAAAATAAAATAAAATAAAATAAAATAAAATAAAATAAAATAAAATAAAATAAAATAAAATAAAATAAAATAAAATAAAATAAAATAAAATAAAATAAAATAGATGTAAGCTCTGTGTTCCACAGTTTAGTATTTTGCCAGTGCTTATAGTTCAAGTTTATACTATGTATTATTAAAAACTGAATCATTGGATAATGCAATTCTAGAGCTCTGATTGGCTTAGCCATCATGGTATATGAGCCATTATACTATGCTCTCCAAATATGGTAACTGTACCCGTCTGCTGAAAATTATTATTTTTTATTCCACTCACGCTTGTTGAATATGAGATGATTGTAGCCAACTCATACATTGCATCCTCATTGTATTCCTGAACCTCACAATCACATAATCATTGTAAAGCGCTATGAAACAGAAGCTGAATAGCGCTATATAAATTATTATTATTATTATTATTATTATTATTATTATTATTATCATCATCATTATCCAACATGCACTCGTGGAATAATATATTATTAATATTATTATACCACCAATAAATACCTCTGGGGCTTATTCACTATTTCATTTTAACTAACTAGACCCAGCATTATAGTTTTATCTGGGGCTTGGAGTTTAAACTAGCAGATATGTGTGTTGATGAATAGTTGATTAAGTGGCCTCCTATTACAGTCTGAAATGTAACTGCGGTCACCACAATTATTTTCAAAATTACAAAGATAGTTATATTTTTAATTAATATTAAAAGCAGAACAAAGCCCTGAGTAACACTTCACCTCATGTTGCAAAGCACTCCCTTCATTCAAAAAAAATTTAACAAAAGGAGTTTAATTTGATTAGAAGTCAGTCAGGGCTTTTTTCCAGGAACTCTATCATTTATTATACAAAAGTCACTTACATATGAGCTTTAATTTTTAAGCATGAAATAAATTAAAATTCATATAACCCACAATGTTTTACATTGTATGATTATTTATTTGTTATGTCTGTTTTCAACTTAGGATATTTTATCTTTGATAATTAGATTCTTTATTCTCATAGTAACAATAATTTTAATGTTGGACAAAGTTAGGAAACAGGCCAGACAATGACGTACTAACCTGCATGATCTACACAGCTGTCTGGATCATCATCAGCATTCATCTGAACTTGAACCTGAACAGCTGCAGGGGCAGCAGAATTGCCAAAAATCTCCTGAACCTCACAATCACTGAGATCTGCTGCCGCAGCCTGATGCTGCTGTGAGTCAAAACCATTTGTTATGCCACCATGGTTTTGATCAAATGGATGCATACCATCCGATCCATGCCTACTATTATCAGGAACACGAAGACTTTCTGAGGGAGATTCTACAAAACAAAATACAACAATAATAGAAATACAACACTAATGATGCTATAGAAATATATGTAAATTAGTTTATGACTGTGTCTTGATAATGACATAAAGGTTTTGTACACAAAATAATGTAAATGTATCGTACGCACTGACAATGCTGCATGAAGTCTACAATGGTCATCCATTCTAACAACTTTCGTGACCAAGTGATAACCTTCACGCACTACATAGTTCATGCAGTTGCATGATTTCATGCAACACATACAACAACAAATGTGATGATGAACTTTGCAGTGTGGTTGCATATTCATGTCTTAATGGGAAGGGGAGCCAGAAAATGTTTTTCCTGAGGGTGTTAACAAAGGTTCAACTGTTTTATCCATTCACCCCAGAACCACCCGTAATGACCAGAATTAGCTTGATTTGGTCAAGAAGACTGGAGAAAATGGTAAAAACCCATGTAACATTGACCTAAAAATTCCTATGAAAATCTTGTTCGACAACCCACCTACCTTTCCTATCATCTAATCCTAAGATCCTAAAAGCTTTCCCAAAAACATTTCCCTACTATAAACGTCCAGCAAAAGAAAAACAAAGGCAAGAGAAGGGAAAGAAGAGGGGAGGAGAGAAAGCGAAAAGAAAAAGTCAAGACGGCTGTGGCACTTGTAAACCCAAAAACTATCTTGAAATTATGCTTTCTGCGCATGCTAGAACTTCGGAAACTACTTTTGTATCTGGATCAGCAGCCCGCAAAGTGTATGACCTGAAAATGGCTTTTTGGTAAGTTTTAACTCTTTATGGCCCGACAGTGACCAGAACGGGTTTTTTGGCGTAATTCCCAAGGGCAAGTGGGTTAAAAAGCCAATAATTTTAATAACCAAAGCTGAGTATGACTCAAAAAATTAAAGTTTAAATAGTGACCACAAAATAATGACAAACATGGGAATTAGGGCTATAATATAAGGCTCTTGGGTTTCAGTAATCTGTGTTACAAAAAAAGGACAAAATAACAAGGGTTCTAAACATGAACAACACATTCTAATTCTTGGTCGCATATTTTAACTCCTCTACCTTGTTTAATTTAGATTGAGAAATGAGTTCATCCCTACATATTTTTAACAAAAATAAAATGACTGCTTATTAAAATAAACAGAATAAACTTAAAACCCTTAACAAAACAACTAAAAGTTGGTTTGGGCCACAAACGATAACAATATTGCAATATATTTTCAGAACTAAAACATTACTCCAGCTAATTGCACTGACTATAAATTTAAATCATGTCATGTTGAGTCTTTAAATGCAAGAAGTACTAAATTACAAGCATCCACATCAAACCTGACCATTGGATAACACTTTTCACTTCACTGTAAACTACAACATTATTAAGTATTATTTTATTCCTTACTTTTAGCATTCATTAGAACACACACCAGATATTCAATGTACAAACAAAAAGAGAACAAACTTCTGCATTAATGAGCCCTTTACAGCTGAGGGAAAAGATTAAAATTTGCCATAAAGCCATAAAAGATTTGCACTAGTGACATGGACTTTTAGAGATTTTTAAAATAGCATCTATTGACTAGAAAAAGCACACTCATCTGTTTAAAACACAACAATCGGGTTCTCTTGTTGCAAGTGCCTTACATAACACAGCCTCTGATCTCTAAGTGCTGGTAATGCCACATATTTATTTTACATAACAAATCACAATATATTTAACTACTTACTTGACTGCACAGTTCTCAAATCTAAGAAGAAACCAAGGAGAGGAAACAATAACCGACTGATCAAATTTTTGAATATTAAACAGACTGTACCAAAGAACACTTGATTTGACTTGCTCCAAAATGAACACTTTATAATATTTTGTCAAATCCCAGTTAAAATGACTAACTATAATTAGAAACTGAATAAAAAAAAGCTTCATTACAAATGTCACAACAGAACAAATAACATTAGGCTATAAAAGCCCTTTTTAAAATCCAAGAACCTTTCTTATTTGACTGAGATGAAATTCTGTCAGCTTTGGAATAAAAAATGCAAAATACAATGAAGATTTCCATTTCAAATGCAGTCCAAATAAATGAAAGATGAATCAAAATATAAATGGACAGACATGTGTGACTGCTTCTTAATAATAAAAAATGGAAAAGAATCTAATAAATAAAACAAAATGTGTAAAATATAATTACTGACAGGTTTTCACAGAAAAATATAAAATTAATAGGCAAGGAAATACCTCTCACTGATTTTTTTTCTCAAATAAAATACTAGTAATTTAACTCCTTTTCTGGACTAAAGCTTTGCTCCAATATGACAAACCAAACATTAACTACATTGGAGGGATATTTGACAACCCTTTTTTCTTCACATTACACAGAATTTATCTCCAGGAACAGGTGCATAATTAACATATCAAAATGAAAAGAAACTAAGAAAAACGTTTCTGGAAGATAAGCTTACATATAAACCTATCAGAGAGCAACATTCTCTTCTTTCACACAAAAAAATATTTCCAAAGCAAACATAAAAAGAGAAAGAAAGAAAGAAAATCCAGATAGCAAGCTGCAGTACAATAAAGAAATTTAAAAAATCATCTTTTTGGATCTTAATCAAGCACTCAAAAAATTATAAACCTACTTGTTTGGAAACTTACTATATATGAGCAAGGACTAAAAAACAGGAAAGGTTTTAATTTTGAGTTGAGAAATCAATAGATATAATTGTCATTCTATTTATATGCAGCACTGTGTGTCTATAAAAGGGTTTGCCATATTCCTTTCTTAGTCTGCTTGGAAGAGCAAGATTTTCAGATCATTCAAGATCGTTAGGAAGGAAGATAACATAAAATCATACATTTAAGGATCCTTTTCAGTTTCACTACTTCAAACTTTGAGCTATGATATTAATTATAGTCACAATGGTGATTGTACTCACACTGTTGAGTAATAACCACATTTTCAATCTGATTGCATACATTAAACAAGAACTGTGGCCACCTCTATTTTATAACATTTACTCATCAGTTCACTGGTAAATTTGTAAACTAGTATTTTCAGTTTCAGAAGAAACTTATATGAAAATCATCTTATTTTTCACAGAATTGCAAGTATCAATATTGCACTGTACGTCCTTAAAACACTAGATAAGACACTCCTCTTCTCCATTAAGAAAACCGTACCTTCTGGGTGTTTTCTGTATTATAGTTGCTTTCACAACTTATCACCTATAATTTAGCGAGCGTTATACAATGAAAACAAAAATTTGAGACAAGTTCTTTTAATTAGATATTATCATAGTAATATTTGTTTACTAATTAAGAACAATGAACTGAAAAATGGCAGCAATAAGCCACTGGCACTTTCTAAAAAACTATATTAACTGTATAATGAAATTTTTCAAATCAGATGAATGGCTAAAATATTACTACACAGACCAACAGGACATTGTATTAAAATACCTGGAAACACTTCTTCATGTATCTTCTCTTTTGCACTACTTTTCCCTTTTCAAGATTTTAATAATATTGAAGCACTGTGGATATACAAGCTTTCAACACACCCATAGTCTTAAAGTGGAAACACATACCAGCATAATACATACAAAACACATATAATTACGTGAAAACACATACTCGGATTGTTTATTGTTTATTGTTTTGTTTGCCAAAAAATTATACAAATCAAATGAAATCTAATTACTTAAACTCTCATGGCGAGGAAGCCCAAGAGAAGCCACCGGGCTTATAAGGAATGGGCTCCCTCAGTTAAATAATAAGAACAAAATATTATCATAATTACACATGGGAAAATCAATGGCAGAGCTACAGTAAATCTTAAAATAAGTATATTAGATAGTCGTACTAATCATAGTTCTAGGCTAAAAAAAGCGAAATGACAAAAAGAAAAAACAAAACAAAACAAATGAAAATAAAAGAGCAAAGGAAGAAAAAAAAATACATATATATATATATATATATATATATAAATTACTATTTATGATAAGAGGAATGCTTTCAGTTTACAGCAAAAGGAAGCGGTACTTGTTGTATTTCGAATTTCAAAACTAAGAGAGTTAAAAAATTTAGGACCTTGGAAACTGATGGAGAACTTTCTTATAGTAGTCCTGCATTGCGGTAAATAAAAATGCTCCGAACTTCTAGTGCCATAAGAATGCACCTGGCGTGTCACCAGAAACATGTTATTGAAGCTATAAGGAAGTAAGCCAGATCTGTATTGATACATAAATTTTCCTATTTGAAGTTTGTAGATACTCTCAAGATTCAGAATTTTTAAATTTTTAAATAAGGGGTCAGTGTGAGCATCGAAAGCACTCCTCGACATTATTCTTACGACCCGTTTTTGAAGTGTGATTAATCTTCTGAGGTTTGATGGGTAGGTCGATGCCCAGACGCTCACACAGTAGAATAAGTA